AGGTGAATCTGATGGCAACTACCCTTACTACCCCAACTACCGTCTATATTTCAGAGAGACCCCACTCCCACCCTTGGAGTTGAATCTGATGGCAACTACCCTTACTACCCCAACTACCGTCTGTTTTTTAAAGAGACCCCATCCCCACTCTGTGTTCATTCGTTGCGCATGGTATACAATATGGGTATCGATTCCCATTAAATCACATGTTTTAAGGTTGTTTATGGCATTCATAACACTCTCCGACCTTTACTATCCTCACCACCCACCTTCTGAAGGGTGCACATTTCGTCGTCAAAAATAAGGCATTTTATACGTTCACAGGTTTGTGTTCCCCAACGAAAAAAACAGGGGTCTCCAATAAAATCACGATTCGAATTCTGATGTCTCCCATGAAATAACCAATGGGGTCTCCCAAAGATGGAACATTCTCCATAGACTTTGATCATATTTTATTGATGTATCTTAATCTAAAAATTATTCTTTCAATAGAAGATACATCAGGCAATTAGATTTGGAGATTCAACATCTTCCGGATCCTAAGCTTCAGGTATTATAAACTTCCGGATCCTTAACTTCAGGTATTATAAACTTCCGGATCCTAAACTTCAGGAATTATAAACTTCCGGATCCTAAACTTCAGGTATAATAAACTTCCGGATCCTAAACTTCAGGTATTATAAACTTCCGGATCCTAAACTTCAGGTATTATAAACTTCCGGATCCTAAACTTCAGGTATAATAAACTTCCGGATCCTAAACTTCAGGTATTATAAACTTCCGGATCCTAAACTTCAGGTATTATAAACTTCCGGATCCTAAACTTCAGGTATTATAAACTTTCGGATCCTAAACTTAAGGTATTATAAACTTCTGGATCCTTAACTTCAGGTATTATAAACTTCTAGATCCTAAACTTCAGGTATTATAAACTTCCGGATCCTAAACTTCAGGTATTATAAACTTCCAGATCCTAAACTTCAGGTATTATAAACTTCCGGATCCTAAACTTCCGGTATTATAAACTACCGGATCCTAAACTTCATGTATTATAAACTTCCGGATCCTAAACTTCAGGTATTATAAACTTCCGGATTCTAAACTTCAGGCATTATAAATTTCTAGATCATAAGCTTCAGGTATTATAAACTTCCGTATCGTAAATTATTTAAAGAAGATTTAGAATTTGTTTAGCCGGGGTACTTAAGGGTTCCCTAAAAAAATGTCACCCAATTCGGCTCAGCCGTTTGGCCAGCTACATTTAACGTGTATGTGTATATACACATATACAAATATAAGAAACTAGCCTTAGAGGGCGCTTAGCGCCCATCTTCTAAATTAATTGTGAACATGTTCTCTTTGTGTACATCGTAAAACAAAACAAAATTATTTGGGGGTTTTTCACAAAATATTTCGTGGATTTTCAAAATTTTAAAAAATTTAATGACTATCGAATTTTGATCGAGACAAATATTTGAAATTTTGATCATTCATAAACCTTCCCTAAGGTCCCTAGATGTCCCACAAAAAATTTGGGCCCGATCGATATATAGAAGAAGAATTCATCACATGATTTAAATTTTTATTGTTGATATCCAATAATTGTCCAAACGGCTGAACCGATTGGGCCCACTTTTTTATGGGACATCAAATCATCCAAGAGAAGGTTTATAATTAAATGATCAAAATTTTAAAAAATTACTTGTAACAAAATTCGATTTTCATTAACTTTAAAAAATCCCAGAAATGTTTTTTTTTATAAAATCCGAGAACTTCTTGTTTGTTTTTCTTTTACAATGCTTACAAAGAGAAAATGATCACAATTTAAATATGTTTTTAAATATTGTGATAAAAAACAGGAATAATTTCAGTTGATCAGGAAAAACAAGAAAGTTCAATATTTTCTTTTTTTTTCTTAATATTTTAATAGATTTTATTCTAAGTTTACAGCATTATAGATTGCCTAGCTCTACTTTATATTTTCAATTGCACTTTGGAAGAAAAACATCTGGCAGAGAAAGTCCAAAAATTAATGATTCTATTCGTTCTAAAACTTTCCATGGATTATAACTTTCCAATGTATGGAAAATGTTGTCTCCAAAGTAAAGGACAATTACTTCCGTACATTGTAATTGTTGGAACGTATCTAAAGTATAAGTTCATCAAATTATGGTTTAACCTCAGTTGCAATCTCTGCCACATTAGGAAAGTAGTTCAACTTTACCTACACTTAGTTCAACAACTTCTTACTATTCAGTACATCAGGGAGCACATTGTGGGGATCAGTTGAACAGAATAATTGTAGTTAAACCACTTTTTGTCAACTTGAACCGGCGCACAAGTGAAATAGTTCAATTATTTGTTCTTATCAGACTGATGTCCGAGATATGTTTGATGAGCTGAAACCTCTACTTGTCTCTACACTAAACCTAGAACATGGAGAGAAAATTGATAAACTTAGACGAACCATTCCTCTCTTCTCAAGGTTCAAACATTTGTTCATTATTTTAATACAAAATGTATTTTAGAGTATTTGTATGAAGTATTGAAAGGTTTTGAAAATATGTTTCTATCAAATTGGACAAATTTAATAATTTTTATATAATAGCAAAAACATTGAATTTTTTATAATTTTTTCTCAGGATTCAAAGTTTGCTTCAGGTTGTGAATAATGGAAAAAGGTGAATTCTTTATTATATTACTTAGTATTCTTATTCATGGTTAGAAGGAGCAGGAGGAGGGGGGGGGGGCTGAACCACGATCTGGTGTTCTCAAAGAGAAGCTAAAAGTGTCTTATGAACTACGAAAAGGGATTATTCTATTCAAAATCTAAGTTTCTTATCCCTATATATTTACAACCTGATGGTGTAAACGTTTCATATGAGATCTACTTGTTTTTCTATCCAAAAAATAATTATTTTTTGGGTTCCCTATATACGTAACTTTTGGACTTTGCTGCAAGAAAAATATTATGAAAATTTAACACAATTCTCATTGCTATTCATTAATAGATTTAAAGAGAACGTTGTGAATTTTACAGGCAAATCCTGAACAAAAGTTTCACTTGAAATAACGACAAAGTCCATTTATTTTGTTAAGTATGTTCTACAAGTCTAGCAGAATGGAGGAAGCAATAGATAAAAATACACTTCTCACAATCTTTAAGGTAGGTTTCCCAAAAATAATGTTAAGAAAATTTAGTTTAAAGCCTTAAAATGTGCATTCCCTCCAATGGAAATAATTTCCCTCCGGTGGCCTAGACTCTAGCAGAATGGGCCCAATATGCTGCTGCAAACTTCAAACTCTCTAAAATTGACACAAATATTTCTTTGTAAGATTCAAAATCCACTATTTCTTTTAACAAAATTTGAATGCAGGGCACCAAATTTCTTTCACAATTTGAATACCATAAAGTTATCCACACTCTTTTCCTTTTAAAAAAAGTTGCTTCTCTGGTTTGCCGCCATTTTTAAAAATTGACGAACTGTCTCTTTTTAGGATTTTGGAGAAGAAGCATCCTCTGATCCTCCGCCCTGGGATCCTAAATCTGCAGTTGGTAGACCTCCAACTAGACCTCCTTACCAGGTAGTGTCCTCTAGACCTCCTTACCAGGTTGTAACCTCTAGACCTCGTTTCCAGGTAGTATCCTCTATACCTCCAACTAGACCTCCTTACCAGGGAGTATCCTCTAGACCCCCAATTAGACCTCCTTACCAGGTAGTATCCTCTAGACCTCCTTACCAGTTAATATACGCTGGACCTCCTTACAAGGTAGTATCCTCTAGACCTCCTTACCAGTTAGCATCCTCTAGATCTCCAACTAGACCTCATTTCCAGGTAGTATCCTCTAGACCTCCAACTAGACCTCCTTACCAGGTAGTATCCTCTTGACCCCAACTAGACCTCCTTACCAAGTAGTATCCTATAGACCTCCAACTAGACCTCCTTACCAGTTAATATCGACTGGAACTCTTTACAAGGTAGTATCCTCTAGACCTACTTACCAGGTAGTATCCTCTAGACTTACCAGGTAGTATCCTCTATATCTCCTGACTAGGTAGATTTAAATGAATTTGAACACAATCGTTTTTTACTTAACAAACAAACTTTACAAAAGATTTGGAAAAAACGGTCGTTTTTTAACTTTACAAACAATATTTTGGAAAACACTTTTACTAAACAAATAATTTTACAAACAAATGATTTTACTGAATAATGTTTCAGTGAGAAAACAAAGAAAATAGATGGAAAATTGATGATGATTTTGAGAACAAAGGAAATCAATTTTTTTTGAACAGTAGAAAAAAACGGATGTAAATGGGTCATTTATAATGATGAACAAACAAAACGAGAAAAGTAGAAGCCAAAAAAATCATTGAATGATAATGGAAATAAAATAGATTTTTTTTAAATAACCTTATTTCCGCTGTTTTAACATATGCTTATTTTTAGGTTTCGTTTACACCTTATACAACTCCAACACCACTACCAAACAGGTAGAAAACAAAGAAAATAGAAATCCTAAAAAAGAAATTAAAAAAAAAAACTTTACTTTTTAGGCCTGATTGGAAGCCTAATGATTGGTTGGAATACTTTAAAGAAAATCATCCTAATTTTTGGTTTCAGGTTTTTGAATCTTTTTATGAGGAATCACAAAATTTAATTCTAATAAAAAACAAAATTTTTTACTTTAGTTGCTTTTTGCTTAAGTTTTTGTTAATTTTTTTTTACTTTTCATAAATTTCGTGAAAGTATGGATATCAAATTATTTTTTTTTGATGAAAAATTTTGATATCTTTTCAACATAATTCAAAGTTATAGCTCTAATAATGTTTTCTAGGATCAACTAAAGAAAAATATGACAAGACAGCTTGAAGAGCAAGCAGAAAAGAAATCCGAAAATATTTTGAATCTTCCAGAGATGAAAATTGTGACCAACTTTACAGAGCCTGATATCATGACTCAGCAAGATGATATAATTGATAATGTAATTTCAATCCTGGGATCTGGATTAGCAGATGGAATGCGAGAAAAGGATAAAGGAAACCCAGAGCAAGAGGTGGAGAAAGATACCTTTCCTGGAATTAAAGTGAATTTGTCAGATTTTAATGAAAATAAAATTATCCAAACAGAAAGTCCTTCAAAGTTCTTCAAGGATCCTTTAAACCCAGAAACTGAGGTATACTAAACATTTATTTCAAATAAAGAATAGAAATTTTAGTTTTAATTAACTTTTATTAAAATAAAAATATTTTTCTGTCCATTTTTAATATGCATTTGTAAAGCATCAATTTCCAAATTTTGACACAGATTTTACATAAGTGTAATCCCAATTAACAATGATGGTCTTTGAGTCATCCCTGTTCTTGTTAAATTTCTTATTAAAGAAAAACTGGACAAAATTAAGCATTTAAAACTTTTCGAGTTAGAAACAAAATATTTTTCATTTTAATGATAAAATACAATCTTAAAGTGTACTGTTGTGAATCGGACATGCCTTTTTTAAAAAAGAAGAGTTAACCAAATTTGTCTCTTACCAGGATAATTTTAACAATTTTTCTCTTTTTAAGTATCTTCTAGGAATTTTTTAAGTTGGGTACTAGAAAAAGATTAAATAAGGAACTTTTAACCATTATAGATAGCAAGCTTTGACTTGGGTTACATAAGTGAAAGAAAAAAGTGAAATGAGTTTGTTTAGGAATGGGAGAACTGGAGTCCAACAAAATGGATTGAATGGTCTGAAAGTGAAGAGTATAAAGATCTCTATTTACATCCTCGAAATAACTACAGGTTTATCTTTTTAGTTTCTACTTATATTCACCAAAGTAGAAATGTCACAAAGTTTTGAACAATAATTTTTTCAGTATTTCATCAAGTGTCTACTTCTAACTCTAAGATTTTGTTTAATTAAGTAGCAGCAAATGGTTAATTTTCCTTATTTAGGCCAACTCAAGTAAAGCAATCAGGAAGAGTTCCAATATTAGATTATAGGTAAATTGAAAATTTTTTGAAAAAAAATCACACGCCCAAAAGCATTAATTTTTCCTCATGATGTTCAGAGAAAAACAACCTGTTTTGGTAACCCGATGGACTACTCCTCCACCCTCTATTCCTAAAGCAACAGAAAAATTGTCTTCAGAAACTCCTACTACTACTAAGGTCAGATAAGAGCTTTCTTGTAATTTTCTAATTTCCTATATTAAAAATATATTTTAAAGTGCAGTCAATTTTTAGAAAAATGCACTAGGCTGCTTTTCTTTCCTTTTTTAATAAAAAAATACACAAAATTTAAGTATTACAACATTTAACATCTGATTCCATGGTTTTTCATTAAAATGTAAGATTGCTTTTCAACTTTGAAACTTAGACTATTAAAAGATATACATATCTAAAATTTGATTCAGGGAGTAAAATCGCCACCTCCAGAGACAAACTTTCCCAAGGCTACTCCTTCTCCAACTCTTAGTCCTAACTACATCTACAATAATGGCTTCAAAGATACAAACCCTCATAGACAAGTTGCCACTAAAAATGCTGTTAAGGTTAGAATCGTTATCTTTTAAATTGAACAATAATTTTAAATAATGATTAAACTACGTTATTACTAAATAATAGGACATCACTCCCCTTCACCTTCGTGAACAAGAAACTAAACCAAGATTTAAAAATGGGTATTTAATCAATAAGGTAAAATTATAAAACCCCAGAAAAGAACCAAAACATATTATACTTAACATTCTAGGAAAAGGATGATAGTAGTGAGCTTCCAAGTTCCTCTAGAAGTCAACTTTCAGCTGTTTTTTATGAAAGATACAAGGTATTCTAATTTCAAGATTTCAGAAGATTTGTTTCATCTATTATTTACATTAACATTTAGAACCGAGATTCTGGTGCAGTAGACCCAGCAATGCTTCTTCTTACTGAAAGACCTTTCTCATATAGCAAGGAAGACCTTCCTTCCTATGAAGACAGTAAAAATCCTCTCAACCAGTATGCTGGTCAAAACAGACCTGCCTTACCCAACCAATTATCTTTCCAGGTATGCACACTGCAGACAGAAACAGTTATAATAACATCACTTTAAATCCTAAACTATTGAAAATGTTATAGGAAGGATACTCACCATCAGGTGCACCTGTAGGAGGCCAACAGGGAGCATTGCCCTCACAGGGATCAATAGCCTCTCCAGTAGCAAGGCCAGCAAGGCCTGAAAGAGTTCCAGGGGTGAACCAGTTCAAGGCACCAAATTTCAGACCTGAAAGACCAGAAGGGAACTTTTCACAATATCAAACTGATTTCCAAGTTCAGAGACAGCAATCAAATATAGACTCTACTTCCCCTTTAAGTATTGAAGTTGTTCTTCCACCAATAAACCCAAATAATCCAAATTTCCAGACTTCATTACCAGATCCTAATGGTTTTGCTTTACCAGGGGGTACATACAATTACAACCCATATTTTCCACCAAAATATTCAGGATCTTTTCCAAATCAATATCCATACCCTCCTCCACAGCCTGCATCAAGTTCCAGCTCAACATCAACATCAACATCTACAGGGGGAGGAAATGGAGGATCAGCTGCAGCAGCATCAGCAGCAGGTAGTAATGTGCATTCTGTTGGTTTATTTTTGGATCTTTTTTTGCCTATATTTTCTTTCAGGGTCCTTTGGAATAGTGTAAGAATAGCAATTGTTTTCAAAATTTTTTACTCTACAGTCATGACCAGAAAGACCCAGAAATAATTGACAGTTATTTAGACAACTTTACATATATATATCTTTTGTAATATTAAACACATAATAAAGGCAGACCACATTTTGGAATTGGCAGGACTAGGGCTATTTGTTATTATTGTTTTCATTAATTATTTTTGTAAAATTAGATTGTAAAGTTGTCTGATTAATTTTAAACGAATTCCGAGCCTTTGTTATTATTACTGAAAACATAAAAATATTCAAAAAAATGAGCCTGCAAAAACCATCCAAAATTTGAATGGAGTTTAAATTTTTTTATTATAGAAATATACAAAGTTTTATAAAAGTCAACATTAACTTGACAGTTTTGAAATCTTGAACGTTTTATTAAGGTTTCAAAAAAAAAAAAAAACATTTTAAAATACTAGTGGCATGTACATTTAAAGCTGAAGAATAGATACAGATAACAGAAAATAGATATAAATAGATATAAAGAGATTAATACACATAATTCCCCAACATTTGGAATTATGTCACTGTTTTGTTTGGTTATGTACTTACAAACAGAATCTGTAGTTGAAACATTTCAGGAGGAGGATCTTCATCCACTTCAACATCTACTTCATCAGGGTCAAACAATGGAAGCTCAAAAAGTGATTGTTCAGGTATAATTTCACTAAAGAGACATTTTAAAACATCATAAATGAAAGATATTCAAATTATAATTAACAATATATTAGGTGAAACCTGTCAAAAATCATCAACAGATGAAAGAGATGATGCAATTAGAAACCAACTTGTAACACAAGCTACAACAACACTGCCTTCAAACCAGAATACCATAATTTCTGTGGAAAATGGGATTGCCAATACTTCTGGGGAAGCCCTGGGGGGTGATGGAAATACAAATAACAACTGTACACAACCAGATGGTTGTCAACTGCAATCCCTATCTACAACAACAACTACTACTACTCGGCCATTCTCAATTAGTTTTTCAATATCTCCACTTTTTGGAAATTTCCATCGACCTACTCAGACAGAAGCAACACTTGGCACAGAAAGGGTGTCTGATGACTTTGAAAGTTTAGATGAAACTGAAGAGTTGCCTTCTCCTGGTCTTGGAGAAAACTTTATAAATGAAGTTTATAGACTAGATAATAATGAAACTTCTTTAAAACCTGGTAAAATTCAAAGCAATAAAGAAGCAAGTCCAGATGCAGTGATAACAGAACAAACAAATGGCAAAGAAGATTCCAAGGAAGATATTAAAGATGTAGTAAATGCACTGAGAGGGTTGATACAGCTTCTTAACTCTACAGATAAAGGTAGGAAAAAATTACAGAGCCTCAAAAGTAAGTTGTACTTAAAATCTAAACCATCAAGTCCTAAGAATCCTATTGAAGTGAAAAATATTGTTATCGGTGATCAAACACCAAATATTCAGTCATTTTTAAACCAACCCTATACAAATTTGTTGATCAACAAAGCCCATGTTGGACAGTACTCCTATTCTACTAATCAAGAAGCAAAAGAACCTATTGTCAACAAATTAGAATTAAAAGTGAAGCAACACATCCCGCCACATTTGATTCCACTTGGACCCGATGGAAATCCTCTAATAAACCCTGATGGTTCTCTGTATGATCTACCTAACTTTAGTGTGGGTCAGAACACCCAGATGTTTTCATATCTTAATGATATTGAGAAGACCACCATTTCCCCAGAATTTACATCCAAATCCCTCATTGTAACTGATGTTGCATCTCTAGAACACCCAGACTCTGAAGACAAAGATATGATTACAACAATGATTGACTCTGTTCGAGACTTGCCAATGGATACAAAAAGACACATGCTAGCAAACATGATGTTCATGGTTCCGATGGCTGCCCTTACTATGGCAGCAGCTGGAGTCCCCCACCTTGCAATTGCCCCCCTGGCAACCCTTATCCCAGGCTTTCTATTTGCTGCATTTACTGAAACCAATCCAGCTCCTAGGACTGAAGATCAACAAGTTGCTACTCATGGCCATGGCCATGGATCCATGGCTGGCTCTCCCCAAGGTGGCCATCCCACAAGGACAGGAATTTCAGGACTAATAAGTGGTCTCAGAGAGTTTTACTCTCACAGAAGAGAAAATCAGACTCTTCAGATAACAACTGGAAATCTTTTTCATCATGGTTAAAAGTGATTTTGGGGTGAAGTTGATGAAATTGAAAAGTTCTAGATAGTGTTTTTTTTTGGCCCCATACATAATTTTTTTTAATAACATGTGGCTTGTAAATATACTACAGCATTTTTCAATGAAACTTAAACTTTTACTATAACAGATTTGTTAAAAATTAGCAGATATCCAATTCTGCAATTGTTGAAGCAAGTAATCCGCAAAATGCTAAAACTGAGTAGTAATTCACCAACTAAATAAAAATGTTATTCTTATTCTATATTAGTTTAATTTAAAAGATGTTTATCAATGGCTACCACTATTTGTTTTCAGAGGATGATTATGATCAAAATATTGATGAACAAATTCAAACCCCAACATTGTCCACTTATCAGGCAATTTTTTTCAATTATAATTCCTAAATTGATGTCCTCAATTTGAATTCGTTGATAGAATTTTGCCAAATGTAAAGCATTTTTAGGTGCCCAGATTACATGGATCCTATAGGCCAAAAAATAGACCTGATCATTTGAATTTTCTGTCATCACCTTTCCTAGGTAATTAATTAATTAAAAATTGACCAGTAAAATTAAACAGTGTTATAGATTAACAAATTAATTTTTAGTGAAAACAGAGGAATTAAAGAGTTCATTATTACCTGAGGCAGCTAATAACCCAAAACCGAAAAGGAGGCTTGTAATCAACATTATCAATTCAAACTCATCCATTCCACTCTCCTTTACCTCCAAGTAATATAATTGTATAATTGATCTGATAATTAGTCTGTTTCTTTTTCAATAATTTTTATTCTTTAATTATAGTCCTAGAGATGCCTTGCAACAACTTAATATTCCTCCCTCAAATTTTGGATATTGGTCTGAACTAAGGTAAACATCCCTTGCAGCCATATTTGAACTATATTTGATATTTTTTAGTGGTTTGGGATTTGGTGGTCATAGAATAAAGCGGTCATCAAGTGAAAACATAATCCAAAGTTCTGCTTTAAATAAAGAAAAACTTATATTGAATTCCAACTTGAAGGAAGAAAACATAGGAACTGTAAAGACACCTCTCGAAGATTCCAAGATCACCAAGAAGACAACCAAGCCCACAAATATTGAAAGCAGATTACCCAGTTTAAATTCAAATTCTAATTCCCGAACCAGTAATACAAGATTCCAAACTCTAACAGAGGTATTTTGAATAAGTCGCATCACTAAAAACAAAAAGTATGCATGAAATTGCACCCTAGATTGGTAAAATCTCATTAAAAGCTTTGTCATATTCTTATTCATCCATTTTTTATATTTCAGAACATAATAAACAAAACATCATTCTGGAATTTAAAAGTTGAAAAATATTTTATCAATTTAACCCAAAATCAAGGAGCATGAGCAGTCAACTTCTTGTATTGTCTAAAGTACAGTTTTTTATGTTATGATTCAATAGATGAATAAGAATAGATATAATTGGTGAGTTAAATTCAGTGGTTCAGAGTTTCCCAAAAATTCAAGAAATGCATTTGTCATGCATAGCAAGTTGACAACACCTATAAGTTCTAAGTTGGTTTCAAAAATAAGTCTGGACTTCATCTTAATGTTGACTGCATTTTACATTTCTTCATATTTCAGACTTAAATCTGACTGAAATTAATGTTCTCCATGGTAAATGTTTATATGATATTGTTATTTACATTGGATTTTTTAGGACTATGACTATGATTACTTGTTCAAAGAACAGGACTTTGCATATGAAGAGTTGATACCTTTGCCTATAAAACCAGAGAATCTGCTTAGTGAGTTTAACTTAAATAGTCCTATTATTCATTTTAAACCACAAAAAAAAGCATTTTCAAGATCTTTTACTGTCAAGTTGGATTTGCATATTTCTATTGCTACAAATGATAAAAAAAGGCACCTTTTCCTGTTTCAATTAAGGGTTCCATCGCAAGTGGATTTTACGCAATAGCAAGCCATGTAAACTTCACACATTTCCAAGCAAGGTGATTCCTTTTGGAAACCCTAGTTACAATACAACCTTTAACTGCATCAGAAATATTTCATAACGTAACTATTTCCTGCAAAGTTCTATTATTTTTTTTCTTCATTAATTGAAGTTAACAATCAAAGCTGTCATCTTAACCTTTAAATAATTTTATTCACTGTTTAAAAGTTGGCTTGGGTGGTGCAAAAAGTACAACGAGACCCCCTTTTGAGCTTGGGTCATATCAACAAGAGGAGATGAAGCAAGGTTTTAGGTAAGTTCAAAAGTAAAGATTTAATTCTAGATTGTTAACTTTTCTTTTCTTTGTAATTTGAAAAATGTCGGTAACATTTAAATTTAATTTAAGCTAAGAATTACCAGGGCTGTGCAAAGTTTTGTTCACAAAACAGAGGTTTCTAAAAAACGGCAACTTTTGTTCTTTTTTTCTGCTAAAATAACATAAAAAAGAATTTATTTTTATATTTAAAATGTTGTTTTTTTTTGCAATTTGGTGATGGCTTGTGCTGTAAATCCAATTTTAAAAAGTGTTTACAATTTGGTATGGAAGTTTTGGTAGAACGTTAATGCCGTGTCACACCTGTTAATGACTAGTTTCATTATCAATTTGACAAAACTAATAACAAAAATTGTTTGCCCAATTTCTGAACAACTTATGCAGTTGATTGCAAAAAAAAACTGTTAAGAGTAGAATATCTTTGGTTAAGGCCAGTAATAATTTGAGATTGTTAACTAATGGTAACTTTTTAAAAACTGTAAAAACCATTAAAGTAACAAAAGTTCCGTTCATAGCTTTAAAACTAACGGTTGCCTGGAAAAAAATATTTTAACAGTTGGAACCAATCCTTACGGAAACAGCTAGAAAAAGTTGGAGCATGCCCAGTCCTATTTACAACAGGATCAAAACACCTTTCCATACATTAATCTTGTAATTTAGACCAAAAGCAGAAGTTGACTATGCAGACTTTTCAAATTTACTCAATTTGGCTCAGCTGTATCAGACGAAAAAAGAAAAAGTGCAAGCTTTCAGACCAATAATGCCCCCACTAACCGCCAGAGATCAAATTCGGTTTCAGCAATATCAGGCGAACATAGAAAAAGAGCCGACAAGCAGACCACCAGTATCCCAACTACCCTTTAGAGGTCAACTTCAGTCTCAACAACCAATAAGAGGACAACAACCTTTGAGAAACCAGTTTAAATTTCAGAATCCCACAACAAACCAGTTTTGGTTTCCACCCCCATCCAATGGCCAATTCCAATCTCAGCAAACTTTACAAAATCAGTACAAGAATGTCCAACCCATTAGCAGCCAGATCAAACAAGCATTTACAGGTTTCCAGACTCAAAGTCCAATTCTGGGGCCATCCATTTTTCAAAATAAGGTACTTTAAGGAGAATTTTTTCACAAGCTGGAATTGAGTACGTAAATTAAAAACTATTGATTCAGGTTGATTCAATTATAACAATGAAGGATGGTACAATCATTTCCAAAGGGCCAGGTAAACATTTTTCTGAAAATGTGACTCCATTTTAATGTTAAAGCATTTTGGTTAAAGGAAAGTTTTTCTAGGATACCAGTTTATAAGTGGACCTAGAGGCCAATCTTCGACCGTTACAAACAGGTCTCCTTTTTTAAAATAGGTGTTTCACATTTTTTGAAAACATGAAGATTCAAATTTTATTTCAAATCATTAAATCATTAAAATTGAAAATTAATTAATAAATTTTTGTTTTTAATTCAAGAAATCCAGATTTCCAGCTGCAAAGTAGCAATGAACAAGCACAGTTTAATCAACAATATCAGCAGTACCTCCAGTCCCTTGCCAGTACTAGGAATAAAAATGAAATAAAAATAAATTTAAAACTTAGTTATTATCATCTTTAAAGAAATTGTTATTGGAATTTAATTTTCATTTTGAGTTTTGGTCAGGGGAACTAACAACAATAACAACAACAATAACAACAATATCAATATCATCAATAATTACGATGATTATTATGAAGATTATTCAAACTTTCAAACATCAGACTATCAAGATACCTATGATCAGCAGACCTTGTTTCAGTCCCAGCAGATCCTAACAAACCCTCAACGACCACTCTCTATTGCATCTCTTCAGTCTATTCTAAGCACTAATCCATCCCTGGTTTCTCAATTCTCCACTGGAAACTCACAGAACGTAAACCAAAACTTGAATCAAAACACTATTTTATCAGCATACATTCCACCGACTTCTAACCCGTTTTTACCTCAGTTTGTCTCTCCTTCTAGCTCTCAAAGTGCACAGAGTACATACTACCCTCAGCTTTCTAACCAGTTTCCAAACAGAGCGCAGGATCTAGTAATCCTTCCAAACCAAACCATCAACAGAGACCCTAGCAGTTCTTTCAGGTAAACATTACATAATACGTTTCAAAATTTTCTCTTCATATTATTTTTGAAAATTACGTTATGGAAGAAAAGGTAAAAAAATATGATCATTGATAGTAGATTGTATGACATTTTGTAGCAACCAAATAAACCAGGCTTCCACTTCAACCTCTACAACATGTGGTTCATCGGGATGCGCTGCAGCAGCTGCAGCTGCTTCAGGAGGAGCTGTTTCTAGCTCCTCATCAACATCAGGAGGTACTTTCACAGATATTACTTTGGGAAAAAGATATTTATAAAGCAAGTAATTAAATAATTTTAGCTTTTTACTGTATGTTGCTCAAAGTCAGCGATTTTAAGTCATTTTCAAATTTTGACGGATTTTTCTTATTTAATTGGCGCATTAAACAATAAAAAATTTTCCTATATCTTTGAAATCCAAGGTTGTAGATCTTAGATATTTCAAACTATGAATTCTGTTAGATCAAATAATCTAAGTTTTGAAATATCAAATTTGGTTTAAGTTTTTGGCAAGAAGTCAATTCCTTGGGGTTTATAAATAAATCATTTGTATAAGGACAAGGAAGGAGTGGTGACATCCTATTAGAAGACACCTCTGTATCAGTTGAAACCAATGGAGTGGGGTAGGCGATTTTATATTAAAAGGGAGATATGATAGAATGATATAAAATCTTATTTGATAGAAAAAAGTTTAGGTCTAAAAATGCTGTAATATTTTTCTGTATACGAGTGGCTCATTCAAAATTTTTAAGGGAGTAGACATATTAAAACTGTTACATTTTGATATGTTCACATTGTAAAGTTTGATTTTAAAATTTTAAGATCTACCCCCAGTCTTGTCAGAAGCAGGTCTAATGAACTGCAAGAGAAAGGTGATCATATAAAACAATTTTTTATTTTTAGCATTTTTTCTGATTTTCATCTTGTTCCGTTAAACAATTACTCAATTTTTATGTTTTCCATAATTATGATTTTAAAAAATTGATCCTTGAAAAAAGTGTCAAATTAATGAATATGATATATATATAGGAGAGCAATTACCAATACCGGGTATCATTCAACCCACAATGCAGGAATGAAGATAGAAAATAAAGATATATATGGACGTGCCAAAAAAAAACAATACCCCTACTGTAAAGTTTTTTTGGGACACACTGTAGAATTTTAGAATTATCTATGAATACATTTTCTGTTCAATGAAGCCGGCTTTCGATTTCAATTATTTAATATCTATTAATCTTTCAAAGAGCATAGATACACATATAACATAAGCTGTCCATTACTTGCAAACTTGTGATTAAAAAAAAGCTTTTTAGAAATCAAAACTTTAAAGAATGTTGTCTTCATTGTATTGATATAAACGCCATGACCACTGCATACAAGTCAACAAAGCGATAAAATCTATAATACTATTTTTCCATTATGAAATTATCGAGCCATGACGTCGCTATGTTTGTTGAGAATATAATTTTGATATTCTGATAACTTTGCTCAAATAGATTATCAAGTACCATGGGTGGCAACAGAGAAATGGATCAATTATACACGACGTCACAAGTGTCAAATATATAACAAGGAAAACAGAATTTTCTCTTCTTAGTTGACATGTTTTTCAAGATTAAATAAAAAAGTCAAAAGACAGAAAATAAAAAAAACATAATTGCTCCTATTTCACTGTCAGATAAGCTTTTTATTCTAAAATTATCAATAGCATTAATAATTTTGTCGGACACAATACTGAGGTGACACTTGTAATGTAAGAATACAGCTGTACTGAAAGTGTGCAAATACTACGTTGTCATCTATTGTACTTAATAATCTATTTGACTTTGCAAAGAGTGCTTTTAGTTTTCTAAGATTAATGATTTGTTCGAGTTTGATAATAAACAAACAATGTTTACAATTCTGAATATCTGTAAAATTTATCTTTGAAAACTGAAAAGGATTCTGAACAAAAAGTGTTGCGAAGAAAAAGAAGTTTAAAGGACTACCGATTACTAAAACAGCCTCAGGTAAAAATAAATATATATAATATAGCCATCGATATACAAGAATATAGATCGCTCATGTCGTCTTCACCATACCGGAGGGTTACAGCTTAAATTGAAAATGGCAATTTAGTTCCTCGCGCTTAAATATTTGTATGTTAGCTTTAGCTGGCCAAACGGCTGGACCAAATTGGCTGTACTTTTTTCTGGAACCCATGGTAAGTAACACAGGCGAAAAAACTGAATTAAAACTTCGAATTATCTTTTTTCAAAATTAGATGTATTTAATTTCTCAGCTAGTTAGCTAATTCAAACTTTTAATTAGTATTTTTATAAATTGTATTTTCAGTTCTTTCAAGATATTGAAATGTCAAAAACAGGATTAGCAGGGTAAGTGAATATTAGTAAAAGATTTTTAAATCCAAAATTGTATTTTTTTTTAATTATCCAGTTCAATCTCTCCCAACGATCAGGATGCACAAAACTCTCTGAAGAAAGAAATGGCAAAAAATATAGGATTTTTGCAAATCTTGGAACAGACAGGTCAAAGTTCATTTCTGCACACTCTCTTATTGAACAAAGATACAGGGTGTCCCAAAAAACATGGGAATTCAGTGACGAATTCGATATCGTCTTTGTTATGAATTAGCATTGTAATACCTAATTTCAAAAGCCATAATATTATTATGTCTGCTAGAGTTTATATGAAAAGGGTAAAAGACTGCAAAGATGTGTCTATAATGTCTCCGCAAGATGAACAGTGAGTACGGACAAGCTTACTCTGTTTGTATACTGTAATTTTCTTGTTGCAGTCAAAACATAAACAAACAAAATGTAAACATAGCAGACGAAACTCTTACAGATTACAGCTTTCTCAGTAGGTATCACTATACTAAATCGAAGAATTATTTGAAAAGACGATATCGAATTCGTCACTGAATTCCCATGTTTTTTGGGACACCCTGTAGTACAAATCCACAGGATTTACATCAAAACATCAAACTTCGAGAAGGTTCTCCAAAGCCCGCGATTTAAAAACTTTGACTCAAGCCGTAATTTCTTAAACCAGACTTAAGGAGTTAGGCCCAATGAAAATAAAACCGACCTTGGTTGGTTTTAGTGGAGAATAAGGCTCTATGTTGTGTCTTGTTCTCACAAAAACCCAGAATGCGCCAATTCCTACCATGGAAATCCGCCAAATAGAATATTAAACCGGAGTTTTGAACTCAACTTTCCCGAAGTTTTTAAATCTCGGGCTCAGGAAAGTTAAATGTTCAATAGTCATTAATTACTATAAATCGATGATTAGCAGAAAATAAAACTAAAACTGGTTGAATTCTGGACTATTTCAGTTTGATAAATCAGACTTATTGTGAATTGTGGAACTAAAATATAACTGCAAGCCTATATGTAATTTGTTCACCATGGAAGTCTTTTGGTCACAACTATCAAACGAGTTTTAAATTTTTAATAATTTTCTCGTTTAAAGTCATATTTCTTAAGAATTTTTGAGGTTTAGATAAAATAAAGTATGGTGGTAGTTGATTATATCAATACAATGAAGACTACATTCGATTTATATCAAACTTTTAAACAGCATGAATGCACAAAAAATGGAAACAAAGAAAAGCTGTCAAAAAAAACTTAGATTACTCGTAGATATGTAATTCGGGAAAAGCTTGTTAACAATAAAAACAATAAAAAAGTCGTCTTCATTATATTGATATTGTCGCCTATCAGTATCAGTATTTCTTAAAATTTTTGATTTCTACTTTCAAGTTTCAATCTATTTTTGAGAATATCTAATTTTAAAAATTAGAATCAAAGCAACCGGATGAAGCTGAAGAAACAAAGCCCAAAATAGAAAAAAGAATAGAAAGCAAAACTTCCGTCCAACTCCAGGACAAAAAAGAAACTCTGTTGGACCTGTTCAATGAAGGTAGATAAAAATGTTATATATTATATATATAACAATATATTTTATATATACAATTTACATTTACAGCCACATTAAACTAGAGAAAAGGAGTAACAAACTCAAATTTTGTAATTCCTGTATCTTGAAATATCTAAGGTTACAAAGATATAGGGATAGGAAAATTGGAGTTTGTGGCAAGAAATCAGTACGACTTAGCGGCCTCGTAGTTTCTCATGTTTTATCCTAATTAGAAATCCACAATATTTTTGACCTCCATACAGAGTAGTTATGATTAAAAACATAAAGAATGTTCAAACTTCAACTTAAATTTGATTTAGTTTGTCATGCTGCAGCATTTTTTCTAATATTAAATAAACTATTCTGTTTTCAGTGATGACAAGGGATTTAAACAATGCTTTCGACATTTTAGGAACTTTTAATCAAATCAGGGATCAGTCTTGATGAATAAAGAGAAGTAGCTGAACAGCACAGACGTAGTTCAGCCACTCCTTTTGAGCACCAGTTCAAGCTAAACCATTAAAACTGATCTAACAATATAGAAATAATTCAATGAATTGAATTTGAACAAATAAAAATTCATTCTTTAAAGATAAAGAATTATTTTTTAACAATGAAGAATTTGCATTATCTTAAGTAAAGTTGCATAGGTTTCATGCTTCTCCATGCATATTAACAAAACTCCATAATATCATATTCGCTTCTGTTATCATGCTTCATAATTCATTTCTAACTTTGGGAAAACAAACTGAGCTTTTTACAAATTCCAACATTTATTTTGACTTAATTTTTCTTAATTTTGATGTTTTCTTTCCATCTCCTGCCTCTCCCCCCTACAGCCCCCGTCCCCGATTCTTTCTTCCTATCTCTTCAAAGATTTAGAATTAAAGAAGAGGGATGGGTTCAAATAGGAACAAGAAAAACTTAAACAAACTCAAATAAAAAAAATAAAATTAGAATTAGACTAATTGTCATATGTATCACTAGTTTAAGGGCCCGGCGTTGCCCGTGGGCAAAAAAATGTTAAAAAAAATTTCGATTTATTTTTAGCCTATAACACCCCCGGCCACCCATGAGTGTCCACAAAAAATTTCAGCCCTATCGGTCCGGCCGTTTGGCCGGCTATAGGCAACATATATATATATAGGAAAGTCTTGTTTTATTATATAGATTTTACGAAAAAGTACAAGATCGAATAGGTTCAGGGTTGTAATTCACAATTCTTTTGAGGTAAATCCTAGTTAAGATAAAAGCTTAAGATTAATATTTAAATTGAAGATTAAAAGTTAATCTAGTTACTTCTACCAATCCAATGATACAGTTAGCCAACACACAACTTGGAGAGGTAAATATTAATTTAATTAATATCTAACATTATATATTAGCTTAAGGAATATATTTAATGCTAAAAAGCGAAAAAGAGAAAGGTTTTAATTGTCCTTTGTTGACTTGCAGGCTTTAAAGGGGCCCCGTCCTATTACCAATTTTAGCTTTGTACAGTTGCTCTGAATTCGCCCTTTTCATTCTTTTTTAAATTTTAACGGATTTTGATCGATTGAATGGGTGACGTTAAAAAAAATACGCTGGGGTCATGTAAATTGGTAAATTGCAGCAAAAAATGTTGGCCTCATCGACGTTTGACGTTAGTTAAATACATACAGACAAACAAACTAACAGCTAGATATATATATATAGAAGTTCTTTATTTAGTTAATGGATATAATGTCCCCAGCAATAGAAAATCCTCGAATGTTTGAATTTATGAAAATGATGTTGATTTTGCCTTTTCTTGGTGGGTTAATGAATATGGTGGGAGCTCCAACCGCCATCACTGCAGCCCTAGGTTAGGTTTATTTTTAATTAAAAAAGTCTTATCTACGGTTTTGCAATTAAAAACGTCTAAGAGAATAATCAGATAGGTAGGCCAGATTTATATTTTTGAGAAATAAAAAAAAAATTAGTAAATTAATAAATACATTTTTTAAGGTTTATTTGTTCCGATGTTTTTGATGGAAAATCTGGTGGTATAATCTGTACAAATCCTTTTCAATGTTCTCATATCTTATTGTTTGGATAAAAATGTAATTTTAGAAAATGTATTTCAAAATAATACGTTAGTATTCTTTTTAACAAGCTTTATGCATACATAAATTGTAACATTGTAACGTTATAACTGGCTTGTAGCATAGCTAGCTTTTTATATAGCCTGGCTATGATCAAGCTACATGAGAAGTTAGTAAAATAGCTAGATCATGGTAAAACTATCAAATCTAGAAAACCTAAGGTATACATATATATATTTCATATAAATGTAGCTTTTGCCAAGTTTGAAGCTATTTTATGTCAAAGAAAGTTTTAACATAAATAGTTTTGGCGGCTTGCTGATGCCTTAATGCTAACTAGTTTTAAAAATATTTCATGACATTGCTAGTTTGTGACACAGCTTAGAAATGGTACAGCTAGCTTAACTAGCCTAGTTGCAAGCCTTTTCCATAGCTAATGACATGTATATATGCCAAAGCCAGTTTATGTCCAATAGCTAGCTATCATGTCAACGCTAGCCTATGTTGCAAAGCTTGAATATGTCATATAGCTAGCTTTTATGCCATGGCTAGCCTATGTCTTAGCTAGCTTATGACATGGCCAGCTCATGGGCAGCTGCATAGCGGCCAGTCACCCAATGGAACAGCTGACGCTCAATGTCGGTAAGCAGTCCTGAAGCTCCAATCCTATAAATAAAATTTGTAAATATCGATTTTTATGTCATTTTTAAATATTTGTTTTTGTTTTTTTTATACTAATATTATCATAATGGTGTGTTGTTGCATATTTTATAATTTTTCAGAAATTTTTCACATGAAAGATTTAGCTTTGGCAGAAGTTAGTTATTGTGGCAAAAAAAATATACAATATTGATATATATCATGTTTATATTACAGGGTTGCCCACGAAGAATCAGACTATAAAGACGACCATAAACTCTTTAAATATGACAATTCCAAGCTTGAAAGAAAGGAACATTTTATAGTTGAAGGAAATCATTAATATAATGAAACAGACAGTATAAATTCCGTACAGTCGTTTCCGAAGTCTCATCCTTTGTGGGTAACCCTATATGGTGCATTTAGTTATAAAGAATTGAACAGAGCAACCCTATATGGTGAATTTAGTTATAAAGAATTAAAGAGCAGGGAACTTTTATATGGCGGAAGTTTTAACAAATAGAACTCAAAAGATTATTATCTATAATTAAAGTAAAGACGACTTTCAGACCAAAGGAAGAGTTCAAAAGTTTTGAATAAAAGGGAGTAGGACTATGGGATAGGACTAGGGAGTAGGACTAGGGGGTAGGAATCAGGGACAGATGATATTCCTCATTTTAATCATAGATCATTATCCAACCCTGCCAATCATAACCTATCCCAACATTTTAACATAAGTACTTTATGATTCCCTTATCTTTGCAACCTGATGGTGTAAACCTTTGATATTTTAAATTCATATTTTGTGATCTTACATAATTCATAGTATGAAATATCAAAGGTCTGCGACATTGGGTATGATAAAACCCGAGTTTCTGGAAAGACTCAATTCCTTTGATAGCAACCTTATTTTAAACCGATTTTTAAAATCATTTCATAATAAACTAACTAACTTTAATGCTGATTTTCGTAAATTTTGACAGTTTAAACAAACTGAATTTTCTCAAGAATAAAAAAGAACTTATACCTAATACCGCCTGCTGGTTTGAAGCCAACAACAAAACCGGTTTTCTCGTGATACTCCCTAATTATCAAAATCTTAAGTGAGGGGTGAGGGGAAAGGCGTTTATTTCGCCCCCCCCCCCACAACATTTTATTTTAAACATGTTACATTATTTACATATTATGTAACATGTTTTTATGTTTCTTTTTGGCTTGTCTGTTTGTTTGCTGGTTTGTTTGTATCCAATAAACTTCAAAACGGCAATACTTATCAAGCCCCATTTTGTTGGTAAGGTTTTTCGTAAATGTTGTGAAAACCGATGGACAAAATCCGGAAAATCTTTTGTTGATGTTATTATTTTTGAATGTATGAGGAAGATCGGCAAAGAAAAGCTGAAACCATCCAAAAAAGATTTCTTTTACATAACTAATTTAGTTAAGATATAATTTGATTGGATGAAAACTGTGTGATGTATACCTGACTGCCCGGCACATAACCAACCCTACAGCTAGGATTGCATTCACTCCCTCCTTTCCTTCACATTACAAATTTTCAACAAAATGTTTTTTTTTCTGTTTTTGGATTAATTTTTATTTCACAAAATTTTTTTATTTCACAAAATGTGTTTTTTCTATTTTAGATTCATTTTTATCGCACAAAATGTTTTTTTTTATGTTTTTAGATTTATTTTTATTTCACAAAATATTTTTTTCTATTTTTAGATTCATTTTTATTTCACGAAATGTTTTGTTTTTAGATTCATTTTTATTTCACAAAATGTTTTTATTTCTGTTTTAGATTTCCTTTATTTCACAAAATATTTTTTTTCTATTTTTAGATTCATTTTTATTTCACAAAATGTTTTTTTCAGTTTCAGGAAAATTAGCTTGTTCGGTGAAATAAAATGATCGTTTTAGATGTCTTTTAAACAGCTTCTTAACAAATTTTAGAAAGAAAAATTACAAATAAATATTACAAAAATAGTATGTTTTTAAGTTTACCGAGGCCGATGTTAAAATGGTACCTGTACTAGTCTTGATGAAGTCGGAGCCAGCCATCATGCACACAAGAGAAGCCTAAACAGATACAAATTAAAAAATACATATTTTTCTTCAAGATTTTTCCTTTTTTCAACATTTTACCGCCTTTTTACCAATATTTTTAAAAATGATCTTTGAATATAAAAATATTAATTCTATTGCAAAAGATTGCAAAATCTCAATGAATAATTTGTTCAAACATTAAGTTAAACCAAATAATACTTAAAGATACCTTTTAATAGCAATTGGAAAATATCGCTTATTTAAGAATTGTTTTATTTAGTCAGAGGTATGTTAATTTACTGTACGTCCCTAGGGGCAATTAAGTAAAATGGCGACCCACTCTGCGTAATTTTCGTGAGCAAATTTGCGCATTTTAATCTCAAGTGGCTTTAGAACCTTTTAGTTTCAGATCATGCATCTAATTAAGGATGACAGTGATATACTTTAATTTCTCTTGATTTTAAACTAGAAAAATTAGGACATCTCCATCGTCGATGATTAAAAAAAGGTTTAAAGGGTATCGATATTACATATACAAACGTGTGGCCAGTTCCTATTTGATGCACATTTTTATCTGCATGCTTTATTTTGCACTAATACTGAAAATTTGCTGATTACAGCAAATGCAGAAAACCCCGGTAGAAATTATTTGAAAATATTGAAGGATCATCACTTTCGCCAATGTTACGAATAAATTCATTGTTTTATCACAAAAAATTGGATAATTCAGATTGTTCTTTAAATGTTATATTTATCATATTATATATTATATTATATATTATCATCATTTTTTACTTCTATGGGCCAAATAAAACTGAGAAATAGGAAGACAACTTATAAGTTTAATCTGATGCGTTTCATAAGCATATGCGATGTTTAAATGCAAGGAGTTTTACCAGTATAGCTTGAAAAAAAAATTTCAGGCTCCTTAGGTATGTGTATACACTACACACAATCACTGCGTTTTATGTCCATTGGAATGTAAGAAATCAAAACTTTAGTATGTTTGTCTTCACACTCCACAGTTTTCTTTGCCCACAGTTTAACCTTATATACGTTCTCCATGCTGCCAAGTTCCCCGATTGCCAGAATAGATTTCATATGTGCATCTCCACAAGCCTTCTTCATCTCTACTACCTCACTTAAAGATACGTAGCTGTGAGCAATTTGAAAGTGTACAATGTACTGTGCTGTGAGCAGTTTGAAAGTGTACAATGTACTGTGCTATGAGCGTGTGCACTATATAGTGTACAATGTAAAGTGTACAATTTGCGTGTAAAGTATGTGCCGTACAGTGTCCAATGTACATTAAAAAGTGTACAGTGTATAAATGTGCAGATAAAAGTTCACAATGTAAAGTGTACACACAATATACAGTGTACAGTACAAAATGTAACGTTAACAGTGTACAGTGCACAATGTAATGTTTACAGTAGATAATTCTCTATGTTACATTTACAGTGGACAGTACACAATGTAACGTTAACAGTGGACAGCACAACATGTAACGTTTACTGTGGACAGTTCAAAGTGTACGTTTACATTGTACAAAACACAGTAAAACATTTACTGTGGACAGTACACAAAATAACGTTTGCAGCGGACAGTACACAATGTACGTTAACAGTGTATTACACAATGTACTGTCCAATGTGAAGTGTACCTGTATAGTTCCTCCCATTTATGCTGTAAAGCCAGAGTTCTATTGATGACAATATCAATCTCACGTGCCCCAGCTGATACCGCCATTTTGATTTCCTCAACAGTAAAATTCAAATATTTTATATTTAAATCTTTTGACAATTTGAAATTTTTTGATTAAGAAATGTCAAAGGTATACAAAAGACCTGGGAACTTTAAAGTGTTGGATCATAATCCCAGGTGTTTGATCTCGATATCTAGAGTGGACACTTTTGAATTTTACGCAGAATCTGCGTGATCTCAATCGATTTGGATATCTGCAATTTTTCTATTCTTTTATTGGTTATACGCAAAATTCCCTGGCTTCTAAATGGCTCTGTAGTTTTACAACAGAACGAAATCAATGCTTGATCTTAATATCCGCAATTTAAAAATTCCCAGTTCAGGTTGCAAAGAAAAAAATATCAGAAAAATAGATTGAGCAGTTCCTTTACTTTACCGAATTATATACCTGTAATCTAGTATCTAAGCTATACTGTCCACTTGGGAATCCAGTTGCTACTGCGGCAACAGGGATCTAAAAGGATTGACTGACATAAAATTTTATCAGAATTTAAAGATATATTTTTTAAATTAAAGTTATCAAAAAAGAGTTTCGGCAATTAGAAATGGGGTTGAAAAAAACATTTTTACTGGCTTCGCGTTACTTTGTAAATAAAAAAAGAATTAAAAAAATATGTGTAACAAATCAGAAAATATGTGTAACAAATCAGAAAATATGTGTAACAAATCAGAAAATATGTGTAACAAATCAGAAAAATGTTCAGATATCCGAGCTTACATGAGATGCATTGTACTTCTGAAGGAACTGTACACATTCTGCCACACGGCTAGGATACACACAAACAGCTCCACAAGTTATATTGAGAGATTCAGCCCCCATTGCCTGCATATATGTACATATTTATATTGAGAGATTCAGCCCCCATTGCCTGCATACATGTACATATTTTTATGAAAATAACCCTTAGCCAGTAGTTATAGTATCTAGACATAATTTTTTTCCCCAGCAATATGGAACACTTTTATTTTTACTTTAGAAAACAACCCATTTTGAATGAAATAAATGATCCATTGAGTAGATCAGAAAAGGTCAAAAGCAGTGCTTAGGATCCATTCCATCTTGATGCAGATCCGGATCCTGGATTCACACTTTAAAACAATATCTGGATCCAGGACATGAACATAATCTCTCTAATAATCTCTCTTTTTTAACAGTTCAGATTTGAGGATTAAGAGAAAATAGATTTTTTAAACAGTTTTTGTTGATATTTCTCCCGTTGGATCCGGATCCGTATTAAGATCCAGAAAGCCAAAACGATGCAGATCCGATGGATCCATCAATTTCGAAAGTAATTTTTTATCTTTTTTCAAATTCTTTTTATTACAATTATATTTCTTTTAATAAAAAAATACAATTTTTGTTTTCTCATCAACTTTTTAATAGGTTATAAAAAAGCGTTATTTTCTGTTTAAACAAAGTTATAATTTTACAAATTGTTACAGAAGAACAAATATAACCTCTTGTGGATTTAAACAGATGTAAGTTTAATTGAAAATTTGTTACATATTCTTGAACATATATGGAAATTGGAGAAGCGGGTAGGAGATAATCTTAATATTAAATATATCTAATACTGTAGTGCCTGGCGTTGCCCGTGGAATTTTAAAATCCGTTGAAAACAAATTTTAAATGAAATTTTGAAAAAAAAACTTTTCGAATTAAAAAAAAAACATTTTTTGGACTATGTTACCCCCAAGGTACCTATGGGTTCCCTTAAACAAATCAGCCAATTTGGTCCAGCCGTTTGACAAGCTGCAGCCGACATATAAAAATATATACAAATGTAAATATGAGCTTTGTTATATAAAATAATCTAAAACTTTCTAAGAATGAAATAAAAATTATCTAACCTTTATCAAATCAGGACGAATAGGTCTAGCTGCCTTCAAGCAAAGTCTGGCTGTATTAGCAGGAGTATCATCACCTTACACAGATTTTAATTACAATTGCGCCGAACTATGAAAAATTCTTTAAAAGGTTCAAGTCAAGTAATATAGTAAACAAAATTAAAATAATTTATTAAAGTGTAGTGGTGATTTTTTTTACAATATTTTCAGGATGAGTTTGAGTTATTAATGGGACTGTTCAGGCAAAATGAAAGGGGATATAGGCTAAAGCCTAAAAATTTAATGAATTTATTGCAACTATTAATAGTTCTGTATGATGTCCCTGCCTCGAGAAATGGATATAAAACTGTAATATACAGATGTGACATGGTATTTGAACCAAAGTTTAACCAGATCATGAAAAGCAAATACTGAACTAACCTAGGGGTGCCTAGAAATTTATCCCTTTAATACCTTTTCAGTTGTGCACAAGTCTTTACTCAAATGATAATATCACTTTTGTACTTGATCGCTTCCTTTGTTAACAACAGGGGTATTATCTTGAAACCCCATTACCCAGCCCCCCAATACAAGAATTTTTGGTTAACAAGAGGGTTGTTGATTTCTTAAAAACATACACCCCTGGTGAAGAACATGTGTACACAATACACCCCTGGTGAAGAACATATGTACACAATACACCCCTGGTGAAGAACATATGTACACAATACACCCCTGGTGAAGAACATATGTACACAATACACCCCTAGTGAAGAACATATGTACACAATATAACCTGCTAATGTGGTCAAATCTATGCAGGTGACAGCTTTCAGCAACCAACCAGCCTTTAAAAAAAGAATATATGTCAACAACTACATGTCAACAACTAAAAGTTTTGAAATGGTAACATTAAAATAGTTAGTTTAAAGGGCTAAGGCTACATTGTCCCTGGACATACATCTGTTCTCAACATTATGCTAGGATTAGGAATGGGCACCGTTAGCCTTTTTTAAAACTGTTTATTAAGATTTTTGTTCAAATAATGGAATTGACCAACTTTTCAAACACGCAGAAAAAAGAACTTTCATTCAAAAACATCAAAAAATGTAATATCAAGCTTTTTACTTTCTGTAATTGTTTCATTGTTTCATTCAATTTTAAGCAAGAGAATTAAGAAAAGTTGCCATTATTTTTAGAACACATGTGTTTGTTCTTTTTGATTTACTGTTTTTTTAAAGCGGTACTTTTTGCCATTGATGAAGAAAAAAATTTAAAGAAACCAATGCCGATAAATTCTTTTTTAACTATTATTGACTTTTTGTAATGATTTTATTACTTTTTACCTCTTTATTGTCAAAAATTTGCTGAAATGGTAATTTTTAAAAACAACTTTGTAAATCACATTTTTGAAATCAGATATATCTAAATGTTAATATCTTCTGATTCACCTGCCACTGCTGCTTAACAGTTCTGGTTGTAGGTAGAGTAGCTGCCCTTTTCTTTACAGCTGGTAGATTTACTCTCACCTTTTCCATTGTAAACAAAATTTACAAAATCATAATATAATGCGGATGAGCAGAAAATCTACTGATAATGTGTAATCATATTATGATAATGTCACAGACTAATTTTTAATTATTTAAAAATCCATAAAAATTACTTTAAATTCTAGTGAATTGCTTATTTACTACACCTACAAGACTTAATGTACTATGGAGAAGTAACATGGGCATGAAAACACACTTTAACATTCAAAAAAGAAACTAATTTTGAAAAAAAAAATTTGAAAAAAAATAAATTAAAAAAAAAATTTTGAAGAAAAAATTTTAGATTCTGTATTTCCAATATTACCCCTAGAGGGTACCTTTGGGTTCCCTCAAAAAATTTCGGCCCATTCAGACCAGCCGTTTGGCTGGCTATAGGGAACATAAATATGAATGTCTTGTTTTATTTAATAGATAAATCTACACAAAACAAATAACTATTACATTTAAGAACATTCTGTATACCAATTTTAAATTTCAAAATCAAGTTTCTTTACCTGTTGGATCCATGCAAGATCCAGAGGCATACCAGGGTTGTGTGGTTCGTTTACCATTTTTTCTTTAAAAAAACCAATGCTTTGGGTTCATATTATGTAATTTAATTATTAAATGCTACATAAAAACCAAATCTCAAAAATACAGTTTTTTTAAAAAAAGATCAGTTAAAAAAAATGAACAACAGCTAGAATTAATTGTTGTCTTTAATTTCAACTAAAGCTTCAAAATTAAAACTTCATAATAAATTTCTGATTTATTCACCCTATTCAGCAGGGTAAGATAGAGCCAAGGTGAAATTCTAAAAAGCTAATTGATAACGTCATCTAAATAACATGCATTTCTAAACAGGCTAAGGAAGGGGGGGGGAGGGGTATGCAAAGATTTAGATCCCCCAGCCATTTAAGGGTTAATAACTAGCTAGCCTTAGCTGGTAAAATCATTAAAAAAAACGTTGGCAACATGGGGATTAAGAATGATATCTTGCTGAACCATTTCAAAACAGGAGGTGTTACAGGGTGTCCCACATCATATTGGATTGTGTTATAGCTTTAAAATGTGATATCCAGGACTAATTAGAAAATATCAAAATAACAAATTATTCAAAAAAATTGTATATTGCTAATTTAAAGATAGTAGATTTTCCGAGTATTATGTGCATATTTAAGTTTGGAGATAATCTAATTTGGTATGGGACGCTCTGTATCATACAATTGTTTTATTTAACACATCAAACCCTGAAAAAAGCAATTTACACTGTTCAAAAAGAAGATTTACTATAACTCTAGTAACTACTAAAATAATATAGTATAATTACATAATGATCTTTATTTAGTAATTTGTAAACTGCAATAACGCAGTTTTTATATTTCTTTGTTCTAATGGATGTGCAATGTGTTAATATAAAAAAGAAGAAAACAACTGCTTGCAACATAATTTAAAATCTTTGAATATCAGCTAGAGTTTTGAATTGGAAATAAAAAGTTGTTGCCTTGAAATATGGAATTTTTTATTTGTAAAATTTGATAACTGGTTTATTGATGATTGAAGTTTAATAATTCATTTGTAGAAATTGTAAAAACCACTCATAACTTAGGGTTAAAAATGAATTAGTTATATGGTCTTTATATTGAAACTAAAAAGTGTACAGAATTCAATTATTCAGTATATTTGTGAATTAATTGAATATTAATTTTTCTTCAAAAATTATTTTTGTGTAACTAAAGTTGATTATACCAACAAATTGGTTTTAATACCTGAGACTAGGAAAATTAAACTTCTTTTGACGAATAATGTATTTTGCAAATTGTTACCATGAATAACATGAAATTTAAAAACTATACAAATATTAATGCTGAATCAGCTGTAGCTTTAGTATAAAAGATGTTGTCTGCGAAATATCATCAGTCCAATCTTTAAATTAGACTCAAGATGAGATCTTTTTCTCTTCTTATACTCCTTCTAGGTATATGATTGTAGCTGTTCTGCCAAATTCACGATTAGTATCATAAATTTAACCACCTTTTGTCCAACATAACCAACCTATGATTCTTAACTTCCCTTGGGACAATTCAGTAAAACAGCAACCCACTCTGCAAAGTTTTTGTGAAAAAAATTGTGCATTTGCATCTCAAAATAGTACTTTGCCACAAATTAAGGGAATTTTACTTTACCAATGGTTCCCAAGACCAATTTTTCCTAAACATCCCTCACTGCTCTCTAGATGTTTAGAAGGCAAAATTGGTCTTGGGAACCCTTGGTAAAGTAAATTCCCTTAACTTCTCTCTAATGTATTTGTAAATAATTATTGCTGAGACATAAAAATCTGTCAACAAACCAATAAACTAACCACCTCCCCCTTACACTGTAGGTACATTTTTAAAAAAAATACTTCAGTTTACAACAAAAGGTTAACTTAAGGTATGCAAAAAGTGTTTATGTTTTAGGAGCAGTTGCATCAGAGCCCTTTTTCTCCATTGGCAAAGAATATGAGTTTGATTACAAGGTTAGATTTGATTTGTAAACTGTATAGCCTATTTCTCTATGTTATGGATAATTCGATAAAGATATCATGAAACAAAAGATTTAGAAGATCAAAACTGAAATCTTGATTTTTTATTTCAGGGGAAAATATTGTCTGGCATACCTGCACTTGACACTCATTTTGCTGGTCTGACAATGAATGCAAAAGTGATTTTAACATCACTTGAGTCCAACAAGTTCATGCTGAGAGTAAGTATCATACCTAAATTACAAATATTTAATTAATTATGATAGCTTAATACTCTGAATTATTTCATTTAGTTGAAAGATGTAAAAGCTGTCAACTTCAATGAAAGACTTGATGGTGACAAATCAAAGAATTGGAGAAATCTTAAGACCCCTGAGACCACTGCAGTTGATTCTGAATATGAAACTATTCTCCAGTCTCCCATTCAGTTTAACATGGTCAATGGTCAAATTTCCAATATTCAAGTTTCTGGAAATGAACCTGAATGGTCCTTGAACATCAAAAAAGCTCTTGTTTCTTTGATGAAGATTAGAACTCCAAATACCATTGAAGATCTTGACTCCAACAATGTTAGAAGCCAAACCAGAGTTCTTCCAAGTATTTGGAATGTTGTTGAGGAGGGAGTTGATGGTAAATGTGAAAATAATTACCAATTCACTGAAATTCCTGAATATATGGTTTCTGACATCTACCCAGAGATGGAGAATGGTAAATGTGGAGGAAAGAAAGTTTTCCAAGTTTCTAAGGTCAGAGATGTTAACTCCTGTGTTGTCCGCTCATCTTATCAGATCAATCAGCCAGGAAAATATCAATGTGCAACTGGTAACTGTGGATCCATGTGGCAGAGAACTTCTATGGTCAAATATGTAGGATGTGGAGAATCTGCCGAGGACATGGAGGTTCAGCTCATTCTTACAGAAGGGGAACTTCAACAAGATCTTTTAGCCATGAACACAGAGAGTGTTGTCACTGGAACAAGACAAATCCTCAAACTTATTTCTTCTAGAAGCACTTCTTCAGTTCCACAGATTCATTCTCCAAGAACTCTAGAGGATCTTCTTTATGAATATCCAAGAAACATTAACATGCACCAACAATCATCATCCAGAAGAGATATTGATAGCTACAGAAAGCAACAAGATCAACTTCAAAACCTAGAGAAGAACCCTAAATCTCAGAGATTTGAACCATCTCTTACTGAGGATGTGCTTGCCAAGATGTCTCCAGATACTCTTAAAGAGAAGATTGTCAAAGAACTTACTCAAATAGTTAGAGACCTACATGAAGTGGAGGAATTTGAAAAGAAGCAAATCTCTAACAGAGTTCTGAGCATTTCAAGAGTTTTCTCTCTTCTTTCTACTTCCACGATGAAGTCTCTTTATCAGGAAGTTAAAAGTGTGGGAGCTTCAGAGGAGGAGAAGGAAACACTTAGACAACTTGTTTTGGAAATAACTGTTATGTCAGGAACTAACCCTTCTATTATGTTCATAAAGGACCTTATAGAGTCAGAGGAAGTTTCCCCACTCAGAGCTGGCATTGCCATTGCCACCATCCCTCATTACATTGTAACACCTACCATTGAAATTCTTGACCAACTGTTTGAACTTGTTCAATCTCCAGTTGTCAACAAGTACACTATCCTGAAAACCAACTCACAACTGGCCTTTGCAACTCTTTTAAACAGAGCATGTATTGATCCTTACAGAGTTACCAGATTCCCTGTATTTGTCTATGGAGAATTTTGCAATTCCCAAACTTCTGAACTTACTTCCAAGTACATTCCATATCTAGTTGGTCAACTGAAATCAGATAAGGAGTCTGAAAGACTTGCAACCATTTTTGCTCTTGGAACAATAGGACATGAGTCAATTATCCCAATTCTCATGCCATACATTGAAGGCAAGGTAGAAACAAGCAATGCATTTATCCAAAGAATGACTATTTACTCCTTGAACACTGTTACCAAAGAACACAGAGACATTCTTCTTCCTGTTTATTCAGCTCTTGTTCATAACCCATCTGAGGAAAGAAATGTAAGAATAGCTGCTCTTTCTATGATGTTGAAAATGGAACCATCAACAGTTCATTTCCAAAAGCTTGCTACATCTACTTGGTTTGAGAAGGACAATGAATTCCATAAGTTTGTATTCTCTACCATTAAAACTCTAAGTGATATCAAGATTAATGAGCTGCCATCTTACAGAAAGGGACTTTACAACATGGTCAACAAGGCAAGGTCTGTTTTCCACCTGGCAAAACCAACTCCTGTTGTTATTGCCTCTACCCTAAACTACTTTACTGCTGAATGGCTTAAAGAACTTCAAGTTGGTTATGAATTCCAGGGTGCTTACACAAGTGGTAAACATATGAGAGGAGCTTATGCAAAACTTGAATACTACTTGGAAGAACTTAAATTTTCCCCAATTGAAGTTGCATTTAATGTTGAAGGCACTGGAGCGCTGTATGAAAAGTTTATAGAAGCTATGACTGGTTCTAACTATAATTATTTGAACAATATTCACCCTGAGTGGAGAGAAGCAATTTCTTCTCTAGAAATCAAAACACAGAAAGATGTACCTTTCATTGCAAACTTCTGGGGCAAAATGTTTGACGACATTCAGTTTGTTAATGGAGTTCATGCTGAGCATGTTGAGCCTCTTATTGGTAAACTGTCAACATATAATATTTGTGGAAAGACACCAGTTAACTTTGTTAAGGTCAACAATGCTGCACCCACTAACATTCTCATTCCATCAGATATTGGTCTACCAATTGTTATAGAATTCCATATGCCTTCTGTTCTAGCAGTTAAGGGAAATGTCAATGTTAATTGTCACCTAGGAATGCCTTCACTTTCTTTTGACCTTACAAAGAAATTTTCCTTCAGCTACTATGGTTTTGCTGGAACTGTTTCTCCATTCACCAAAGAACTTATTGCAGCTGGGCAAACTAAGAATTGGGATGTAAATTATCCTACTAGGGCCATTGTTGAAATGGAGATGGGAAAACTGAAAATGACTTTCAAGCCCAATGAAGAGGGACAAAAAGCTAGCAAAGATATCGATCTTTGGGCCCATTCAGTTAGGCCATTTGCAACCATTAAGCCCATGGTCTTCCTAGATGCTACATCTATTGTGGCTCATCCTAACACCAAAACTATTAGATCAGGAAGCCAAAAGAAGTCATATAACAGACAATTTGGAGAATCTCTTGGTCTTGATTTGAAAATTGAAATGGAAACTGAATCTGATATTTCTGATAACCAGTCAGTTCTTGATCAACTGAAATTGTATAAAAATAACCCGCTAAACATGGCTCTATTTTCCTGGACTAACAGTCCCTTAAACTTTAATGGAAAACCAAGCTCAAGATATCATTCTGTGAGAATGGTATACAATCCAAGAAAATCAACCACAAATGAAATGGAAATCAATCTGTCTGGCTCTATTGCAATGCAGAAAAAGGGACAAGCCCCAGAAGCACTTAATATCGATAATTCTGCAAATGCTGGTTCTTCTCTTATTCAGACCCAGCAGTTAGAAGTAAATGACCAGAAGCACCAGAAGATTCAAAAACTTATGCAGCAGCTTGATATTGAGCAAGGGGTTGGATTCTCTACTTCTGTCAATGTTGTTCTTAAAGGAGCAGAGCAGAAAACATTTGACTATTCTTTAACTGCTGGTAAGGGAATGCGTGGACATGAATCGAAATGGAACCTCCATCTTGAAAGCCATGACAAATGGAATGTCTGTGTTGAAGGTAGACTTAACACCCCAAAAATGGCCTCAAGGGATATTCAGCAACTTAAAAAGGATGATATTGAATACTTTTACAAGAACACCATTGGGTTTGGCAAAACATGTGATGAGTCTAAGATAGCAGTGACTGGAAGAGCTGGAGTATCAGAGGATCAGAGACAGGAAGCTGAACAAGCCTTGCCAAGTCAATTATGCCAAAAAGCTGTCAGAAAAGTTGAAGCTATCAGAGGAGAAAAGGAAAATGAGCAGAAAGAATCTAATGCCTACAAGAAGCTACAACAAGAATTAATTAAATATTCTCAACAAAAGCAGGACTCATGCAGACAAGCAATTCGAGATTATTCCACACTTGATAAGGTTAAATTTAACATTAGATTCTCCAACATTCCTCATAATGTCCAAAGATACTCAAGCTTGTTGGAATCTGCATTAAAAGGATACCTTATTCCCTACATTTCAAAGTATGAAGATCAGAGAAATACTAAGAATGAAATTGACATTGATCTAAAGTTCCACAACAAACTCCAGACTATGGACATGGTTGTTCACTTAGAGGAGGAAACTGTCATGTACCAGAACATACGCCTGCCTCATACTGTTAGGAATATTCTTCCTCTTGTTGCCTCAAAGAGACTTACCAGTGAAGCTCTTAGCAGAGTAATTGGTGGACCAGTTCACCCACAATGCAGAGTTGGAGATGCTCTTATAAAAACTTTTGATAATAACACCTACAGTTATGAACTTGATGACTGTTTCCATGTCCTTTCATCAGATTGTTCAAGACAGGTTAGCCATGCTATAATGGCCAAAGAGATTGATGGCAAAAAGCACATTAAGATGTTTACTCAAAAGAGTAAGCTATCAGTTGCACCTATGTCATCTTGGGCAGAATCTAGGCGTTCTTATGATATTGAAGTAGATGGAAGATCTATCCAATTGGAAAAAAATGAAAGGAAGGAAATTGAGTCTGAGCAAACTACATGGAAACTTGAAAGGTAAGTGTAATAACTGTAATTCAACCATTTCTATAGTTACTTGTTATTTGTAAACAACACATTTTTCAGGACATCAGATGATGTAATTGTCCTGGAATCTGATTACAATATTGTTACTCTTGATGGAAGAACAATTTGGATTGAAAGCACTCCTATCCAGAAATCTGGTCAACAATGTGGACTGTGTGGAAACCTGGATGGTGATCGAAAAGCTGATGTACTAAGTGCACAGTCTTGTATTGCTAGCAGTCCTCAGATAGCTGCCATTTCTTACAGAATCCAAAAAGAGTGTTCAACCTTGTCTAATGAACAACAAAAGCTGAAAAACCAAGTCTCTTCTTGTGAAAAACCTGAAGCTCAGAAGGCACCAATTACCAAACTGAATCAGGGAAAACTTGATAAGTGTTCTAACAAGGTGCATTCACTTGTCAAGCATGGAAGTAGATTGTGTATTTCACAACTTCCCATTGTCAAGTGTGGAAGTGGGTGTGTTCCAAGATCACAGATTAACAAGTCTGTTCCATTCACTTGCCTGCCTGCCAACAGAGCTAGAGTCAATGAGCTCTATGAAGAAAAGGTGAGAAACGGAGAGATTCTGCCTGAACTAAGAAACATGGATGTGACCTTTTCTGCTCAGATGGAAGTTCCTGTTTCCTGCACCCACCCTGGACTTTAAATTCAAAGTTTAGCACTTTTATTACTCAATATAATTAGGACTAAATTGCATGAATTACTCATTAGGGGTGAACAATTAAACAATTTTGGACTTTTTTAAGGGAAAAAATTTGGAATCCTTTTTTACATGGATATTATTGGAACAGTGTAAAATAAGCAAGTTTGAAATATTAAACATTTATCAATATCAGGCAACAAGTGTACAGAACAATTTTTCTTTTTCAACCAGCAAGTTACTGTTTTTGGTGCTGGCTCATAAAATGAAAAGGCAATATGTGCTGCCACCCAAGTTTGGGGATATATTTTGAAGATGATTTTTTTGATTAGGGCAGAAGGGAAATGAAAATTGAACATCAACCAGCTATGTTTCTGTCTTTTAATGATGTTAATCTGACAATTTATCATTTCCTTTAAATTCATTTATTGGATTTAGAATGAAAACAATCTAAAGCTCCTTTTAGAGACTAAAAAACTTTAAAATATCCTAAGCTTTTTTAAATACCTAAAATAATAAAAAAAGAAAAAATGATAATTTTGCTGAAATTAAATGTTCATGTAAAAAATTGATAGGAGGGGTGGGGGAATCCAAAAATCTTTCACTAGGATGGACCCAAATTTTCTTCTGCAAGACCAGCCTTGAAAAAAATAAAAAGGGAAAAGAATTTTTATTTATCCCTTAACATTTCCTATAAAACAGAAGAAGTAAATTCATTGGAAACTGGAAATTGGACTGTATAGTGTATGTGTACCTTTAAAGAATCCAAGAAGCCAAATTTTTTGAATTTATGGTTCAAATTTTGCCCCCCACCCCACCCCCTAGAAGCTGTTAAGGGAATTTGGGCAATACAAAAATTTTACGCTTCGCGCATATTTTGACCCCCTCCAGATTTATTACTGTATACGCCCTTCACTTACTTTAAATTAGGGGAGGGTGGTGGGTGGAGGAATTTTGATTGAATGTAAGTGTAAAGAATTAAACAAAGGAATTGAGTCTTAACCTCAAACAAAATTTGCCATCCCTATATGTATTAGCAAATACAGAATATATATGCAAACCCAGCTTATTTCAAACTTTTATTTATTTGATCCAACAGAAAGAATTCATAGTTTGAAATATGAGGAGTTTACAACATTGGGCTGCAAAGATTATGCGGAAAGAGAGGTTGTGGGGGTGCCGTGGCCAAAAACTCAGTTCCTTTCACTTCAGTTTTCTTGTATAATTAAAAACTAGAATGTTTCACTCTGTTGATTTGAGCGTACACTGTAAAGTGTGGACTCTGTAGGGTAACTCTAACTCAAGAATTATAAACCAGTCAAACAGGATTAGTATACTTTGTACTCTATGAACTAATACATTCAGGATTCCAATGTATTCTTTGAACTCTCACACCACAGAGTTTTAAACAGGGTTACCCAGAACGGGTGAGAATATAATGACGACATAAAACACATAATTACACTAAATTTTTTTAGAAAGATGTTTTTTCTGTTATAAAACAATATCTCGTCTCGTTCTCTTAAAAGCTAGCTAAAATAACAATATTTCCTGTATAACTTTTACCATATAAAGAAATAAGAATTTCATAAGAGTCTGTTAACAATTCGATAAAATGTTCTGATTAGAGTTATAGGCTAGAAACCATAAATTAATGATTTTGTAAACAGTTAATATTTGTTTTTACTTGCTATAACTGAAAATTATTTATGGTAAATACAGGGTGTCCCACGAAATATGACAGTTGTTGAATAGTTTCGAATGTCTTCTTCCATATACTGTTTTAGATATTGAAGACATTTTGCAGCATATTTCGTTAAAAAAATCTTTTACTCAAATATATTTTAATTTGATATCAATTTTATTATAATTTGACTGCCATATAATATTTTTTACTATGCATTTTGGTATCAAGCAACTAAATAAATTATGGAAGAAGACATTTAAAACTATTCACTAACTGTCATGTTTCGTGGGACACCCTGTAGCTTAAATAACTCAAGATAGAGCATATGTATTCAGTTTTTCAAATTGAACTGTACATAATTACAACTGCAAGCTGGAGTATACTTCAAAATCATCAGAGGCGTATTCAGGGGGGGATATTGGGGCTCAGCCCCCCCCCCTCCCCGGGAAAAGTGGAGGCTTTGATTTTCAGAGGGGTTTCAGCCCCTAACGGTATATATAAAAAATTTGAATTTCTAAAAACAAGCATTGTAAAACATTTTTGTTTGCTTTCGTTTCGGTTTCACTGTACTTCCAGTCTCAATTTCTATCATCTTAAGATATAAACTTTGCTTGTATAAACAATTAAATTCATATTATCTAGCTTAGTTAAAAAAACTTGAGCAAATTTTTTATCAAAAAATAACCCCTGAATATAGAATATAAATATATTTAAATGTGAATAGCGTTCATTGCTTAATAATATGTTTTTTTACCTTGTATATATTGAGCTGCAATCCCCCCTCCCTGTCCCCACCCCCGCAGCTTGAAAAATGTAAATTTACAGGTCCCTTGAAATACGTACATTATATAGCACCACAAACAATTTACAAATTCATCCTAGTGCTATTGCTTGGAAACTCGAGCTTTGCCGGGAAGCTATAAAAGCACATTCCAGTGGTTGGGAGAAATACCGTAACAACAAAAACTAAATAATCAAATAATACATTGTGAACATTGCCAGTCCATGAAGTAACTTGATAGACATTTATAATAGTTGTACAAATAGACAGACATAAACCGTACTACGCTGCATTCAATTGTTTTGGTTATAAACCGGATCTAAATGTATTTAAATACATGACTAGAACATATAAGACAAAGAAAGTAAAACAGAAAAAGAAAAAGAAAAAGTACAGAGAAAGCGAGAGAAATAACAGAGGTAAGGGTAAAAATGTGGAAAGAGAAAAGAGAAAGGGAGAAGGAAGAGGAGAGATGAAAAAAGAGAATTAAATTAGAGTAGGAGAATAGGAAATTGTGGGATCAATATAGAAGTTAAATTAGAGTAGGAGAATAGGAAATTGTGGGATCAATATAGAGGTAAAATTAGAGTAGGAAAAATAGGAAATTGTGGGATCAATATAGAGGTTAAATTAGCGTAGGACAATATTAAATTGTGGGATCAATATAGAGGTTAAATTAGAGTAGGAGAATAGGAAATTGTGGGATCAATATAGAGGTAAAATTAGAGTAGGAAAAATAGGAAATTGTGGGATCAATATAGAGGTTAAATTAGCGTAGGACAATATTAAATTGTGGGATCAATATAGAGGTTAAATTAGAGTAGGAGAATAGGAAATTGTGGGATCAATATAGAGGTAAAATTAGAGTAGGAGAATAGGAAATTGTACGATCAATAGAGAGGTAAAATTAGAGTAGGAGAATAGGAAATTGTACGATCAATATAGAGGTTAAATTAGAGTAGGACAAAATTAAATTGTGGGATCAATATAGAGGTTAAATTAGTGTAGGAGAATAGGAAATTGCGGGATCAATATAGAGGTAAAATTAGAGTAGGAGAACAGGAAATTGTACGATCAATATAGAGGTAAAATTAGAGTAGGAGAATAGGACATTGTACGATCAATATAGAGGTTAAATTAGAGTAGGACAATATTAAATTGTGGGATCAATATAGAGGTTAAATTAGAGTTATAGGAAAATAGGAAACTGTGGAATCAATATAGAGGTTAAATTAGAGTAGGAGAATAGGAAATTGTGGGATCGATATAGAGGTTAAATTAGAGTAGGAGAATAGGAAATTGTGGGATCAATATAGAGGTTAAATTAGAGTAGGAGAATAGGAAATTATGGGATCAATATAGAGGTTAACTTAGAGTAGGAGAATAGGAAATTGTGGAATCAATATTGAGGTTAAATTAGAGTAGGATAATAGGACATTGTGGAATGAATAGAGGGGAGCTTAAAAAGAAGGGAAGTATAGGACGAGAAAGGGAAGAGACGAGAAAGGGAAAGACTAAAGAGTGAATGAAGGGGTGAAGTACCAAGAAAAGGAAAAAAGGAAAGAGGGAATCAGGAGAAGGGGGGTCAGGGCAGATTGAAAGGAAGAGAGTTGGGACAGAAATGTGGTGTTTGGGTGGTGATGATACACGCTACTTTATCTTCGGTCTGAGTAATTCAGATTACACAAAACTTTGCTTGTTTTTAAGGTTCGTGGTATTTTTGCCATTGGGGAGTTGTACTGAGTTCCCCAAACAATTATTTTGAGGCAAATCGGTAAAGGACTTCATGAGTTATGATCGGACATCCTAACAAACAGACAAACAGATATTATTACTTTACATAAAGATGGATTATTTAAATTTTTATTTTCATAGTTCTTTAAACATAAAAACTGTTTTATGTAATTACAATGCACAATTTACTATAGTCTTTAACTAATGTACTAATTGTACATGCATAATGTACTTGGTTGTTTTAAACATATTATGTACACATCGTCTCTACGATCTCAATACTGGGAACTGTGGATCTCCTAAAAAAATGCAATCAATCATCAAAATTCGATGTAAATTTTACAAAGCTAAAATTCTTTTCAATAATTCTTATTAAATGTCGGTCGTCAATTTTCAGAAAGAATTGGAGGATTATTTTTAAACGGAATGATGGATTTCATTGATCGTTTGCAAGGATTGTAAACAGAATTTCAAATGAAAAAAGCCTAGTTTTAGTACCAATTCACAAGAATATCATTTCAACCTTTATCTGAATAGGTGAGGGGTAGGGCTGGGCAAAGGTCCGGTATGCCTTTAACTCAAAAAGCTGGTTTCCTGGGACTGTAGAGATGGGCACCTTCGATTTATTTTCATTTTTTTGTTTATTGTTTCTGAACGACCCTTTTTTCAATTGTTCAAAAAATAAATGAATTCGTTCGTTCTCAAAATTATCGTTTTTATTTGTTTTTCCACTGAACGATCGTTCAGTAAAATCGTTCGTTCCGTCAAATTGTTCGTTCAATAAAATGATTCTTCAGTAAAAAAAAAATTAATTTTAAATCATTAGTTTCTGTTTTTTCGTTAATTTTTAAAAACCGATCATTCTTTGAATTATCCATTTTGTTCGATCATCGTTCGTTGCTTTTCTGAACAACACCTTTTTTCATCCCTACCTGGGAGGGAGGGGCGGGGAGTCCATGCCAGGTGCAGGTGGGCGGGGAACCAGAGTCTCCTTCCTAACTTTATTCTTTCATTTTAATCATTCAATTTTAATTTAATATAGACATTTTTAAGAGACGGCATGGAACACCAAACTAAAGTAAAATAAAATCTTTTATGTTTTCAATCACAACTCCTTATATTAAAGGGAGTGTTCGCGAAAAATGACCTTTCATTTTAGGCTTAATGCGATAAAAAAGCGCTTTTGATCGATACCAAATTGTTTAAAGAACTATTGTTTTGAACATCTTATATGTAACCGGGGTTAAATATTTGTTCTGATAAACATAAAAACTAGAAGAGCTACGAGGTCACAAAGTTGTACCAGTACATACTCCTCCTGTCTAGTTTGCAGTGATGGTGGAGAATATTTTCATGGTTTCATACAATTTAAAGAATATTTTCCTTTTGATCGGAATTTCCATTTTCTTGTTAAACTCTTCTACTTTCTCCTTGTCCTGGCTTAAAGGGGTAACCTTGGTCGCCTTATCCTTACCCCTTAATAAATATTTGTTTTGGTGTTATTATTATTAATTATTATTAATTCCCAAAGAATCAGTTTTGTCAATTACCATTATGTCAACTGGCCCAAATATGTACACTGAACAGTTAAGACCACTTTTTAAATTTTTAGTAATTTTGATTTGACATTTTTAAAACAAATTTAGTTTGCACAAAATATACATTTTTAAATGTATATGCATAAATGCTAGAAAGTTGTTTTCTAGAAAAATTGCTTTGAAAACAGACTGGGCACAACTTTTAATGTTTTCTTATGTCTGAGTTTCAACATAGTTTAGGTTTACAGCAGCAATTTCAAATAGATTTTCGCGACAGGAATTACGTTTTATGGCCTGAAATTTTCCAATGAAAAACTGGGGTCTCGATTGAAAATCTCGGGTTGGTCTCCAATGAAAATTTAGGGTTTAAAACGAAAAGTTTGGGGTTTCCAATGAGAATCCGGGGGTCTACAATTAAATTATGGGGGTCTCCAAGAGACGATCATACGGGTCTCTGACTCCCAATATTGTTCGCCATAAACCCACACCCTCCATATATTATTTTTTTTAGACAAGGCCGATTTCAAAGTATTGCACGGGAAATATTTATTTTTAAATATCTGAATAGACGTTAAGTTTATTTTAAGAAAACATTATATAACAATGATTGCCCCCCCCCCCCTCAGCCCGTTGTATTTTTCTTCAAAATACGTCTCAGGCTCTATATCTTATTTTGTTTACAATTGAAAACTGGTTTCAAACAACAATATGCAGTATGCAATTGCAGTACACAGTTCGGAAACAATATGAACGGAAAGTATGAAAATCTAACAAGTATGTGCTCATTGTGGTAAATTTAAGCCATTTGACATTATGGTAATTGACAAAACTGATTCTTAGGATTAATTCTTGTGCAGATTAACCCAAAACTTCGGAGACATCAAAAGAATTTATAAAATGTCGTTCTCTAAACCTTCTAATAATGGAATACTGCAGATATTTAGTTTTTCAATTGAATAATTAAAGAAATCTCTTCTATTGACTGATATTTCATGGCTATTTATTTTATTTTTACAATTAATGAGATTTAGGGTTTGATGAAGGTTGGTGAGGGAGGGACCCCCCCCCCCCCGACGCCATGAGCCTCCACTATGCAGACACGAGCCTCCCAGATTTTTTCGGCAGATCGAGCCTCCGCTATGCAGTAATGAGTATGTGCAATACATCAAAATGTACCTGGGTAATACAGGAGGTTTTTTTTAAACTTGTCTTTTAAGAAAATATTATAAAACCCATCAGAAATTGGCAAAACACATTTTATAAATTCTTTCGAAGTCCCAAGTTCTGTATTACACTGTAGGATTATTATTATTACTGCTAATTTATTATTATTATTATTATAATTATTATTATTATTATTATTATTACTATTATTATTATTATTATTATTATTATTATTATTATTATTATCATTAATATTATTATTAAAAGAATTATATTTATTTAATATTTTACACAGAGTATGAATTGTTAGAAAATGTGTTTATGATCTATTAATACTATTATTTGCATTATAATTCATGAAATTATAATCGTATTGGCATTATCACCATCGCCATTATTACTATTTTTATCTTCATCTTTATTATCATTAGTATTTGAATAGTATACTAACCAAGAAACCTTGAACTGGTTTGCAAAAAAACCTTGTCGTGTGAAGCTGGATATTTGCTGTGCAAATACTGCATGCAGAATAGATCTAAATATTCAATAATTTTACTATTTAAGGGACCGTAATCTTAAGGGACCCTCTATGCAAAGATGGCAATGCCCGATTCACAATGGAACCCGTAAAAAAAGCTTTGTCTGATCAAGAATGAATTTATATCATCGTTTTTAATTTTGAAGACTGATTACTTTCAATTATGGTTTTAAAAACAAAAGATGCTTGATAATTTCTTCTAAGGAAATAAGCAGAATTAAATGGTAACTTGAAATTCCCTTTAAGCCCTAAAGTAATAAAACTGGACACTCGCCTCTAACTCTAATTATCTAATCGCTATCACTTTGCAACCTAATGGTGAGTTCGGATTGTGGTTATTTCGTTAGAAATTTTTACACATCTTTTCTCTGATAGGTTGTTGGAGTAACTTTTATACTTGTTGTTAAAATCAAAACTAGAGAAGTCAAAAGGTCTGAAAGTCGTACCAGTGATGTCGCCAAAATTAAGATTATTTCAAATGACCTGAGAAGATTATGTGTATGGCCAAGGAGAAAAAGAAACACTGCAAGAGGTTGTGGGGTATTCACTGAATAATAATAAGTTAAAAATAATAATATGAAAAATTAATAAATCGCTTTAACTAACTTACAAACTAATTTACAAACTGGTTTACAAACTGGTTTACAAACTGGTTTACAAACTGGTTTACAAACTGGTTTACGAACTGGTTCACAAACTGGTTTACAAACTGGTTCACAAGCTGGTTTACAAACTAGTTTACAAACTAGTTTGCAAACTGGTTTACAAAGTGGTTTACAAACTGTCTTACAATACAATTTTATTTGCAAATTTACCTATCCCCCATTTTGAAAGTAAAAGTTCAGTCAAACAGGGCCCCCACATCACCACACAAGCTGCCAGGGTTAACCACTACCCACCAATTTTAAAAATTCAATTAAATTTACAAATCAAACAATTTAAGAATTTTATTATAAAATGTTTGAATTAAAAAAATATTTTTTAAATTGATTTTCCTGGTGGTGACTGGACGTTACAAAATAAACTTTTGCTTTTTAATCAAATATTTAAAATAAAATAATTTTTCACAAAACTTATAATTGAGGTTTAATATTTTTATTTCAGAGCAAATATTTTCCTTATAATTTCATGATGAGTGTTTTTCACCGCTGAGTCGAGATCAAAGTTAATTTTTTCAAATTCATCATGAAATAACATAAGTGAGAAATTAAGCTTTTTGGCATTAACACATCGGCAGTGTTTAAAGAAATCCAGTAAGCCAAATTGGTATGAACTTTTTCGATAAGAAAATATTTCTTTTTAAATTATGTTGTATCTTTAAATTAATCATATATCTATGGTTTATTTATTACCTTGAAAACTTCACCTAAAAAGATCGATTCTTAAACAACAAAATAAATATCTTGGCAAAAACAATTGCCTAAACAACATAACAATCAAATGTTAACATTGTTCATTCCTGAGGTAATGAAGACGTTGAGTGAGGTTGTTATAAGAACAGGAGTAGCAAAGCAAAGGAGAAACAGCAGGATAAAGTAGTAAGAAACAAATCTAGAAACAGCAGGATAAAGCAGAAAGACACAAATCTAGAAACAGCAGGATAAAGTAGTAAGACACAAATCTAGAAACAGCAGGATAAAGTAGTAAGAAACAAATCTAGAAACAGCACGATAAAGTAGTAAGTCACAAATCTAGAAACAGCAGGGTAAAGTAGTAAGTCACAAATCTAGAAACAGCAGGATAAAGTAGTAAGACACGAATCTAGAAACAGCAGGATAAAGTAGTAAGAAACAAATCTTGAAACAGCAGGATAAAGTAGTAAGACAGGAATCTAGAAACAGCAGGATAAAGTAGTAAAACACAAATCTAGAAACAGCAGGATAAAGTAGTAAGACACGAATCTAGAAACAGCAGGATAAAATAGTAAAACACAAATCTAGAAACAGCAGGATAAAGTAGTAAAACACAAATCTAAAAAAACAGCAGAATAAAGTGATAAGACACAAATCTAGAAACAGCAGGATAAAGTGATAAGACACAAATCTAGAAACAGCAGGATAAAGTAGTAAGAAAAAACAGCAGAATAAAGTGATAAGACACAAATCTAGAAACAGCAGGATAAAGTGATAAGACACAAATCTAGAAACAGCAGGATAAAGTAGTAAGACACAAATCTAGAAACAGCAGGATAAAGTGATAAGACACAAATCTAGAAAACACATTATTTCCCTACATATTACTTATAACTTGAAAATCTAAAAATATTAGAGTAGCATTTTTTTTAATGACAAGTGTTTTATCAAGGGGATAATTTGAGTTCAATTGTAGGGATAGCCTGTTTTATCAAGGGGATAATTTGAGTTCAATTGTAGGGATAGCCTGTTTTATCAAGGGGATAATTTGAGTTCAATTGTAAAAAATAAAAATGATTTTGAGGTCTTAGATAATATATCTGTCTTGAAGGAAAGAGTTTTTTAAAGTTTCTCCAAAGAAATCAGAATTATTCGTAATCTATATAGTGTAGACCTACAAACTGTGATATTATTATTATGAAATTATGAAATATATTTTGAAAAAATTTAATCCGACAATTTACTGGTTTAAGTTGAAGAAATTCAAAATATGGGGGACCTAAATGATAAATATTCATCTGCTGAATCTAGGGTTTGCATGAACAAAACGTCTTGCGGAAACAATTCGAAAATTTTCATTCGTACTTCGCAAACTTTTTAATGAAATTTCGGATTTTTTTCGCGAATGAAGCAAAAATTGCGAAAACAAAACGAAATTTCGCGAAAAATCTTATCTCGAAAATTACGCATTTCGCGAAAAACATTGGTGTTAAAGCTGTAATTTGTCTTTTTGATGAATTTTCGCAAAAATTTAGCATTTTTCTCATTTCTAATTTAATCGCGAAATTTTAGCATTTCTTATTTTGCGAAAATTTTGCATTTTTCGCTGCAAACCCTAGCTGAATCACAATTCTCAGAATTTTTAAAAGCGGCTCAAATATTGTTGGTTCCACTTAATTAATTTGTAATTAATGTTTCAAGATTTAAGCCGGCGCTCAATTTAAACCGGTTTTTGAATAGTTTGAGACTCGTCTCAAATTTATTAAATTCGGACTCTGGCTAACATATTTATAGTCAATTAACCCTTCTAACTAATTAACTATACAGCTGAAGTGCTCGGCGGTGCCCGTGAAATTGAAAAAAAAACTTTTAAAAAAATAGAATTTTAGCCTTTGTTACCCTGGGATACTCCTGTGTTCCCTCAAAAAATTCAGCCTATTCGGTCCAGCCGTTTGGCCAGCTATATAAATCAGAACGAGAGTAATATCAAATTGAAGATTTTATTCCAGGGAGGGGGGGGGGCATATATATAGACCCTTCAGTCTTGTTTAAGGGAAATTACTGCAGGAGAAATTTATTGACTCGACAATTCATATTGTTATTAAACTTTACTTCTCTGATGTCACTCTACACTGTGGGCTGGCATAGATAGGATCCTCTTTAGGTAGAAGTTCAACTCTTTTAGTTGTGGTGGTCTCAGGACCTTCAAGAGTTGCTACAGCTCGCCTGTAAGAGAATAACATTATTATGACCTGCACAAATTTTACCATGTAAATTCATAAACTCATTTTCTAAACTTGGTTTATACAATTTACACATCCAATAAAAACATTTTAGCTAATCTAAGCTATCTGCGAGACTTTTGATTTTCATACAGTTTGGATTTAAGATTCAATGCGCGACTACTATATTCTAACTCTTAGAGCAGAAGGATGAACTTTTGGCCAAACGGAAGATTGGGGACGCATAACATTAGTTTGATTTTTTAAAACACAAATCCGGGGAGGTCGTCGCGTTAATGAAACTTTTTTCTCAAAAATGCCATTTTAACCTGCTAAAGTAGGCCTAATATTCGAATAGATGCTCAGTCTCCTTTCCAAGATTTTCAAAAAAATCTAAATCATAATTTTATTTTTACGGTTAATACAACAAAATAGAATAAGCAGTGCTCATTTTTATGATAGAATTAAGGATTTTTCAGAATAAAATACAAAAAGATGTTTGAATGTTTTTGAATCTTAGGACAAGGGACCGAGTATTTTTCAAGTACATTTTGAAGGTTAAAACGACATTTTGGAGCAAAATATTTAAACAAAACAGTAGTATTCCCTCCCTCACTTAACAGGATTTAACAGTAGTATTCCCTCCCTCACTTAACAGGATTAAACTGTAGTATTCCCTCCCTCATTTATCAGGATTAAACTGTAGTATTCCCTCCCCCACTTAACAGGGTTAAACAGTAGTGTTCCCTCCCTCACTTAACAGGATTAAACAGTAGTATTCCCTCCATCACTTAACAGGATTTAACAGTAGTATTCCCTCCCTCACTTAACAGGATTAAAATGTAGTATTCCCTCCCTCATTTAACAGGATTAAACTGTAGTATTCCCTCCCTCACTTAACAGGATTAAACAGTAGTATTCCCTCCCTCACTTAACAGGGTTAAACAGTAGAGAACAGTTTGTTACCTTCCACACTCTATTATCTTATCCTCTACAACCCTAGAGAACAGTTTGTTACCTTCCACACTCTATTATCTTATCCTCTACAACCCTAGAGCTCACTCTCGATTCATCGGATATCTTTCTGAACGAAGGAATTCAAAACAGCAATAGGATAATTATACATTAAAACTCTTTTTAAAAGTTTATAATTAAAAACAATACTTTGTTTCCAAAACTTTGTGCAAAACGAAAGTGTTTTGAACAAAAAAAAATTTTTATTGAGGTATAAAAGAACCTCTTTGAATTATTGTTTGTAGTGGCCTAACTGTAAAAAGTATTAAAATCTGTAATATTGTTGGAGGGATATCTGTGATTAACAACTCAGAAAAAAACTTTCTTAAAAAAACAAATGTTTATTTTGAATTGAATTCTTAGCGTCCCTAAATATTTTGTCTGCAAGTTCCTCAGCAACCTCTTTCTCTAAATTTTTATTATGTTTTATTATAACGTTTCTTTTTTTCCTTGTCAATCCCTTTCGTGCCTTAATCAGAATTTTGGCATCATAAGCTCCCGTTGAAGTAGGAATAGTTGAAGGCAATTGCTTAGTCATACTTGGAGTCGTCTTCGTTGGAAGCTGGGTCATCATTTGTTTTGTAGCGGGAGATCGATCTGGAAATATTGAAAGAGGAGTGGATGAATCTATTCCTCTCTCTGTAGTTAGAATCCCTTCAACGCTTCCTGATATATTTGTGGAGGTTGAATTACTTGAAGATACTGTTGAACTTGATACTGATCCGTTGTTTTCTTCTGGACTTTTAGTTGATTTCTCATCATCATCTGGTTCTTCTTCAATAGCAGATGGAAACACAGCTAAATATGATTAAAATTTAAAAATATCTTTAATAAAGATTTATCTTATCTTATCTTAGTCCGGAGGCCATGCTTCCAACCTTTGTATTAATGTAAATTTTTTGGGTTGCATCTGGTCAAGTTCAGATAAGATTTCATTAAAATGAACCCAAGTTCGTTTCTAAGAAGAAATGGGCATCATTTTTTAAAGCGATAAAGAACTACAGTGATAACCAGAAAACTCTGGAACAAAAAATCGACTTTTAGACTCAAGTTATGACTTTAAATGGTCCAATGAACATAAAGCACAGCAACTGTTCAGTTTATCAAACCCATTTTACTTAATACGTGATTTTATAACGTACAAGCTATTTCCTTCATTACAACATTAGATGCACTTTAAAGGGAGGTTTTTGTCTAAATGTGTTTTTGCAAAAATGGTTAGAAATCTATTGTAAAGCAAGCTGTATGTCTCGTCTTGGATGTTGAATTGCATTTCTGATAACGCCATCAATATCGATGCAAATGTGCATGCCTTGATCTATTTACTTTTTCTAAAGATCGCTTTCTTTCCTTGAAAACATTTTTTTTCAAAGATTTTATCTAAAAATGATCTTCCAATTTCATTTTTTTTCATCTTATTAAAGCGATCAAATTTGTCTTTCATATGGTGGTAAGCGATAAATAAATTGTAATGAAAACGACTTTTGATTTAAATTTTTATTTATATCAGGTTTTTAAACAGCATGGATGAACAAAATCATGGAAACAAAGAGAAGCTGTCAAGTAAAAAAGATTCTCTTTATTTACTGGTAAACTTTTAATTCGAAAAAGCTTGTTAACAACTAATATTTAAATAAAAATATGTCTTCATTGTATTGATATAATCGCCTACCACCGTTTAAAAAAAGAGAAGAAAAAAACTACATTTATGAGCAATACCTTCCAGAGGGTAGTCGTTCTGTTCTTCTTCTTCGTCAATCAATGAGTTTACATCCATAGTTTCATCTGTACCAGACTCATCCTCATCCTCATCATTTTCATACTCACACTTAACTGAATTATCATTATTATTATTATATGGTCACAAAATGTCTACAGTAAACTAATTAGTTGTTTAGGAGCAGGTTGAGAAAAAAAAATTACTCTTATCCGCGTATTGAGTAATTTAATTCAGTGATTGGTTTCTGTAATGTCTCATTCATTACAAACTTTTTCGCAGATTTTCTGGAATTTTTATTGAAAAAAAAAACGAATTTGAAGAAATCTGCGAACAATTTCTTAAAGAATAAGATATTCAATATAATGATGAAAAAGAAAAATAATTAATTCCAACATTGATTTATTGACAAATTTTTTATTGAGAAATATATTCCTAAATATCTATTTAGTTTATTGTAGAATTGTTGATACTTTTTTCGTTGTCGTTTTTGAAAAATTTAGAGAAATAAATTCTCAAAATCTTCCCTTCAAAAGGAGCAATCTATGCGAATGTTTGAATTTGCGCTCTTGCTGAACAAATATGCACCGTAAAAATGTCTGATAGGTCTCAAATGAACACTAACAAATTTCTCTACAATACTGTATTCTCAGCTCAACTACCATATCTAGCCAGACACTCCCTTTAATTTAGTATTTGGTTCAACAGATGAACTTTTGATTTAATTTTAATTTAAGCGAATTGCCATTTACTGTTACATAATCTGTTTTGAGTAACAAAGAGAAAGATATCTTTAAAATTATGAAAAAAGATTAATTTTGTCACTTGTTTACAGAAACCAAGATTAAAAATTATCATTTCTGAGGTAGTAAGTAAAGGACATTTACATTACTTATACATCTAAAAAACTAGTTAAGGAATTGCTCTCAAAGTGAAAATTCTGATTTTCCATATTTAAAAAACATTGATTATGTTACCTCCTTCATTAAGAAGCCTTGTACATACAAAGGATGTTGAATTCTCATTTTGTTGTGTAGTTGGTTGAGTAGTTGTTGTCTAAATAGTTAGCTGATTATCAAAACTACAATAAAAAAGAGTATTATATCTTGTAAAATTATAGAGAACATTTTTTTTGATATTCTACAATTTTCAAATACAAAATTGTCTATGATTAAAATAAATGTCATCCATTAAAAAAAGAACCAACATTTTTCTATTGGTTCTCAAGCAAGAATTAGCCATAGTCACTTTTGTAGAGAACCCCAAATTTAAAATAAACAGTACAGTATTAAAATTTGATCAGATAAAGCTTTTAATGGTACCGTCGTGAAGCGGAAATGTCCCTCCATCAATGAAATATCCCTCTATCAATGAAATATCCGTCTATCAATGAAATGTCCCTCTATCAACGAAATGTCCCTCTATCAATTAAATGTCCCTCTATCAATGAAATGTCCATCTATAAATGAAATGTCCCTCTATCAATGAAATGTCCATCTATCAATGAAATGTCGATCCCTCAATGAAATGTCCCTCTATCAATGAAATGTCCCTCTATCAATGAAATGACCCTTCATCAATGAAATGTCCCTCTATCAATGAAATGTCCCTTCATCAATAAAATGTCCCTCTTTCAATGAAATGTCCCTCTATCAATGATGAAATGTCCCTCCATCAATGAAATGTTCCTCCATCAATGAAATGTCCTTCCATCGATGAAATGTACCTCTATCAATGAAATATAATAAAATAAACAGTACAGTATTAAAACTTGATCAGATAAAGCTTTTAATGGTACCGTCGTGAATCGGAAATGTCCCTCCATCAATGAAATATCCCTCTATCAATGAAATATCCGTCTATCAATGAAATGTCCCTCTATCAACGAAATGTCCCCCTATCAATGAAAATGCCCCTCTATCAATGAAATGTCCCTCTATCAATGAAATGTCCCTCTATCAATGAAATGTCCCTCTTTCAATGAGATGTCCCTCCATCATTGAAATGTTCCTCTATCAATGAAATGTCCCTCTATCAATAAATTGTCCCTCTATCAATAAAATGTCCCTCTATCAACGAAATGTCCCTCTATCAATGAAATGTCCCTCTATCAACGAAATGTCCCCCTATCAAAGAATTGTCCCTCTATCAATGAAATGTCCCTCTATCAATGAAATGTCCCTCTATCAATGAAATGTCCATCTATCAATGAAATGTCCATCTATCAATAAAATGTCCCTCTATCAATGAAATGTCCATCTATTAATGAAATGTCCCTCAATCAATGAAATTTCCCTCTATCAATGAAATTTCCATCTATCAATGAAATGTCCATCTATCAATAAAATGTCCCTCTATCAATGAAATGTCCCTCTATCAATGAAATGTCCATCTATAAATGAAATGTCCCTCAATCAATAAAATGTCCCTCTATCAATGAAATGTCCCTCTATCAATGAAATGTCCATTTATAAATGAAATGTCCCTCAATGAATGAAATGTCCATCTATCAATGAAATGTCGATCCCTCAATGAAATGTCCCTCTATTAATGAAATGTCCCTCTATCAACAATGTCCCTTCATCAATAAAATGTCCCTCTTTCAATGAAATATCCCTCTATCAATGATGAAATGTCCCTCCATCAATGAAATGTTCCTCCATCAATGAAATGTCCTTCCATCGCTGAAATGTACCTCTATCAATGAAATGTCCCTCTATCAATGAAATATTCATCTATCTATGAAATGTCGATCCCTCAATGAAATGTCCCTCTATCAATGAATTGTCCATCTATCAATGAAATGTCCCTTTATCAATGAAATGTCCCTCTATCAATGAAATGTCCCTCTATCAATGAAATGTCCATCTATCAATGAAATGTCCGTCTATCAATGAAATGTCCCTCTATCAATGAAATGTCCCTCTATCAATAAAATTTCCCTCTTTCAATGAAATGTCCCTCTATCCCTTTTATAATAAAAATTGAAATTATGAAGTTTTTAAAAGCATTTATAAATGATATTTAGCTTTTTCTTACCGTTGTTTCAACATAAGTAGACTCTGTGTATGAAAAACAGATGTGTTCATTTGGGGTGATTGATTTGTGACTTTTTTTTAGAAATCAGCCAGCCGCCCACTTGAGGTAGCTGCGTTTTTACTTTATAAAAAATATTGTAATCAAAAAAAAATTAAAAATCGTCCTTAAGGTTGCGAATTGACGGTTTATTATTGGAGAAATCGCCGTAAGGCCAAAAAAATATTTTTAAAAAAAAATATGTTACATATCATTTTCTTGGAAATTTCATGCTGAATTTAGATTCGATGTATTCGGGGAATTCTCCGATATTAAATCGTCAAATCGCAACCTTCTAGACGATTTTGAAATTTTTTTAAATGCAATATTTTTCTTAAGTGAAAACCCAGCGACCTCTGGTGGGCGGTTGGCTCTATTCCAATATTGATCACCCTTAGTGTTCAGAATTAATAGAATTTACAGACGTTAGATCTTTGGTTGGGTGAGAAAAAGGGCGGTTTCCCAAGGATGCAAGCATCAGATATTCTTGATTTTGTATCGGTTGAATTTATAAAAATCAAAAGATGTTACGAGTTAGATTATTTTCTACCTGGGTGGGTTAAACTTTGACTTTTTAAAATAACAAAGGTTGGAAACTGAAAAGATGTATGCATTAGATTATGAAAGCGTATCCTTTGGCCTCAAACAAAAACAACGCAAATAAGTTTAATTATCATCTGTTTAAGCATTCCTAGAACTGTAGGTTCACTGTGTGGTCCTGGAAACAGCTGTGATGCTAGCGCATTTCTTGGCCTTGCAAATATTTGTTATTTTTGATAAATCCGCAATATTTTTCATCACGGTGATTAACAATCTCCTACTTATCTCAATATTTTTCATCACGGTGATTAACAATCTCCTACTTATCCGCAATATTTTTCATCACGGTGATTAACAATCTCCTACTTATCTCTAAATATTTTTCATCACGCGGTGACTACTTATCCGCAATATTTTTCATCACGGTGATTAACAATCTCCTACTTATCCGCAATATTTTTCATCACGGTGATTAACAATCTCCTACTTATCTCTAAATATTTTTCATCACGCGGTGATTAACAATCTCCTACTTATCCGCAATATTTTTCATAAAGGTGATTAACAATCTCCTACTTATCCGCAACATTTTTCATAAAGGTGATTAACAATCTCCTACTTATCCGCAATATTTTTCATCATGGTGATTAACAATCTCCTACTTATCCGCAATATTTTTCATCAAGGTGATTAACAATCTCCTACTTATCTAATCCGCAATATTTTTCATCAAGGTGATTAACAATCTCCTACTTATCTCTAAAGATATGAACGATGATGTTAGGTAATTTCCCAAAGGCTATTTTCCAAGCGGGAACTTCCTAAGACTGCTTAGCCACAGAGCCCGGCCCCTAAGCTAGTTGCAAAAATGGCCCCGTAGCCCATCCTAGCCGCAGCGCTCGGCACCTGTTTAACCCAACCTTAAATGTACATTCCTTTATAAAAAGCTGGTTTTTTGGTATGCAACAATTTTCATTTAATCCCGCCGGGATATTTTCATTGAAAGATACTTTGAAAATTTACAAAGGCAAAAAAATCCGCAAGCCCTCGGGTTTATCATTGAATCCCCTCTTTAAAAAGGAATGTCATTTACTCTCAGACAAATTAGAATCAATGGAAATTTGAACCCCCGAGGGATTCAAATTTCCATTGATTCTAATTTTTCTGAGAGTAAATGATACATTTAAGAAGTTGTAAATGTACGCTTGGGAAATTCCACATTTGGAAAGTTGCCGCTTGGGAAATTGTCACTTGGGAAGTTACTCTTGGGAAAAGGCCTTTGGGAAAGCAACTTAAACCTGAACTACTGGGCTGCTCTCAAAGGTTGAGACTTCAGAGAGGACTGTACGGAATTGAAACTGTGTTCCTTATATTAATAGTTCTCTGCAACTGTAAAATTCCTTTTTTCCAAATCATTGAAAAACCCATTTCAAGACATTTCAAGATAGAAGACTTGACTTTATGGATCGTCATATTTGAAGAGTTTCAAGTCGTCTTTCCATTCTCTTCCTTTGTTGGAATATCAGCTGTAGTTGCATATTACTATTTATATAAAAACGTTTGCATATCAAGGAATAAAGTTTAAAAGCGTAAAATAAAATATACTTGTTTTCCTTATTTTTTTATTTTAAATTCATCTCGAGATTAAATCAAAATATTAAATGCTAAAAATGCTAAAGAAATTGAGTCGTTGCCACAAACTTTGATTTTCTTATCCCTTTATTTTTTCAATCAATAGACCTTAGATATTCGAAAATTTGAGATTTTTACAAATTTTTGGAAATTTGGTGCAAATTATTAAACTTACATGGTATTTTTTATGTCAATCGTCTCTGCCTTGATACTCAGAACTTCCTAAAAAAAATATTTTAATTGAAAGAAAAAAAATATTAAAAAAATTTTTTTTACCCCTTTTGAAACTGTTGAAATTTGTGCCACCAATATTACCACAAAGCAGACAGCTAAAACAATTTTGTAATTTATTTATTAAGAAAATGTAAAAAATAATTATTTTTTATTTGTTATCAATGTAAATTGTAAAATAGAGAAATTTTATTATTATTATTATTAATTATTTCAAGCGTTTAAGGGCCTCGACTTTAGACTTAATTTCAAGTGACCTTTGATTATAGATTCATAACAACCCTTTAATCCTTCAATCAAAAAGTCTAGTTTTTCTGACTGACAAGTGATTATTCTTAATTGTAGTTTCTTTATCAAAGTGAATTCTAGGGTTTCAAGCGCACGAAAACTTTCGCGAAAATTTTCGTTCGTATTTCGCAAACTTTTTCGCGAAATTTCTCATTTTTTCGCGAAAATGAATTTAGCGAAAAATGTTCAGAGTTTATCGGTTATCACTGTAGAAAAAGAAAAATAGCCTCCTTATACACTCAGATGAGGTTTACAGTTTACCACTGTAAATTTTACATGCTCCTCTTTGAAATGTAGCTACGGTCACTTATAATTAAGTCTATAGGAAGTAGGAAAAATATAAAAAACCTAATCAGTCGCCGTAAAATCAGATTATTATCCTTGCTGTCGGTGACCTTTGATATTTCTAACTGAGAGATTAAATTGTCAAAGTTTGAAATATCTAAGGTCAAACAAGCCAGAGTTTGCGACAAGCATAATCAGACATTTTTATGAGAATAAGAACTATTCTAATGATAACTTTCTAAACTATGACAATTAATATGTATACCTAAAGTCCAGGAGGATAGGAACCAGGCAATAGAAAATTTTCTAGTGACATGCCTATGATCTCGATACACTGCAAAAGCCTGTAAGAAAAATTTATTAAAAAATAACGAAAATGAAGTTATTTAATAGCTGGAGAAAAAATGTATTAAACAGTTTAGAAAAAGTCGATTGTAAAGTCGGATGAAAGTCGACTTTTAATAACTAGTCCATAAACTGAAATGAAAAAGTCGACGTTTTAAGACTTTTTCGTTGAGTTTTTGCCAAATTGAACTGTAGTATAAAATCCCAGATGAAAGTCTTAAACTCGACTTAAAAAGTCGACTTAAATTCGAAATAATAGTCGACTTAAACTCAAATTAAATAGTTGACTTAAACTCGACTTTAAAAGTCGACTAAAACTCGATTTTAAAAGTTGGGTCTTTGCCGAGTTGGAAAACTCTTTTAAAAGTGGTATAAAAACTCGTACAAAAGTGGTATAAAATCCCAGCTTAACGTATAGTTCTAGTAAGACTATTTACGAGTCAAAGTCGATTTCTTGGAATAAAAAAGTCGAGTTTCAGCGAAGTTTTGTTTGTTGGGATACTGAACTTATTCTGTATGGTGACTGCCAAAAAACTTTCTGAAAATGACTTTTTTTCTTTCGGACTTTAATTCTGAGATTTTATTTCCTGAGCCTTTTTTGGCAGCCCCCATTTTTTAGGAAGTAAAGTCCCGGGAATCTAAAACTTAGGACTTCATTTCCAGTGACATTTTGTCCTAGGACTTCAGAAAATTGGTACTTTTTTCCAGGTTTATTTTCAAAAACTTTTTTTCCTGTGACTTTCTACCATAGATTCATTTTATATCTAGGAATTATCAACATATCAATCTTATACTAAAGAAATCAACCAAAACCCCACCCCCTTTCATTTTTCGCAAATACTCCCTTTAATACCTATGTTTATTAAGTCATAAATTTACATAAATAACTAAAATGACTTTAAAGAAGGTGAACATTTTGTTCCAAATTCTTATTTTCTAATCCATATATTTTACCAATCTGTTCAACTTTAAATATTCGATATAGCAGACTTTAAAGTTTGAAATATCAAAGGTAAGCAACATATGGGATATAGCAGACTTTAAAGTTTGAAATATAAAAGGTATGCAACATTTGGGATATAGCAGACTTTAAAGTTTGAAATATCAAAGGTATGCAACATATGGGATATAGCAGACTTTAAAGTTTGAAATATCAAAGGTAAGCAACATATGGGATTTAGCAGACTTTAAAGTTTGAAATATCAAAGGTATGCAACTTATGGATGAAAAGATTTAAGTGTATGCGGCGAGTAATCAATTTCTTTCTTTTCAATTTCTATTTTCTTATCCCCATATCTTTGCTAGCCGTTGTTCTAGGCCTTTGATATTTTAAACTATGAATTCTATTAGACTAATTATGGTCTAATTTTGAAATGTCAAAAGTTGCAAAGATATAGTGAAAAGAAACTTTCAGTTTTTGGCAAAAACTATGTTCCTTTTGGAAATGTGATGCCTGTGTTCCCAGTCAAAATCTAAAAGTTCTTTTATATTAAAAACTAATCAATTTTAAGCAAGAAATACCTGAAACCTTTCAATGGCCATCCCTAGTACGGAGAAGAAACTGGTAACTATTGGAACAACATACAAACCGTAGACTAGTTTGTACTACATTAACACATCTATTCTTAAAAAGTGTTCACCAAGCCTAACCCCTTTACTCTAAAAAAAAATGGAAAAAAATTTAACAAATAGCCCCTTCATAACTACAAAAACCTATACAAACATTAGTTATACCGTAGTATTACGAGATCTTTATAGTTTTTGGTTTTTGGTGGTGAATCAATTGAAAAAGCTATAAACATTCGTGTTTTCTAAATTTTCCACGAAAGTTGTTTATAACAAAAAATTTAATAACCTTTGGAGCTTAGTAAGATTTTTTTATGTAATATATATGTTGTAAAGTTGTTAGAAAGATCAAACTTATTGTCAAAAAGGTTCATACTTTATTTTTTAGTTCAATAACTTCATGAATAAGTAAGGCTTTTTTTCTAGGTTTTATCGTTCGGCCTATCAAGCTTCAGAATCAAGCATGTAATGCAAGGAAAGTTAATTGCAGTTGTGCATACTCTGCGTACATATTGAAACCAGTTCTCTCTGGGCGGAATTTGTAAACAAGAATATATGCATGCAGTGTTCGTTTAGTATCCGAGGAGGTTAAAAGCATTGAATTTTAATAATTTTAATAATTCACATAATAGTTTCCTATGACCAGAATATTTCATTGATTATTTATGTGAAAGATGGATCCCATGTCAGGATTTGACATCCGTCTTCTGTTTACATTACCGCACAGTGACAGCAAACTGCAGTACAAAAGATGCGTACACCTCTGAAACAACTTTCCTCGCATTAAATCCTTGTTCAGAATAAGGGAGAACATCACGTCAAAGTGTTCATCATGAACTTAAAGGGACAGTAAAATCTATACAAAAGTAGTTGTTGAGTTAAGATGAATAGTCCTGGTATTATCTATTAAATCTAAAAAATCATTGCCAAATAACATTTTATGCTTTGTATATACAATATCCTGAATTCAATAGTCATTGATTACAATATCTGATTTGGTTTGGCAATCTCATTGTCACATGACCTGTTTCCCACATTTTTTGTGCTGCGTCATTCGAAACACAAAATATGGTGGTTGTTAAAAGTTATTTCAGCTGAATTTGTTCAAAATTGTCAACTGTTTTTGTGTAAGACGTTTTATTTATTAATCCCATCTTTTCTTATGTGAATTTTTTCAAATGCAAAAAGTTAAATAGGCATAGAATTAGAAACTCCCTAACCGGAAATAATTCTCTCTGAGTAAAATGAGTAATACAGGAGTGGGGGGGGGGTGTGAATAAATATTTGAACATTTTCATATTCACACTATTCAAAGTCAACATGGCATTCAGAGAGGTTCTTACTTTTAAATTTTTAATATTCCGTTAAGCTTTAAAAAACTAGTTATGCAAATAATATCTTGTTTTCTAGATGTTTGTTTTGCTTCCTATCCTTGGATTTTTTCTCTTTAACATTGAGGAAACCTATTCAACCCCTCTTCCTAAGGTTTGATAAACGATTTTTTGATTATATAAAGAAACCCAATTTTTATTTTACAGACTTTTTCGACCTATGATTCCCTAACACTAGAATGTTAACATAATGTCTTTTGGGAAAGTTAAGTAAAATTACAACCCGCTCTGTGAAGTTTCATGAAAAATATTCCCGCATTTTCATCTCAAAAGACGATCAAATTCTATAGGACTATGATCAAATCAAAGATTTAACTTATCCACGGGATCCCTTGAATATGATTTGGCCTAAAATCATCTCTCGCTGAGCTCTGAATGTTTTGTAGGCAAAATATAGGTCTTTGGGACCTTGGTCAAGTAAATCTCCTTTAACTTCCCTGTATAGTAGTTCACATCAAATAATTTAAATTATTTCTAGGATAAAAAATTATAAAATGTTGAAATTATTTATTTGATTAGACCTCAAGGACCTATGATCTATGTTTGATTAGACCGCAAGGAACTTTAATCTATTTTTTATTAGACCGCAAGGATCTTTAATCTATCTTTGATTAGACCTCAAGGACCTCTGATCTATGTTTGATTAGACCTCAAGGACCTATGATCTATGTTTGATTAGACCTCAAGGAACTTTAATCTATGTTTGACTAGACCTCAAGGACCTTTGATCTATGTTTAATTAGACTTCAAGGACCTCTGATCTATGTTTGATTAGACCTCAAGGACCTTTGATCTTTGTTTAATTAGACTTCAAGGACCTCTGATCTATGTTTGATTAGACTTCAAGGACCTCTGATTTATGTTTGATTAGACCTCAAGAACCTATGATCTATGTTTGATTAGACCTCAAAGGCCTCGGATCTGACTGCTTTTAAACCTCTTGAGCTTAACATGCGCCAGGAACGTCATGGGGATAGATTTATTTCAAGCAAGGAAAATTAACCGGGAACAGCTTTGTTTTTAAAAATTAATGTCCTGCAGTTTTTAGGGTGAACTAAAACAAATCAGAGTTAGTTAACGTACTTCCCGGAAATTACAGTACAATTTGTTTTTTTAAACAATGGTAGGGGGGTTCTTGGGGATATTTGTTCTAAGAACGCAATAATGCTTGAATCATCTATTGGGAGCAATGGAATTGAGTCTTTGCCACAAACTAAAATTTTCTGATTCCTACATATTTGCAACCAGATCGGTGAAAGGTTTTGATATTTCAAACTTGGATTAATTGATCTAAAAGGTCTACGCCATTGGGTTGCAAGGATATGGGGATTAGAAAATCAGAGTTTGCGGTAAGGGCTCATTTCCTTTGCTACCAATCAATTAATGATAATCAATTTGAAATTTATGAAGAATCCCCAACAGATACCTAAACAACTTTCTACGGGTCCTAATTCAAAATAAGATAAATGTTTTACAGCATCAAAAGAAAAACTTATTTCTGCATTGTTAATTGTAACCAAATGTCCCTTTGATGCATATACAGGATTCTGGAATTCTCTCAGGTGCAATGTTCAATTAATTAAAGAAACATCTATAAACATGAAATTAAAGAATTAAATCAAGTGTCTCTCCATTTATAGAGCGGAGTGTCAGATTCACCCTTTGCATTTATAAAGTTAATGTGTTAGATAAACCACAATTGAAAATAATTCCTTTCCAGCTAAAATCAGTGATATATCTTCCCTCCTTGCTAAATCAGGGATATAGCTGCCCTCCTTGCTAAATCAGGGATATATATGCCATCCTTGCTCAATCTAAGTTTGCATGAGTGTATTGTTGTGTGCATCAGACCTTTAACTCTATTTATTTAGGGTCACTAACGTTTACTTTTAAACAGTTCCATACAAATTTAAAAACTTTTAAAAATATTTTATTTTTCAAGATGAAGCTGGCCTTGCTTTGGACTGGGTTGAAAAGTCCTTAGAAACTCGGTAATACAACATAAATATTAAAACAAATTTAATGCTTGAATTACTTTGTATAAAACGTATTCATCTAAGTTAAAAAATAATTAAAATTCACGAGATTCTATTTTTGGTCGAAATTAGTGAAAATATTCTCTGTCCAACTTTAAATTAAAAGATCTTAATTTGGTTCGTTTATAAGTGTTTTCTTTTTTTGCGTTTACAACGTTCAAAGATAACTTAAAGATCCTTATCAATCATGATAATATATTCTTTATAAGTTTATAAATTAATGATTTTATTATTTAGCATAAAGAGATCCCCTAAGAAAGGGAAAAGGAGAGGAAAGAAAGACAATAGTTCTGAAGAATCCTCAGAAGAAAGTTCTGAAGAAGCTACTACCAACGCTACTACCAACGCTACTACTACTACTACTACTACTACTGGATAAGCTTGGCAAAACTAGATTTCAAAACATCCTAAGCTTTTGCAAACCATTGAAGACAACATCTGCCGATGCACAAATTATGATTAAAAAATCACATTTCTAATCGATTTCTTAATAAGCATAACAAATTTGTTAACTTTTTTCGATTGCACGTTTTTCAAAAATAAATATTCGATTTTTTCATATATATCATTTTGACCGCTTATCTTTAGGAAAGATACTTTATTATTTTACTTTTATAGAGAAAAATCTAAAAAATATTTATGAATTTTATACTTAGTACTTAGCTGAAGGGCCCGGCGTTGCACGTGAAAAAAATTTTGAAAAAAAATCTAATTTTTTATAGCCTATAACACCCCCCGGCCACCCATGAGTGTCCACACAAATTTTTAGCTTAATCGGTCCAGCCGTTTGGCCGGCTATACGCAACATATATATATACGATCGAATGTCTTGTTTTATTATATATATTAAAAGGGTAACAGAAAAGAATCTTTATTTAAAATATGGTGAAGGAATTCATAGTGTCCAAGTAAATTATTTAAATTTAGAAAACTAGCTTGGGATGATTCCAGCACATCCAAGGTTACTAAAAGTTACTCCCGCCGTTTACCCGCGCTTGGACTATTTTAGCGGTAAACTAAATTTTCGCTATTAAAGTGAACCCACTCAACTTAGAAGCAAATCGGTCCAGGGGGTCCTGATCGGACAAGTTAACAGACAGACAAACAAAAAGAGATTACAACTTTATTTATATAAATGGATAATTTAAATTAAATACTTTTAAACCTAGAAAAATAACTATATTTGTCATCTTGTATTGCCATATTTGCAATGGAGGGTCACTTGAAGTTACGCTTAAAGTCCCTTTTGTAACATTACAGATCCTTTAACATATTTTGTAACATTACAGTCCCTTTAACATATTTTGTAACATTACAGTCCCTTTAACATAGTTTGTAACATTACAGTCTCTTTAACTTTTTTTTGTAACATTACAGTGTCTTTAACATATTTTGTAACATTACAGTCCCTTTAACATATTTTGTAACATTACAGTCCCTTTAACATAGTCTGTAACATTACAGTCTCTTTAACCTTTTTTTGTAACATTACAGTCCCTTTAACATATTTTGTAACATTACAGTCCATTTAACATATTTTGTAACGTTACAGTCCTTTTAACATATTTTGTAACATTACAAATTCCTATAAATTTTTTTTAAATATTTCAAATATTACAATATTTTCCAAAAATAGTTGTTCCTGATAGCATGGTGTATCTATTGTAGGAACTAAAGCTATCACTCCGTCTAATAGCAATCCTAAAAATAGCTGAAATATAGAAATAATTTTTTTTATGAAATTTCCAAAATTTGTCCCTAAAAGTTTTGAAAATCCACAAAAAAGTATCGTCAAATACCAGAACTTTTGATTGTTTTTGCTTTCATATTGTGAAGATGATCACAGTCACAGATAGAGCCACGTTAAAAGTTGAAATACAAGATGATCGCGAAGCCTAGTCCATACTCTGAGTCTATATATATATACTAACTTTAATAAGTTATCTTTTCCCCCCTTGGCGGCCTGTTCCCACTCAAAATCATTCAAGTGATCAAAAAGTCAAAAGACTGATTAAATACAAAACTTATAAGCTAATAAATCTTTTGTCTAATCAATTATTCCATATTTTTTCAATTAGATTATCAACTGTTTTCTCAACTATTAGATCAATCAGTCACTTACCCAGCTTATTCAATCAGTTAATCAAATGTACATTCAATTCCAACAGAAAATAATACAATCAGTTAATCAAATATCCATTCAATTCCAACAGAAAATAATACAATCAGTTAATAAAATGTCCATTTAATTCCAACAGAAAATAATACAATCAGTTAATAAAATGTCCATTCAATTCCAACAGAAAATAATACAATCAGTTAATCAATGTCCATTCAATTCCAACAGAAAATAATACAATCAGTTAATCAAATGTCCATTCAATTCCAACAGAAAATAATACAATCATTTAATCAAATGTCCATTCAATTCCAACAGAAAATAATACAATCAGTTAATCAAATGTACATTCACCAGAAAATAATAAAATCAGTTAAATAAATGCATAATCAATCAGTAAACGATTTTTCAATCGATCATTTTCTGTTCAATCATTCAATCAAATTTATTAACAAGGGTGTAATCAATTGTGTAGTTAATTATTTAGTTAATCAGTCAATCAATTTTAAGTATAATTTTTCAACTAATTAATTATTTGATTAATTATTTGATCAATTGGTCTACCTGATTAATAAACTTAGTAACCAGCACTATGGTAGTGATTACACTGGTAACAAAACTACCGAAAATATAGTTAAACTTATTATTCATCTCTAGTAGAAATACTATACTCCAAAAATATAAAATATAAAAACTTGTGCTAATAATCTTATATAATTAGTTTCTGTATCGTAAGCATTGATTTGTGTTTACTGTAATTCATGATACAATGTTAAGGATTCTAAAATCCATTGAAATTTACAAATTGAAATGGCTTGCAAAATGCGAGGAAAGATTTGGGCATAGCAAAACAAAGTTAACAATAATTTCAGACCCCTGTGATTTTTTAACACTCTTAACTAATTTTTGATTATCTAGGCGAGCCCCCCCCCTGAATGAATCAGGGGGTGCAAAGGTCCTGCCGCCCCCCCCCCCTGTATCCGCCCCTTCGTTAGAAAATTTAATTTGGAAAAGCAGAAACGGAAAAATATTTTAATTATTGCATTTTAAAGTATTGTTTCAATCATGCTTAATGGTTCGGCACAAATCGTTTTCTAATAATTTTAGTTTTTAACAAGATTTTTCCTGATAGAGCCAATAATGATGTAAAGTGTAGCGAGACTCATCCCTTTGTAACTAAATATTTAAAATGTTTAGATTAGTTCTTTAAATATGCATATAGCTAGTCAAACACGATATTTAATGGGAGTGTTCGCAAAAAATTAAAGGGGGTATAGGCTTACGGCAAAAAAAATAAGCGGTTTTCATCGCTACTAATTTTAATTGTATCTATTGCGTCTATAAGGAGAAAATTGTTAAAGACTCATGCTGAAGAACGTAGCGTCCATAAAAATTCAGAAAGTTGCAACATTCAACTCGGATCGTAAATAACCAATTTAATTCCAAACAAATCATTCAGATATTACAAACAATAGTCATCGATCTTTTTTCGACGCATTCGTATAAAAGTAAGATAAAAGATAACAGATAAAAGTACGATTTGTAGCGATCAAGAGTGATTCTTTTTCGCAGTAAGCCTAGACCCCCCTTTCATTTTTCGCGAACACTTCCTTTAAAGGGTCTGTAAACAAAATTTCAGCAGTGATCCTCCATTTTTACACTGGCGTGTTTACAAGGTCTTCCTTTATACCTTTGGCTGCCCGAGAGTGAATGAGATAATCGTTTTTTTTTAGAGGAAAAGTTTTCATTTTCAGTTTTGGTTTATTTTCATAAAGGATGAAAAATGAAATAGAGAAAGTTGCCAGAATTGAACAGTTTCCAAAAAATTCATTATTATTGCTCAAATAAAGGTTGTGAATTGGACAGTCAGTTCTGTTAATGGAGGGACACTTTAAATTTAGTGCACAGTCCCATTATATAACCTGAAAAGTAATAAGAAGAGTGGAAGAATAAAGACACCAACTCCAATAACTAAATGTAGTGTCACAAGTCCCATTCAAAATCAATCCAACAGTCTTGGACGATCAATCGTAATTTTGTTCTGAAAGTTATTTATAAAAAAAGTAAGCACATAATAATGTATGTAATTTATGACTGGAAATTGATGATTGATAATTGATAATTATCAATTATTAATTATCAATTATAATTGATTTTTCTTCTTAATTTTACTCTTAAAGTATTCATAACAAATTTAAGCGTAAGCTGTTTAGAGGAATGTATGTATTGTGTGAATGGAAATTGATTATTGATAATTAATAATTGATTGTTGAAATTGATTATTCTTTGCAATTTTACTCTCAAAGTTATTCATAACAAATTTAAGCACATGCTGTTTATTTAGAGGAATGTATGTGTTGTGTGAATGAAAATTGATAATGGATATTTGATTGTTAAAATTAATTTTTCTTCGCATTTTTTACTCTCAAAGTTATTCATAACAAATTTAAGCTTATGCTGTTTAGAGAAATGTATGTATTGTTTGAATGGAAATTGATTATTGATAATTAATAATTGATTGTTGAAATTGATTTTTCTTCGTAATTTTACTCTGAAAGTTATTCAACACAAATTAAAGCACATGCTGTTTAGTTTTCACGAATGTATGTATTGTGTGAATGGAAATTGATTATTGATAATGGATAATTGATTGTTAAAATTTATTTTTCTTCACATTTTTTTTCTCTCAAAATTATTCATAACAAATTTAAGCGTATGCCATTTTGAGAAATGTATGTATTGTGTGAATGGAAATTGATTATTAATAATTGATAATTTATTGTTAAAATTTATTTTCTTCGCAATTTTACTCTCAAAGTTATTCATAACAAATTTGAGCGTAAACTTCTTATAGGAATGTATGTATTGAGTGAATGAAAATTGATAATTAATAATTAATGATTATGATTGATTGTTAAAATTGATTATTCTTCGCATTTTTTTCTGAAAATTATGCATATTTTTTAGCCTGTGCTGTTTACAGAATTGTATTATATGAAAGAAACCCAAAATGCTGTTTTTTATTGAATTAGACAATAAAAAACGAACAAAACTGCATAGTCAATATTCAAAGACATTTTTTCATTTTTTTTCATAAAGGAACTGTTTTGTCTTTTTGTACAATTAAAAAGATGGAGAAAAAAAATTATTTTTAGTTTAAAAACTATTTTTGTGTTCATTTGTATTTTTTGTAACCTTAAAAAAATCAGTTTTTAGCTTATATATAATATATTTACATATAGCCAGCCAAACGGCTGAACCAAATTGGCTGAATTTTTTTTCAAAAATTGATTTTTTAAAATTTTAGGTCCTTCAGCAAGTTATTTATATTTTATGGTAATCGTATTAGATTTATTCTAAAAATTCGACTTAAGCAGTGCAAAAAAGAAAGCAAACATTTTAAATTAAAAGAAATAATCAATTTGGATCCAAAAGCATGTTTGGAATTTAAATAATAATTAAAAAATATATAACAATAACTAGGGTTTCCAATTGGAATTCCTTTGCGTGGAATTGTGCGGAATTGCGTGAAATTGCGCGGAATTAAAGGGATCGCTATTGCGCTCAACTTCTCATGAAAACTCCACTTTCGGTTGAAACGCAAACAGCTGTTTATAACACATGTAAGTGTAACACATGAAGAAATCCTTATGGACTTTTATTCCGATTTTTTCTGGTTATAATACAATTGTTAATATTTTAACTGTAATTGATAATGATATATACAGTGGGAGCCAGAGAACTGTGAATTTGGAAGACAAGTTTTAAAACTCTAGTTCAAATTATAAATGGTTCTTTAAACGTGAGACACACCAATTTTACTCAGTGTTAACAACCCGTTAACAACCCGTTAACAACCCGTTAACAACCCGTTAACAACCCGTTAACAACCCGTTAACAACCCGGTAACAACCAATTAATAATGGATTTTTAAGCTGCTAGTAAAACTATTTGCTCTGAAACAACATCAAATAAACTTAATACATTGATATCGTCTTCCTATTCCATAGTTTTCTGGTTCTTACTGCACGATGGTTATCTAATATCTCTGTACAGATTTATGTATATTGTATATATACATGTTTAAGATGTACGAGATACTGTACATTTTACAACCTATACTATAAAACTAAAGGTTTCTGAACCCACAGGCCATAGACTTAGTTTAAATCACCCGCATCATTCATTACGCATAGACTACCTTTACATATACTAAATATATTACAGACGGAACAATTCAAGAAATAATCAATAAATACAGTGTTACCCTCAAAGAATGAGACTTCAGTGACGATAAAGTAGGAGTTTTGAACGTAGAATTTGCGCTAAAACTCAGGATTTACAGATCAAATCAAATGAAATCGAAAGAAGTTTTCCACAACACTGCATACTCAGTTTTACTACCTTACATAGCCGGTCACACCCTTTAAAAAGCGCTACAAAATTATGTTTAAAAAGCACTACAAAATCATGTATAAAAAGCACTACAAAATCATGTTTAAAAATCACTACAAAATTAGGTTTAAAAAGCACAACAAAATTATGTTTTAAAAGCACTATAAAATTATGTTTCAAAAAAATTGTATTCTGCAAAAGTTTACTTTAATTAAATAATTTTCTTTTTTTCTGTTGAAAATTCAAACTACAATTTAATGCTATTAACTTCTTAATTCCATCTTCTATAATATTCTCTCTATGGTAGCACACTATAAACTGTTCCATCAAATATATAATCTGCCTATGGTGGCCACACTATAAACTGTTTTATCTGCTTTTAATATTTATTCTTTTAGAGTACACTATAAACTGTTCCATCTAATATATATTCTGTCTATGGTAGGAGACTATAAACTGTTTCATCTGCTTTAATATTCATTCTATGGTAGAACTCTATTATTATACAGGTATTAAGTCTATCTATACGTCAAATAATCAATAAATAAAGATAAAATAAAATTATTACATTTCCTCTAATTCTTTTTCATGAAATCTTAAAAAAGATTTCCAAAATTTCTTTTTCACAATGATTTCATCAATTGGGTAAAAAATTTGCTCAAAAACATTCATATGATTGGTTTGTTACCCTCAAACAATAAAATAGAGGTTAGAACGAACAAAGATGTGTTTGTTCAAGAAGAGAATTAACTACTAACCTCTAACTCTAACCAATAATTGCAACCTGATGTTGTAGACCTTTTATACTAATCATGTTAGATTCAACATTTCAGGTTTAAAGGCGTTATAAAATTAAAGTTTCTTTTCATCGTTTTTATATACTCATTCAGTTACAAAAACATTTCTGCAAAGATGGCAATGACTGATTTACAACGATACCTTAAAAGCTTTATCGGATCAAGGCGAAATTACATATTAATTTGTTTGTTAATATAAACTGTTAATTTTTATTTGCGATTTCTCTACAAAAGTGACTTACGCATTTCTTTATCCTAAGAATCAATGGAGAAATTATCAGACGCATTTCTTTATCATAAGAATCAATCGAGAAATTATCAGATCTAAACACGTTTATAAGAACAATATCTCTATCATTTTTATCAGATTTAGATTTCAAGGGTACCGTTGTAAATCGTGCATTGTCATGTTTACATGGAAGATCACACCAAAAATTTCGCGCAAAGTCCGTTTAATACGTTTTCACTGCATATATATGTCTAATTGTATGTTTTTATAGATGTTAGGAATACTTTCTCAATGGATTTTCCCCAAATGGCAATTTCCCAAGCGACAACTTCCCAAGTTTTTCCTAACCGTAGTGCTCGGCCCTGAGCCTGTTCTAACCGCGGCGCTCGGCCCCATAGCCCATCCTAGATGCAGCGCTCGGCCCCTATTGCAGGCTGCGGCGCCTAAGAGGGCCTCACTTAACTTTTGGAAAGTAAAAAGGAAAAAATATATGCGTCAGCAGCCAAATATAAAACGGTACCAGCATATTTTCAGTAAACACTAAATAAACAACATTGTTTAACATCCTTCTATTAGCTAGGCCCGTATAATTCTTATTTTTTTTATCACATTGTTTTGGAATTGTTTAGATTAAACTAAAACTTAAAACACTTTATATTTTCAGCCAAATCTTAGCTATCTTTCATTTCCAGCTCACCCCAGTCTCTAAGTTGCAGTCGTACCGTCCAGTCAGGCTACCCAGTGCAGAGTCGACCTAGAACGTTTTATGCGACAAATGTAGTCTGGCAAGATCCCAGTGAGGTTCTTTGCACAGTTATATACATGGTCAAAATTAAACTATGATGTATTTCAAATATTTTCAAAGCTATTTATTTTAATCTAGGTTTCCATAAAAAGTCTGTATTTCTGCTAGAGATTTCCCTTTAGTTTCAGGAACAAAAAACACCGTAAACAACATCAGAATCAGAGACATCTAGAAATTATAGTAATTTTGAAAACAAGAAAATTTTAATTCAGAGAGTTGGGAACTCTTGTATTGTCGATATCAAGATCAATGTTGCAGATCACGATCTTTTATTAATCTGCAGATTATTTTTTATTGAAATTTGTTATCCCGCGTGGTAATCGTACTCAGTCAGAGCCTGCGATTTAAAAACTTCGGCTCGAGCCGCAATTCCTCAATTCCCAATCTTCGACCCAACTCTGATGACAGCATGTGTCACGTGATTGACAGCTGAAAGATCTTCGGCTCGACTTAAGGAGTTAGGCCCTATGAAAATAAAACCGGTCTTGGTTGGTTTTAGTAGAGAAGAAGGCTCAATGTTGAGTTTTGTTCTCATAAAAACCCGGAATGCGCCAATTCCTTCCATGAAAATCCGCCAAATAGAATATATAACCGGTTTTTTGAACACACCCTGTGGAAAAATAAGATGTAGCTTAAATCCGAAAGCTCAAGTCGTAAATAAGGCCCAACGACCCCCGCCGTATTTTCCCGAGTTTTTTAAATCGCGGGCTCAGGGGTTGTCGAAGGGAGGAATAACTACAGTAAAGATATGGAAAGGAATATAAGGAAATCTACGTTTTAAAGGATCATTTTCATTTGACAAAGTATATAATCACGCTTTCCATAAATGCTTATGCTATGAGTAACACTTGCCATAATTTCTTTTGCCATAGATTACTTATTTTTACTTTTATAAATGCGCCAAAGGAATTGAGTCGTTGCTACAAACTTAAGTTGTCTAATCCTTATATCTTGGTAATCTGATGGTGTAAACCGTTGATATTTCAAACTTGGATTATTTGATTTAAGAAAATTTATAATTTGAAATTTCTAAGGTCCACGACATTGGGATTATAAAATCAGAGTTTGTGGCAATGTCTCAATTTCTTTCTAATGAAAATTTTCCTCTTTAGTTCACAAACTGGTGGAAAACAGAAAATGTGAGTGCCATATTTACTCAAGGAATCGGACCCTAAGGAAGGGTATACCAGTATTTAGGGACAACAAGAACTAACCCATTCGCCGAAACGTACAGGGTGTCCCACGAAACATGAAGCAAGAAGACTTAAAAGTCGTCTTTGAACTTTGAATTTATTATTGACTTTCAATGATTCAGTCTTCAACCTACTTTTGCTTGCATGCGTCTTGGAAGAAAACTTTTTCTAGGCCTAGCATTTCCAAAATATGGTCTGCATTTTTTGTGCTGTCAATATTACCGGAGATATTAATAATTTAGTTCAAATTTCTATTTTTTTCCTTGTATAAATCCGACCGAATTTTTTCATATCTCCGATAATATTGGCAGCACAAAAAAGGCAGACCAAATTTTGGAAATGCCAAGACTAGGGGTATTATGTGATTATTAACTCTAGTATTTTACTTTTAACAATAGGTTTACAAATAATGCCGCAACTTATTTCCAAGATCAAAGATGAAATTCAATTCGTCTTTCTACCGTCATGGTTTGTGGGACTCCCTGTAGCTTTTAAGTGTTATTTATGGCAGATATTTTATGGTAAACATATTATGACAAACATATTATGGCAAATATATTATGGCAAACGTATTATGGCAAATGAAACGGAGCCCTTTGGTTTATTAGGTATCCAATAACCTTCGTTTTGGGGCAAAAATGTACTTACCACTCCGTATGTAGAGTATGTACCGGCAGGTGTCAGGTATAAAATACAGAAAGGAAAGGATTTTACAACAAAAAATATTGTTATAAACGCAACAAATACTGTGATTCCTGAAGCTATGCCCTTCACCTAAACAAATCTAAAATAAAATCTGTTATCAGAACTTTTGTTTTCTAATTCTCGGAATTACGCGTTGATATTTCCATATTATGCAAATTGCTGGCCTACGGATTTATTTAATTCCTTATCGATATCCCGGAATGGGCATACTTTGCGTAATAACTTTAATTGAGGGATCAAGATTGATCATTGAAATTTAAATTAAGAGTTTAAGATTAATGATACTTCATCCAAAAGTTGCGATTTCTGGTTAATAATCTGTTTGTTGTGTCTTTGCAACCTGATGTTGTAGACCTTTAACATTTCAAACTATGAATTCTGGTAGATCAAATAATAAAAAATAGAGATAGCAAAGGTGTGTACAGCATCAGGCTTGGAGGGAAGTGTCCAGTTCCTTCCTTTAACATTATCTTATATATTATATTATAAAATAAAGCAGGTCCAGGGGGAAAAAGTTCCAAACCAGACCTGACAATGTGCATCAGATTTGGAAACATAACGGTTCGGAACTTTTGTCCCCTGTAACGATTTCTCCAACCTTGCTGGGACAAAGCTCCCCTAGCAGTAACCAGGGAATTGTACCAACTCCTGTACCAAATGTTAACATGTACAGTACAACAGCTATAGCAGGGTAAATATCGTACACAGCCCTAAAAATATGTACATGAAGTACAGGGGTAATCAGAAAACTACAGAATTTACTTTGTTCTCTCAATTCTCAAGAAATTTCACTAATTTTTTATCATTAATTGGTATGACAAGTCCACATTTATAGAAATTTCTGGGTCGCAAAAAAGAATAAAAGATATGAAGAAGATGACAATTAATCCACTTTTTGCTGGTTACCACATTAGTTCAGTAAAAACAGAGCTTTTAAAACATAACCTTTAGGAGAATTTCGTTCCATTTGAAAAACAGTAATTTCACTCTGTCTTTAGTAAATTTTGCTTCACATTTTTCTCTATAATTTCGATTTAGTAGAGTGATAGGCGATTATATCAATACAACGAAGACGACTTTTTAATTTTTAGCAAACTTTTTTCGAATTAAAAGCTTACAAGTAAGCTTACAAGAGATTTTTTTAATTAACAGCTTCTCTTGTGACCTCTTTTTCATGTTGTTAAAAAGCTTTACTTAAATCAAAATTGAAATCGAAAGTCGTCTTCATTGTATAATCGCCTACCACTGTAGATTGTTTAAAAAGTCTAGTAAAACTACAACTGGGACAATTCATTTTTTTTCCAAAAATATCCACACGCAGTAAAAATTGTTCATTTAAACATTCTGAATTTTTTTCTTTCTTTTTTTAAATGGGTTAGCGTAAGCGTTTTTAAAATCATGTTTTCGAATCATGTCGTTGTGCCTCGAACCACTAAATATGGCACATTTGTTGTTTTTTTTAAATTTTTGATGTATGGTCAAAAAACTAGGCTTATTAGTGACTCTGACAAATTTCGACAGAGAAGTCCGTTGTTTGCCAAATTGTTCAATTATTGACAGATTCTTTTGAGTTTAACGTTTTTGAATTTAATGTTTCAAGACGAATTTTTGTAAACCCATATTATGACATATGCATGTTTACAAACTTTAACTTTAACCAGTGAATTATTTTATACAAAAAAGTGATGCGCCAAACCAATTTAAAAGTCAGAAAAAGAAAAAAAAATATTTTCTGTTTTATTAAAAAAAACCTACCTCAAAGTGTAAAGTGTACGATCCTCCTCTACCTCTGCAAAATCACAATTTTGAAATGATGCTAAACTTAACAACAACAAAAATGTTGTGCAAAACGCAATGAAAAATTTGTAAAAATGAGATATTTGTTCCTTGAGAAAATGAACATGAGCTGTTTGTTGTTGTGTTGACATCTGCAGTACAGTACTCAGCGTAAAATCCTTTCTGAAATACGTATTACAAAAATAAATATTTTTACGTACAGAACAAGCCGGTTAGTTTATACTTAATCAATAAATTGCTTTTAAGTAATAAATTTTAATAATTTGTGAAACTAAACTTAAGAAAGTTTTTATTTCAAAATTGATCTATTCAAATTGTAAAAGTTTGGAATAAACAATCTTAATGATAAAACATGAAAGACGACATTTATTCTAATTCCAAAAGATTAAAAAGTTAGAATATAACCTTTAAATGAACAGTTGCTGCCAGGGTTCCCATGAAGAATGCCATTAATAGACTGGAAAATATCATCAAGGGTTTCCTACCATAGATTACACAGATGAGACATAAGAATTGGAATAAACAATAGTTCTGGGATTACATTTAATAAGTAATTTATTAGGACTAGGAAGACTAAATTAAACCGCTTGTCTCCAGCCAGATCCGGCGTACAAGAAGAGACGTGGTTCAACCACATCAACGGGCTCAGTTTCATTTGTCATAATACTTTTGCCATAATTACATTTGTTATAATACATTTGCCATAAGTTACACTTTAACTTCTTCTTGCTATTATTAAAATCTGGTCTAATTGGACACATTGATTTAGGCAGCCTACATTTAGGCAGCCTACATTTATTGCATAAAACGCACTAAGTCCACTTCACACTAGGTACACAGACACCCTGGTGCGAGTAAATGTATTTGCGGTACATTACACATACACTAGACTGGTAAATCCTTGTACTGGTTAGGATCGTGCAAGGAAAATCATAGTGATTAATACCAAAGACGTATCATATGATTTGTCTCGTTATGTCTATCGTCAATGTAATCTATATTTCCTGCCATAGAATTTCAGTAGGTAGGTTCCTATTACAGTTCCAACTAGCCTAGACGCGCACTTTTTAAGATGGGGGGACAACAGCACATGCTGTTGTTGTTAAAGGGAGTGTCTGGTAGACATGGTAGTTGGGCTGAGCCACGTCAGGACCAGATGGACAGCACGCCTACCTGGATTCCATGAGGCTTTAAATGATTCCATTTTCACTCTTTCTGAATAACTATACAGCATACAAACGTGTTATAGGTCTCTAATGATTTCTATAAAATTTCTCAACAGAACTGCAATATCTGCTCAACTACCATGTCTAGCCAGACACTCCCTTTAATACTCCACAGTGTCATGATTTCTTCAATTGTTATTTATGAATTTCAACAAGAAAGTCTTTGAGTTTTTCTACATAACTTAAAAACTTAATTTTGAAATCAAAACAGAGAGTAACTATCTATGATTGTATATTTAAATACAATTGATTTTTAAAAAGTGAGTTGTTCCTGATAACCCCTGTAAGGATAGCGGGTAAATAAGGGTTACTGGATACTCCAATATCCTTGAATAAACTTACAGCATAGAATATAACTGCATAACTTCCTAAATAATTATCTATTTGATATTATTTGAATAATATACGTGTATTATAAAACTGAAATTGTAATGTCCTACCGATCTGTACAATGCCACCAAAAAATTTTTTATCGTTTTCCGACATTTTTTGTAAAATTTAAATTGGCGTTTTAAGATAAGAATCTTCTTTCAATTTTGTCCAATTAGTTATTTGTAACATTTATATTTATATTTGGACCCTAAAATTTATATCAATTTACATAATCCAGAATTGGATGATTTTGCAGCAAAAATTTAAGATTTTTTTTGGCCCATATCTTATGCAATTTGATAAAAATTGTAATTGTTTTAGAAGCATAATTTCAGAGGAAATGAAGTATAATGTGAAAAGTCATTCGTTAGTCCTAAACAAAGGGGTGTTTGATGTTCTAGTCTTCGGCCAAAAACATAAAAAAAAAATTATCAAATTGTAAAAAAAACTATTTTTTGGGGGGTATTTGATGTAAACCTGTTAACTGCTGCAGGGTGAATACTGTTAGAAGAATGAAAAAGGGTTTATATGCTCCAGGATATCTAAAATAAGCGTTATTTAAACGTTTTCTGTCTGAAAATAGATTATTTTAAGCATCAACTTTTCTAAAAACAGCAGCAACAACAAACATAAACAAGCAAAAAAATGAACGAGCTCTGTTCCATTTCAGATGAAAAATACATCAATAAAACTCCGATTTATTTGAAGTACCAGAGCCCAAAACTTAAGACAGTGTATCGTTATAAAAACCAGTTTGGAAACCCGCGGGTTTCATGAAATGGGGTTAGGCAGTTTTGTAGATATCAATACTTTTGTTATGAAAAATTATTTTATTTAGTTTCTTCATTTTCTCCTTTTTTTCGAATCTCTTAAATTAAAATCTATTTACATGTTATGACCCCGAAATGTTTGATGGCAACAAGTGAGGAAGCTTTTTAAAATAAGTTAATTGCAAGCTGAGGATTCAAAAATAGTTTTTTTTTTTGACATTTTTTGAAGATTTACCCAGGGTATTATATTAACTTCTTAAAGGGACTGTAAGTGTAATTTCAAGTGACCTTCCATTCTAAGAAGTCCAGTTCAGATTCACAACGGTACCTTATAAAGTCAAACTGGACTTCTTTGAATTGAAGGTCACTTGAAACTACGCTTACAGTCCCATTAACTCCGGTCAGAAATCGTTTAGTTTCTATGTTATATTATGAATGCTTTTCGCTGATTTGTTGAGGAAAAATTATTTGTTGGAGTAAAAGTATCTAAAAGAGGGAAGACTTGAAAGTAGGGTCTCCAGCGAACGAAACGTTTCGCGAAATGTACTAAAAATTGTGGTCGCATTTCGCAAGCTTTTTCGCGAAATTTCGCATTTTTTTCAGGAAATACTTAATACGCACTTTTTGTGAGCGAATGAAATGCGAAAATTAAGCGAAATGGTTGCGAAATTTTTTTTTTCGCGAAACGATTTTTCCTTTTCGCTGGAAACCCTACTTGAAAATTAATGTCTAATGGGAAAATTCTTAAATATATAATTCCGGATTTACCTAAATGCTTTTAAAGTTTCAAAAAATCCAGTTCCTTTACTTGTTGAGCCCTGAGCAGACACCAATCCTTCTATTTCAGCAGATACATTACTACCAACACCTCCTACAATACAATTAGGAAGTGCCCGGCGTTGCCCGTAAAACAAATAAAATCAAAATTTTGAAAATAAATTATGTTTTATAAAATAATTTATTTTTGAAAGAAAAAAATTCCAATTTTTATTTATTCACGGGATACCCATGGTACCTCTCAAGAATATTCAGCCATTTTGGTCTAGCCGTTTGGTCAGCCATAGCAAACATATCCATATATACAAATATATCCATATATACAAACATATCCATATATACAAATATATCCATATATACAAACATATCCATATATACAAATATATCCATATATACAAACATATCCATATATACAAATATATCCATATATACAAACATATCCATATATACAAATATATCCATGACACAGTGTTACGTTCTAAAAGGGCTCAACCAGCTCATTACATGTTGAGGGATAACATTTGTATTCTGGTAACAATTCCTTCAAATAATATTGACTATCATAACAGCACTAGCTTCAAATTCTTTTATATATGCAAACATTCTTGGTTTTTTTATTCAGTTTTATTGCAGAAAATGATTCCAATAGGACCACGAAACCAAGCCATTTGTTCAAAACTAGAATACACATAGAAAGGATGTTCAAACAAAATCATAGCAACTGAAAATATTTGTGATTATCAGGATGTCACACAAACTTTTCTTTCAAAATTTAACATGATTGAAGTTGGGTGACAAGGATGAAAATTGGAGTACAAGAAGAGTGGTGCAGATAATGATTTAAAACAAGACCTGTGAGCACCCTGTTTAAATGATATTCGACTAAATCTATTTTATTTTATTGTTAAAAATGAAGAAAAAAATAAACTTAAACTACCTCTGAGCCAGGCTAAACTCTTCTCTGCTTCTTCTCTTCTGTTCAGTGGGAAAATTTTTTTAAAAATTAAAAAAAAATTCTTAATAAAATTTCGTAAGAAATTATTGTCTGTTTTGTGCAAAATAAACTGAATAATGTCACTTTTTAACATTCAATATTAGATTAAAGTATAAACTTTTTTTTAAATGAAAGAAATTTTTCTTTATACAGTTGAAGCTAATTATTCTTAGAAATTTAATCAAATTTAATCTCAGTAGATGTTGTTGAAAAATAAATTATCTCACAAAAATTTGAGATTTTTTACTATTAAACTATAGTCAAAGCTAATTATTTCTAAAACGTGCAAAGAAATCTCACTAGAGTTTTGTTAAAAAACGTTAATGCCTATTTTTTTATGAAAAATTAAAAGAAATTACAATTTGTTCTCCCTGCCTACCCTTGAGGATTATATATAATAATAATATATAGGATATAGTCCTTAAATCCCCTTCCAACAAATAATTTCTTTATTTCAATATTACCCAGTAAAAAGAATTATATCTCCAGTTCCCTCATTTAAATTTGAGGCAAATCAGGTTCCTGTGTTAGGATCAGAGAAACAAAGTAAAAGGTAAATATGAGATTACAACTTTATATATACGATCCGAGTATCTCACAAAGTTTATTGAAAAAGAAAAAAAAATTCCAGCTTTTAAAGTAATTGAAAAAAATTTAAATTTTTTCTCCTGCCTGCCCTTGAGGATCAACCAAGATGGCGTCTCTGGAAGTGGAACCATGAGAACCAGAACAGCTATTGGTAGCAAACCACAAACCAAACATACAAACCTCCAGTCTAGTATGGCCTAAACAAGTGTACTGAATAGTATTATTTGCCACTTATAGCTTTTGCCAAATTGTGGATTTTTGTCATCCTAATGCTGAGTTAAAAACAAAATAATTTTAAATAATAATTTTGTTTTGCACGTGTCATTGCATTTTCAAAACAATCATTTAAGCCTATAGATGGGCACGTTCGACTTATTTTGTTTGATCATCGTTCATGAACTACCCATTTTTTTTTCAATCGTGCAAAAAAATTGATTTAGTTTCTTCTCATAATTATTGTTAATATGTTATTTCTTTCTTTCGTTTTCTCACTGAATGATCGTTCAGTAAAATCGTTTGTTCAATAAAATTCCTTCATTCAGTAAAAAACTATAGTTTTTTCATTTCTCTGAACGATCCATTTCATTCGTCCATCGTTTTTTTCTTTTCTGAACGACACCCTTTTTTAAGAAAAAAACGAGGCCCATCTCTATTTAAGCCAAGTTTAGCCATGCTATTTAAATATATAACAAAAAAATATGATAAAAAATGAAGGAAAAGCTAGAAATGATGTTAATTTACCCCTAGACAGTAAACAATGGTGATCCCAAGACTAACTGCTACAGATCCACTTGCTCCAAACATACCTCTATGTTGAGTATCAGCAATCTCAACTAGATATACCTAAAATTGAAAAATTTACAAATGTGCACTCTAACTGCAATGTGACATGAGCAAAATTTAAAAGATTTGGCTGTTACAAAATTACAAAAAAATAAGCGATTTGTTTCCTACACTCATTTTATTATTATCATGTTTTTAAACTCTAAATTTTTAGTTTTTAAAATCAAAAAGAACAAGTTGCTTTAAAAATTTTGTTTTAGCTGAATAATATTTGTAGGTAATTTCAAATTTTTTTGTTGACAAAGTAATTTCCGAAATCTTTAAAATATACTGGCATAGCTGGATATCTTGTTTGCTGTGGTAAATCCTAAAGATCTTGTTTGCAGGGTAATTCCTAAAGATCTTGTTTGCTGGGTATTTCCTAAAGATCTTGTTTGCTGGGTAATTCCTAAAGATCTTGTTTGCTGGGTAATTCCTAAATATCTTGTTTGCTGGGTAATTCCTAAAGATCTTGTTTGAAGGGTAATTCCTAAATATCTTGTTTGCTGGCTAATTCCTAAAGATCTGTTTGCAGGGTAATTCCTAAATATCTTGTTTGCAGGGTAATACCTAAAGATCTTATTGTCTGGGTAATTCCTAAAGATCTGTTTGCAGGGTAATTCCTAAATATCTTGTTTGCAGGGTAATTCCTAAAGATCTTGTTTGCTGGGTAATTCCTAAAGATCTGTTTGCAGGGTAATTCCTTAATATCTTGTTTGCAGGGTAATTCCTAAAGATCTTATTTGCTGGGTAATTCCTAAAGATCTGTTTGCAGGGTAATTCCTAAATATCTTGTTTGCTGGGTAATTCCTAAAGATCTTATTTGCTGGGTAATTCCTAAAGATCTTGTTTGCTGGGTAATTCCTAAATATCTTGTTTGCAGGGTAATTCCTAAAGATCTTGTTTGCTGGGTAATTCCTAAATATCGTGTTTGCTGGGTAATTCCCAAAGATCTTGTTTGCTGGGTAATTCCTAAATATCTTGTTTGCTGGGTAATTCCTAAAGATCTTGTTTGCCGGGTAATTCCTAAAGATCTGTTTGCAGGGTAGTTCCTAAATATCTTGTTTGCTGGGTAATTCCTAAAGATCTTATTTGCTGGGTAAATCCTAAAAATCTTGTTTGCTGGGTAATTCCTAAAGATATTTTTGCTGGATAAATCCTAAAGATCTTGTTCCAAAGAATTAGTTTGTTAGGTAATTTTCAAAGATTTAGTTTGCTGGGTAATTCCTAAAGATCTTGTTTGCTGGGTATACAGAGCTTCCCATAGATAGCTTAGATCATCTCCTAGCTTTAACGCCAAAATAAACATAATATTCGAAAAACATAGCATTTCCTGTAAGAAAATTTTTATATTAGCCTTATTCAATTTTTCAAAATGATTTATTATTCTTAAATTTTCTGATTAGTCCCGGAAATTGTAATTTAGACCCGTTGACGATCAAGAATGATTTGGGACACCCTGTATAATATCCAAATATACCTGAGTTACAGATGACATCACTCCAACCCCCTGTAGAACACGACCAATACAGATATACAGAACAGATCCCTAAATTAAATATACAATTTCTCATAATCTTATCTCCAATCTGCATTTTCTAATTTATGCAAAACCAAGAAACTGAATTATATCTCTATGCAAAAAAAATATTAGGATCCTAGATATAGCCCCCTTCACGGTTGAATACCATATATATAGCTCTTGTTTGATTAATACCTAATAAAGCCCCTAATTGATCGAATACCAGATATAGTCCCTACTAGATTGAATACCAGATATAGTCCCTACTTGATTAAATACCAGATATAGCCCCTACTAGATTGAATACCATATTTAGCCTCTACTAGATTGAAAACCAGATATATCCCCTACTAGATTGTAAACCAGATATATCCCCTACTAGATTAAATACCATATTAAGCCCCTACTAGATTGAATACCAGATAAAGCCCCTTACTAGATTGAAGAAAAGATATAGCCCCCTACTTGATTAAATACCAGATAAAGCACCTACTAGTTTAATACCTGACAGAGCCTCTCCTAGATTAAATACCATGTATAGCCCCTACTGATAAAATTCAAGATATAGCCCATACTAGATGAAAAACAGATATAGCCTATACTAGATTAAATACCAGATATAGCCCCTACTAGATTGAAAACAAGATATAGCCCCTACTAGATTGAAAACAAGATATAGCCCCTACTAGATTGTAAACCTGATACAGCCCCCCCTAGTTAAATACCTAATATAGCCCCTATTAGATTAAATAAAAGATATAGCCCCTAATAGTTTAATACCTGATATGGACCCTTCTAGATTAAATACCATATACAGCCCCTCCTAGATTTAAAACCAGATATAGCCCCTACTTTATTGAATACCAGATATAGCCCCAACTAGATTGTGAACCAGATATAGCCCATACTTGTTGAACACCTAAAATAGCCCCTTCTATATTAAATACCAGATATAGCCCCTAATAGTTGAATACCTAATTTAGCCCCTATTAGATTAAATACAAGATATAGCCCCTAATAGATTAATACCTGATATAGCCCCTTCTAGATTAAATACCAGATATAGCCCCTACTATAATTATAAACCAGATATAGCCCCTACTAGATTAAATACCAGATATAGCCCCTACTAGTTGAATATCTTATATAATCCCTATCAAATTAGATACAAAATATATCCCCTACTAGATTAAATACCAGACATAGCCCCTACTAGAATAAATACCAGATATAGCCCCTTCTAGATTGTAAACCAGACATAGCCCCTACTAGATTGAAGACAAGATATATCCCCTACTAGTTGAATACCTAATATAGCCCCTATTAGATTAAATACCAGATACCGCCCCTAATAGTTCAATACCTGATATAGCCCCTTTTAGATAAAATACCATAATAGCCCTCACTGATAAAATACCAGATATAGCCCCAACTAGTTGAATACCAGATAAACTTTTGCTAGATTAAATACCAGATATAACCCCAACTAGATTGACTTCCTGATAAAGCCCTATATACTAGGTTAACTACCTGAGATAGTCCTATAAAGACCCAGCCAGCCAGTAAAGGTACACAAAGCATCATTAATGTGTATCTTCTACCAAACTTGCCAGAAAGGATACCGGTAGCAATTGAACTCCCGAGCTGACCTAAAAATATGGAAATGATTTAGATAATGTTAAATACTATACATATGGTTGACCATAAAAGTTGGTGAAACAGTTTCAGTTTTTATATCGAATTCAGGATCTATTTTGATTTCTTTTTATCTTAGCAATCACTGGATAAATTGTACTGTTTAAGATTATGTTTATTACTGTTTATAATTATCAATATATTGTATAAGATTAAAAATATTACTGTTTATAATAAGCAATATTACTGTTTGAGATTAAGTATATTACTGTTTATAATTATTAATATACTGTATAAGATTACCAATATTACTGTTTATGATAAGCAATATTATCTGTTTAAGATTATGTTTATTACTGTTTATAATTATTAATATACTGTATAAGATTTAAAATATTATTGTTTATAATAATCAATATTACTGTTTGAGATTATGTTTATTACTGTTTATAATTATCAATATACTGTATATGATTTAAAATATTACTGTTTAAGATTATGTTTATTCTGTTTATTATTATTTTTATACTGTATAAGATAAAAAATATTACTGTTTATAATGAGCAATATTACTGTTTAAGATTATGTTTATTACTGTTTATAATTATCAATATACTGTATAAGATTAAAAATATTACTGTTTATAATAAACAATATTACTGTTTGAGATTATGTTTATTACTGTTTATAATTATTAATATACTGTATAAGATTTAAAATATTACTGTTTATAATAAGCAATATTACTGTGTAAGATTATGCTTTTTCTGTTTATAATTATCAATATACTGTATAAGATTAAAAATATTACTGTTTATAATAAGCAATATTACTGTTTAAGATTATGCTTTTTACTGTTTATAATTATCAATATACTGTATAAGATTAAAAATATTTCTGTTTATAATAAGCAATATTACTGAGATTAGGTATTTTACTAATTGATTACCTATATTACTGCTTAATATTATGTATATCATTGTTTAAGATTACCTAGATTGCTGTTTAAATTGCCAAAATGATTGTTTTTAAATACAAATATTACTATTTAAGATTCCAATATTACAGTTTATGATTACCAATATTACTGCTTAAGATTGCCAATATTACTGTTTAAGATTACTAATATTACAGTTTAAGATTACCAATATTACAGTTTATGAATAGCAATTAATGTTTATGATTACCAATGTTACTGTTTCAGATTATGTGTATTACTGTTTATGATTACCAATATTACTGTTTAAGATTACTAATATTACAGTTTAAGATTACCAATATTACAGTTTATGAATAGCAATAACTGTGTATGACTACCAATGTTACTGTTTCAGATTATGTGTATTACTGTTTATGATTATCAATATACTTTTTAAAATTTAATAATATTACTGTTTATGATCACCAATATTACTGTGTATGATCACCAATATTACTGTGTATGATCACCAATATTACTGTGTATGATTACCAATATTACTAAGACTTGCAATCCATGATATGTCGTCTTCACTGAGTTCAACTTCCTTCTCTAGTTGTGGAAGCAAAATAGCAGAAAATCCCAACACAGTTCCTAAAGTCATCATTAAATTAAATATAAGATTGGTATTCTTAGGTTTCAACCGTTAAACGATTGTATTCTTAGGTTTCAGCCGTTAAACGATTGGTATTCTTAGGTTTCAACCGTTAAACAATTGTATTCTTAGGTTTCAACCGTTAAACGATTGTATTCTTAGGTTTCAGCCGTTAAACGATTGGTATTCTTAGGTTTCAACTGTTAAACGATTGTATTCTTAGGTTTCAACCGTTAAACAATTGTATTCTTAGGTTTCAACCGTTAAACGATTGTATTCTTAGGTTTCAACCGTTAAACGATTGTATTCTTAGGTTTCAACCGTTAAACGATTGTATTCTTAGGTTTCAACCGTTAAACGATTGTATTCTTAGGTTTCAACCGTTAAACGATTGTATTCTTAGGTTTCAACCGTTAAACGATTGTCTTGCATTATGACATACCTTTAGACTGGAAACGCTAAAACGGGACCTTACACCAAATACATCATCTCTTCTATGTGTTTAAAGGGAATGTTCGCTAAAAATGAAAGATGGGTTTGGCTGATCTCGAATTGAATTCGATATTGATCGCTACTAATTTTACTTCTATCTGAAGGGTTTATAAGGAGAAAATAGTCAAAAACAATTCATATCGACGAGCGTATGACCCATTCAAATTCCCGGAGTTGCAATATTTTACCCAGACCATGATTATTCGAAGCCATTCAGATATTACAAGTTATAATTTATGAATTCAATTCGAGGCATCCCTATGTACTTTAAATTTCATAATCTTGTTTGTACATTTTTTCTTGGAGTACGAATATTTGGCCACTAGGTGTCTCTGCTCTAGATTTTCAAGGATTTCATTTCGGTGAGACACCTAGCGGCCAAAAATTCGTTCACTAAGTACATTGTAATTAAAGAAATCAAAGCTTATCATATTTAAACTTCATAGGCATGCCCAGAATTGAATTCAACGTTTTTTAGCTTTGAAGTGTGCTAGACCATCTTACCAATGCTGACAGTAGCGACCCCACTGACTACTGCAGCTGCTAGGAACTGGTTCCGGGGGTTGGGTTTCCCCATTCCTTCTTCTCCGGCTGGAGCTACCTAGACCAACAATATTTTATTTTAAAAATTTAATTGAGTTTTTACGATTTAAAGGGATTGTTCAGATATTTGAAAAGAGCAATATTTAACCACTTTTTAATGATAAATTTACAGTGTCCATACTCGTCCATTTTTTTACAAATCAAGGAGTTTCATGGTTCAAGAGTTTTTATTTTAGAGTTTTTTGTTTTAATTTCTGGATCGTGAAACACCTTAACAATCCCTTTTTATTATGTCAAAATAAAAAATGTTTGCATTTTTAAGGTTTAACATTATATTATTTATGCGGTCGTAAGTTCCCAAGTCCTAAGTTGGTTTTACAATATATAAAAACAATTCTACGGATCTACCTTATTTTCCATTATCACGTGATAAAAAAGAAATAAAACATTGTTTTTAGTGTACAACGCCTGTACAATTTCCTCTACAACCCCTGTACACTTTTCTGTAAAACGCCTGTACATTTTTCTGTACAACCCCTGTACACTTTTCTGTACAACGCCTGTACACTTTTCCGTACAACCCCTGTACACTTTTCTGTACAACCCCTGTAAACTTTTCTGTACAACCTCTGTACACTTTTCTGTACAATCCCTGTACAATTTTCTGTACAACCCCTGTACACTTTTCTGTACAACCCCTGTACACTTTTCTGTACAACCCCTGTACACTTTTCTGTACAATGACTGTACACTTTTCTGTACAATTAAATCAGATAGAGCGTTCATTCTTTACCGTTGAATAAAAATGTACAGAATTTTGGATAAATAGACAATTTTATAAAAGTAAAAGCTCTAATTAGTGATTACAGGGTATCAATGAAAAGCGGACAGTCGTCTTCACTCATTAAATTTGTTAATATTTTGTAATTTGTTACCGTTATGCTATTGAAATTCCAAAATGTTAAAGGGCCCGCTTATTTGGGTAATTTCATGGTAGAATTACAGCGCAAAGGTACCTTCGCATTGACACTTTGTAAACGATTTTTCAGTAACAATAGCCAAATAAAATCTAAAATTATCATTTTTCAATATCATCATGTGTCAGCCATTATATAATAAAATATAAAAACTTTTGATCTTAGATTTAACAAGAAATTAACGTTTTTCTTGTTTAAATGTGATCTTAAAAAATTAACACGTGTATACAAAGACGAGTTTCTCTCTCAGAGAATCTGGATCCTAGATTTCAACTCTTCAATAAATAATGGGGAAGTAGGGAAAACGTATCAAACTGTCCAATGTTTAAAATAAGTTATATTCTAAAAATGATTTTGATAAAAAATAAAAAATATCTACAATTAACTATTGGATACTACAATTTAATTTAATATTTGAAATTTTTTCAAATCCGAATCCAAAATTCGTAAGTCCAAAAAGTGCTTTTTCTCAAGCCTAAGTTGTCTGTGAAAAGTAAGACTAATACCAATGAATAGCTAATAGGCTGTTAAGTTTACCCTCAAAAACCCAAGTAAGTGAACGGTCCCTTTCAATACTTTTAGTAAAAGAAAAACAATGTTAAAAACTCTTTGAAAGCACCAACTCTATGGATAACCAATACAACAATTTTATTTAAAACTTTCGTAAATGTTGATAAGAATTTTTTACAAATTTTCAATGCAGGTCTGGTCATAAATAATTGTTTTATTGCACTAACAATTTCAAGGCCAGTGGATAAAAATGATGCAAATCCTGAAAATGCATTACGCAGGAAAGTAAATAAACATATACTTTGCTTTTACAAAATACACTTTTTAAACATTTTTTTAGATAAAGATAAATAATTATCGTTTATTAAAATTGTGTCGCCTAAAATAGGTTAATTTAAAATATTCTACAATGTGTTGAGTGCCTTAAAAAACTGCAAAAGTTTTGGGAACTTTTCATTTGTTTTCAGTTGTTTGATCAATACACCGCAACCTAAGAGAAACTGCCTCTGGGTTCTGCGTAACTAGCAAAATTAGAATTTTTATTTTTAAACCAAATCCGGAAACTTAAAGGATGTATCAACAAAATAAAAAATGAAGTATATATACAGTTAAACCCTAAATTTATCAAATGTTGTCTTGACAATTTTTCAATGAGTTTTATACTATGTTACGTAAATCTCAGTATTTGCGAAAATAAATAAATAGCCTGCATGAGTATGCGGGAACAGTTTAAAGAGCTCCATTTAATCATTTAATTTAAAAGCTAAATATCTGCAACATTCCATTATCAGAAAGAGAAGAATACGACATTTGATGAATTCTTCCGACGTATGACTTTTTTAGGGGTTAACTGTACGTATGATTTTTAAGCCTTTTTATCTAGAAATGGAACTCATATTGACCACTTTTTGCGTTGACGGTTTGCTTTCTAGATTTAAATTTTCAGTATTTAAAAACCATGAAGATTGTGTAGACGCTTCATAAAGTCTGTATAACCGGGGTTTTTGTTAAAAATTATTTTGACGTAACGTTTTCATAAACAGGGCTAACCACAAAGAACGATACTTGAAGAGCTGCAGCGGTAAGACACGATCATCTCAACCTTTGTTGTTTACCCATTTTTTCCCGGCCTAAAAACATCAAATAAGACTTGTGACTCGTGTAATATCATTAGTGTATGTAAACCTCTTTGTGTTTTGCGTCAAGTAGTTGCTTATTGATTTTCTCATATAGAACAATGTCATAAATTTATAATGATAAACATGTTAAGTCGAAACAGAACTATATTCCAGGAAATATTACCTTGTCAATACCAGAATCTCAGAATTTTAATCTTCCTGCATTTTTTCTTAAAAACTTATTTTTAATTATAATTCAACTATTGTGCACTTTATCCTCAGTTCCTGTTTAATTTCATTATAACAATGCATTAAGTAAAAAAGCTATATTTTATAGAGAACAATTAGTTCCCGTGAACAAAGCTATTAGTTTCTATTTGTTTGATATATTAATATTTAACTTTAAAGCAATAAATACGTAAATCAAGTGAATAAACAAGTATTTAATTCTAATACTAGCAAAAGAGTTTCCCGTGGAATTTTTTAAAATCAAATTTTAAAGAATTTTTGAAGAAAACAAATTTCGAATTTTCTTAGCCTATGCTACTCTGGGGGCACCCATGGGTTCCCTCAAAAAATGTCAGACCGTTCGGTCCAGCCGTTTGGCCGGCTATAGGGAACATAAATACGTATGTCTTGTTTTATTATTTAGATTTATTTAATATATTTTTATAAATGAAGAAAGTGTTATTCTTCGTATTTCTTTTAATACCTTACAGTGAGGCCCATATAACTATGGAATAGGAAGCCGACATTTTAACAATCTTACGTGTATTAAATGATTTTATAAACCAAATATTTTTACTGCAGTACGTGTAGCTTAAAAATCAACCTTTAAAGTAAAACTGGTCTATGTACACTGCACAATTGCATGTTTCATATTAAGTCTAACAGTTATCTCCCTGGTATACAGTTTTATGAGTCCATCTGTAAATAACAAAAGGAAGAAATGAATGGTCCGGTTTTTTTCAATGAAGAATATTCAAAGAATTTAATTTGTGTGTATTTTTCTTATTAATTCTTTTCATTTAATATACCTGCCATGCCCTAAATACGCTTGGACACTGTCCCAAGGACTCTCCCTCCCACCTGTACTTAAATATTTCGCAAAAAAAACTGGCAAAAATCCAAATATTTATTGCAAAATTTGATTATTTTAAGAGAAGAAAACAAAAATTGGACTCAATAGGATAAGTTTTACATTTTGAAACTTGACTTGTCACATGCAAAAGTAGTTTTAAAATTTACTTGTTCATGCTCCTGTGCAAAATATAGTGTGTTAAATTTTGTATTGCAGAACTTGTTCACTTTGCATTCTTTTGTTTAAGAATTTGCAAGTGGTAGTGGCATTAAGTAGTTTTATAAACTTTTTTCAAATCCCGTTTTTACTTTTGACACATTGACATCTTGGTCTTAAATTATAGCTCAAACCCATCTTGTCAGACCCATAAACCGCCCCTCCCCTTTCTCCCCCCCTCTCACAGTTGCACACCTCAAACGCTTAGGTAACTTAAGCGACGACCTGTTATGGGCTTAAAGGGACTGACTGGCTAGGTATAATATTTGTACTCAGAGTGCAATATTATAAAACTAGGTTTTCAGAGCGCTGCGCGTCCATCTTCAATTTAACTTTTATTTGTTGCTCTTCTATAGTTGTTTTAACGTGGATTTAAAAATATCCTATTTCTATTATTTTTCAATTCTTACCATCCACACACCTTCCCTGGGATTATGTGAAATCCCTCATGTAAATCTGATAAACGTTAAACCCCTGGCTGAACCAGCCTTTCTCACGTTTATCTGCAGATACAAACAATCAAACAAACAGCAGAGCAAAGTATATATATCTATATCTATATATATATATCTATATATATATCTATATATATATATATATGTATGTATATATTTCAGTTTTTAACTTCACATTTTTATTAAATAAATTATACTGAACATAATGTTTTACGTCTATCATGACGATCCTCAGTAGATATATAAAGTTGTAGTCTCTGTTTGTCTGTGTGCGTGTCCGATCATAACTCAGGAACCCCTTGACCGATTTGGTTGGGGAACTTGAGAGAGCCACGGAAATGTTCTTAGTTTTGAGATTCTAAACTGCAGAATTAGCTATGAGAAACCGGCCTGGGCAACGCTGGGTTCCCAAGCCAGTGTATACATAAAATATTATAATTCATTTGATCCCTGTAAAACTTTTTTATACTATAATTGCTAAATAAGACAAAAACTTGTTCTTAAAAAATTACGAGCTGGATAATGCTTGAGAAAACGATTCGATTGATTTAAATCATTTGATATAACAGGGAAAAACGAAATAATACAAATTCTACTATAAACTAATCTGTTGTTTGGGAAAATATTTTTAAGACAAATTATCGTTGGAATCAATGGTAGAAATAATTATATCTCTGTCATCATTATCTCGAATATTCAGTTTTATATTAACTTATTTTTAACTTATTATTTCTTTAAATTTCTTTTAATTGTCGTCTTTGCACTAAAAATTCAAAGAAATCTATGGAAGCATTTTGGCTAAGAATCAATTATTTATATAATAAAACAAAACATTCGTTTATAGTTATATATGTATTTAAATCTTTGTGTGTGAATAACTCTTTTTAATAATAATAATATGTTATGGTGTCTTACTCGATATTTCAAATAGTTTCAATTTACATTTTCAATATTCGTCTTGATATGTTTAAGAATTTAATGTGACATGTTAAACATTATAGCTTATTCAAGTTTGATGTGTAAACTGTTCAAATATTTGTTATAAACTGTTCTTCTTCTTTTTTCTTATCTATCTTTGCTTGCGGTTATTAATGAAATTTGTACCATTGATGCAATATTTATATATGTATATATATATATATATATATATACATATATAAATATTTATATATTTATATATGTATATATATATATACGTAACTTGCATGTTAACTACACAAGTGTAAACACAGTTTCCCAGTTTCTAACAATATGTACAGGGTGATCAATATCACACTAGTTTTGGCAATTTAAATAGTTAAATAGTTTCTAAAAAATTGCTTTTTTAATTTACTTTTTGCAGCAACAGTTCTCCTCAAAGCTATTGTACATGATAACCGTAGAGCGCAAGATGGCAGTATTGTAGATGATAAGCCTAGAGTGCAGGATATGACAGTACTTTACATGATAACCCTAGAGTGCAAGATAGCAGTAGTGTACATGATAACCCTAGAGTGCAAGGTAGCAGTATTGTACATGATAACCCTAGTGCAAGATGGCAGTACTGTACATGATAACCCTAGAGTGCAGGATGGCAGTACTTTACATGATAACCCTAGAGTGCAAGATGACAGCTTGTACATGATAATCCGAGAGCGCAAGATTGTAGTATTATTCATGATAACCCTAGACGCCAAGATGGCAGTATTGTACATGATAATCCTAGAGCACAAGATGGCAGTACTTTACATGATAAACCTAGAGCACAATATGGCAGTACTTTATTACATGATAACCCTAGAGGGCAAGATGGCAGTATTGTACATGATAACCCTAAAGCGCAAGATGGCAGTACTTTACATGATAATCCTAGAGTGCAAGATGACAGCTTGTACATGATAATCCGAGAGCGCAAGATTGCCGTACTGTTCATGATAACCCTAGACGGCAAGATGGCAGTATTGTACATGATAATCCTAGAGCACAAGATGGCAGTACTTTACATGATAAACCAAGAGTGCAAGATGGCAGTATTGTATACATGATAACCTTAGAGCGCAAGATGGCAGTATTGTACATGATAACCCTAGAGCGCAAGATGACATTATTTTACTGTGTACATGATAATCCTAGAGCGTAAGATGGCAGTATTGTACATAATAACCCTAGAGCGCAAGATTGGCAGTATATTGTACATAATAACCCTAGAGCACAAGATGGCAGTATTGTACATGATAACCCTAGATCGCGCAAGATGGCAGTACATATTCATGATAACCCTAGAGCACAAGATGGCAGTACTGTACATGAAAATTCTAGAGCGCAAGATGGCAGTATTGTTCATGATAACCCTAGGAGCACAAGATGACAAGTTTGTCAGATAACGACTAAGAATCAACTAAACCAAATATTTCAAGCTTTGTAAAAATCCGCGACCGTGCTTTTATGAGCTGAGATAATAATATTGTAGTTGCGTGCGCTCGACTACACGGGTATACTTAACGCTTATAATCTCTATATTCATCAACGTATACGCTGCGTGCATCCCCCCCCCTCCCTCGACACCTTGGGGCGTGAAATGTAAATTAGTCCTTTAATGCACCAGTTTTTATTATTTTAGTTCATTTTATTACAGAATATATTTATGCTTTTTTGAGAATTTCTAAACTAAGACTCTTCACTCATAGTGTGAAGAAGTCTATCTTAAAAAGTTAAAACCGAGATTTTACAAGGTCAACCAAAAAAGAGTATAAACAATATTCACAGGGTTACCCACAAAAAGAGTTAAAAAATTTATTTACAAGGTTACCCATGCACAAAAGGAGTATAAAAAAATATTTACAGGGTCACCCACAAAAGGAGTCTAAAAAATATTTACAGGGTTACCCACAAAAAGAGTATAAAACAATATTCACAGGGTTACCCACAAAAAAAAAATTAATATATACAGGGTTACCCACAAAAAGAGTTAAAAAATTTATTTACAGGGTTACCCACAAAAAGAGTATAACAAATATTTACAGGTGTATCCACAAAAAGAGTATAAAAAAATATTCACGGGACGTTACCCACAAAAAGAATATAAAAAATATTCACGGGTTACCCACAAAAAAAAAATATTTACAGAGTCACCCACAAAAAGAGTATAAAAAATATTTACAGGATAACCCACAAAAAGAATATAAAAAAATATTTACAGGGTATCCACAAAAAGAGAATATAAAAAATATTTACAGGGTTACCCACAAAAAGAGTGTAAAAAATTTTACAGGGTTTCCCACAAAAAGAGTATAAAATAATATTCCCTGGGTTACCCACAAAAAGAGTAAAAAATAATATTCGGGTTACCCACAAAAAGAGTAAAAAATAATATTTACAGGGTTACCCACAAAAAGAGTAAAAAATAATATTCACAGGGTTACCCACAAAAAGAGTATAAAAAATATTACAGGGTTACCCACAAAAAGATTAATAAAATATATTTACAGGGTTACCCACAAAAAGAGTTAAAAAATAATATTCACAGGGTTACCCACTTAAAAAGAGTATAAAAAATGTTCCCTGGGTTACCCACAAAACGAGTATACATTTTTATTACAGGGTTACCCACAAAAAGAGTTAAAAATACAGAGTTATAACCACAAAGAACGAGACTTTAGAGAGGACTAGGTTAGAAATTCATTTATAAGAAGTTCTTTTATTTTTTACACATCTAGAATAGGAAATTGCACAGTATTATGAAAGGTAAACTTCTAACAGAAAATAATGAAGATGAAAAATTAAAATTGAACCGAACAGCGTATCTGAGAAAAAAGTAAGCTTAATCAAAGTTTGGATAATTTGTAGTTCCGATGATGTTTCGCCATTCCCGAGTGACGAGTCCCTAACTGTACCAGAGAGAATAATTGCCGCGAATGAATACTGTAGATTGTCAAAACATTTACGTCTACGGCAATGTTGCCAATTGTTCATTGGCGATTTAATAGTTGTTATTCAAGGTCTGTCGAAGGACTGGGGTTTGCTTTTTCCGCTGTCAAACGTCCATAGCTTGGTCAGATTAGCTTACGAATTGTTAAAAAAAGGAGTGAAACAGGAAACGTGCTGGATAGATTAATGCAAGTGTTAGTGATCTAGACAGTTGACGTCCCGAGGGGGGGGGGGGGGGGGTTCAGCGTCCACAGGGAACTGAATCCCTCACAGAATCGTAAGGCGTTGTTTTTACTCCCAGCCGCCCCTCGACAATAATATCTATGAACCTGATTTCAATTATTTGTTCAATTAATCTGTAAATATTGTTTTATTGTTGTAGAGTTAGGTTATAGTAAAGACAATTTATGGGCCGAGCGTTGTGGCTAGGACCTAGGCTGGGGCTAGGCCAGGCAAGTGGCCGGCACTGTGGTCACATAACAAACTTTGACCTTTTAAACAAATCTTTTAAAAATTGTTTTCTTTTTTTTTGGGAGGGGGGGGGCTAAATTCGTTCTCTAAGAAATTTTCCTTTATATTGTATGGTTTATAAATATGGTTTATATTTACTGCTTTTTGAGAATCTTTGTTTTAAAATCTACTCGATAAATTATTTTTAATTTCAGATTTAGAGTTTAAACATAATGATGATCTCGACATATGATCAATAATTAGGTGCAGTAGAGGTGATGAGTGGAAGCTGGCTTGAAAATCCTCGGAATAAAATCAGAAATTTTTTCTCAAAATTCAAGAGAAATTTTCCAGCTTCGTGTGCCGAGTAAGTTTTTATCAGGGTTGGGAAAATAATTCTTTATTGATGATAATAGTTAAAGCATACATTCAAGCAGTGCTTAGGATCCATTTAATTTTGATGCGGATCCGGATCCTGATCCTGGATCCGTACTGAAAAAAAAATGGATCCGGATCCAGCTCCGGATCTGGATCCAGGTCAGTTCTTTAAGAATTACTGAATTTTTTTAACAAAAAATAATTTTCAAATTTTTTTTTTCGCTTATTTTTATCCTAAACCTTGATGAGCCATTTAGGGGTGTGTAAAATTCTTGAAAAATATACCCCCGGGAATCAGCTGATTTGGATCCAGGTCATTTCTTTAAGATTTACTGAATTTTTTTAACAAAAAATAATTTTCAATTTTTTTTTTTTTTTTTTTTGCTAACTTTTATCATAAAACTTGATGAACTATTCAGAAATGAGGAAATTTTTATAATCTTTTCAAAAGTACAGATTTGGGTTTTAGGAATAGGATCCAACAGATCCGGATCCGGATCCTAAGCACTGCTTTCAAGAATTTCCTTAAAGACTGTAGGCGTATAACACAGCTTACCCTTCTTGCAAAGATGACAATGCCCGATTCAAAGCGGTACCTCGATAGATCCATGTTTTGTTTCTTTAAACTGTTTCGTTTGCGCGTTCTCTGCGAAAGGGACGTGCATTTCTTGCTGTTGAGAAACAATGGAGATATTTTGAGAACTAAACACTTCAAGTCAGAAATAGGGCGTTATTTTCTACATTTTTCGTAAGGTTTTAGGGTACCGTTGTAAATCGGGAATTGCCATCTTTGCATGTAGGGTCACTTGAAATTGCGCGCACAGTCTCTTTAAACTTTTGACATTTGAATTTCAGTCGTGGAGAAATGGAGGCAGTGAGTGATGAAGATGAAGTAGATCGAGAACAAGAACTCAGTCATGAACTTGTAGAGTGGAAACCACATACTCAGGTTCAGATATACCATGAAAATAATTTTTAAGGAAGGTGAATATTTTTTCAAGAAAATATTAACCCCTGCAGTTTAACTTGATTAAACATTTTTCAATAATTTTTTTCTTCTAGGTTGATTATGTCCATTTCCTGGTGCCTGGCCTGACGGGAATATTTGCCTCTCCACAGTACTGGGGGAAAATGGACAGGTTTGTAAACTCCTCGGTGCTTGGAGCAGTAGACTTAATTTTAAGGAAATTTATAGCCTAGAGTTGGTAAAACCCCGGTTTTTATTTTAAAGCCCAGCCTAGTGGGTAATATTGGTATTATTGTTTTATATCGGTTTATTGGGGTTAATCGATTTTTTAATAAGTTTTTTTTAAATCTAGTTTTTTCCTTCTACAGTGATAACCAGGCGTATTTGATGTTGTTACAAAACCAAAAGTTCTGTTAGAAACTTATTAAATCCCTAATTAGGAGAAACATTCCAGTCGAACCACTCAATTTAGAATCTGAAACCCCAGCTAAGAACATTTCCGTGGCTCTCCCGAGTTTCCCAATCAAAATTTGAGGCAAATCGGTCTAGTGGTTCTTGAGTTATGATCGGACAAACAAACAAACAGAGATTACAACTCATCGTATCATTGTTTATTTTTTAAGATATGAGGCAGAGGAAGCATTAGAGAATAAACCGGAAGGAAGTTTTCTACTCCGGGATTCAGCACAAGATGAATACATATTCAGGTCAGTGAGTACATATTCAGGTCAGTGAGTACATATTCAGGTCAGTGAGTACATATTCAGGTCGGTGAGTACATATTCAGGTCAGTGACCACATATTCAGGTCAGTGACTACATATTCAGGTTAGTGAGTGCATATTCAGGTCAGTGAGTACAGATTCAGCACAAGATGAGTACATATTCAGGTCAGTGAGTGCATATTCAGGTCAGTGAGTACATATTCAGGTCAGTGAGAACATATTCAGCACAAGATCAGTACATATTCAGGTCAGTGAGTACATATTCAGGTCAGTGAGTACATATTCAGCACAAGATGAGTACATATTCAGGTCAGTGAGTACATATTCAGGTCAGTGAGTACATATTCTGCACAAGATGAGTACATATTCAGGTCAGTGCTTATCATTCATAACAATAACCTTTTCTGAGAAACCATTAACTATATTTTGTCGTTATTGGCTTTCTAAAATTTGACAAATCTTGGCGATTTTTTTAAATGGTCACGCCTCACCATTTTTTTTATTCTAATTAATATTTGGAATTTAATTATGTTAGACAATGTGTTTTTCTTCAAATAATTTATATTTTCTCAAAAAATTAAGAAAATTAAGACACTTTAGAACAAAAATGCCATTAACTCGTATTTTTGTTTTATTTTTGCCTAAAACGTGGAAAAGCAAACTGAAAAATATTGTAAAATTAGATCAACGAAATTAAAATTAAATAAATTAAATAAAAATAGCACTTTTACGTGAGCGTAATTTTTGTAAGATTGTTTTTAATTTGTTTGTCAGTGTTTTAGATTTTACATTTTACTTTCCGCCTAACTATTTACTACTTATAGTTGTTACTCAATACAGCTCAAGTATTGGTATTTTCTTACTTGGTCAATTGAATTACTCCAGCAATCAAGTAGATAATTGAGAACAGTTTTATTTTGATGGAAAATGTTTCCTTTAATTCTCAAGCTTATACTTTACAAGTCTCTGCTCCACAATGTCTACTCTCTATTTTTCGAACCTTGCTAATTGTACAAATGACTATGTAATATACTTCAATATAAATGATGAAAATTTTTCGCTTACATAAACTATAGTAATCCTAATACGTGACGTTCTTGTTAAAATTAATAACCATATGAAAGTAAAAAATATTTATTTTTAAAAGTGTTTTAGATTAAAATATTTTTTTTGACAGTGTAAGTTTCCGACGTTATGGGCGCAGTCTTCATGCACGCGTAGAGGAAACAGGTGCTTTATTATCTAGTTATTTATTTTTTTCCAACTTAGGCTTCCTTTCAGATATCCACTTGACTAGATTTGAGAAAACTATCTAACTTTTAAAAATCCCATTCACTTTCTCGTATTCAAATGAAACGCATTGGTTTATTTCTGGTTGGAAATATAAACTTAAACTGCTGTAGATGAGCGGAAAATATAAAAGCAACTTGAGCTCAGGATAATTGAAATAAAGTTTTCCTGAGTTATGATCAGAAAAATAAACAGACAGACAAACAGAGATTACAATTATATNACACTGTAGATGTTAAAATATGCAAGCTTCTTTTCGGTCAAACCTAAAAAATTATAACCCATCAGAATTAAACTTTTGTGTTTTGAATCTCTTGATTTTGTCTCTAATGTAGACCTATGGATTAATTTTATTTTTCTGTTATATCCCGTGGTATTCTTACCTTTGAGCGGATAATTTTGAGCATTTATTGTCAAATTTATAAGTGTCCACATTGGATATCGAGACCAAACCTTCAAGATTAACGATACTCCACACAAAAATGTTCTACCAGGGGTGTATATTTTTCAGAATTGAATAATTTTTTGAAGATTTGGACATCAAAAAGCAACCTGTTTTTTATTCTTTTGATATTAACTCTCCTCAAAAATATTTTTCTAGAAAATATACCAGATCCGCTAACTGTTCGTGGTTTTTAGAATAATTTTATTTAATTTCAGAGCATTTATTCAGCTTCGACTGTCACGACCCAGGTGTTTACAGGTCTCCTAATATACCACAGCTCTTAGAACATTATAAGGTCAATCAATCAATCAATCAATTACGTAATCAATCTACCAATCATTTAATCAATTCTTACCTATACCTAATTTCACAAGTCAAAAAATCAATCCATCAACCAATTAGTTAATCGAGTATTAGGTCAATATTTATGAACTCAGCCAGTTTTTGGAATTCATGGAAGTCCTGAAATTCCGACGTCGAGGCAATTTTTGGTCTGACCTTGCATGTGTTAATTGGCCATTACGTTGTTAATTCATAAATATTGGCTGACCTGATAAAGAATGACCCCATTACATTAATCGATTTGGCGATCATTAAATTGATTTCTTAACTACAAGTCGATTTACCAATCACTTAATTAATTCACTTATAAAAAATTAAACAATTAAAAGTTTATTATGGTGGTATGTAGTGCCTTGAAGGCAGTCTGGGGGTTCCACATTGGGTTCCCTTCAAGATTTTCACTTGATTTGATCCACCAATAAAGTTTGATGGATGGGGGGGGGGGCTATCGGAACTTGTTGCTCTACTAAATGAATCAACCAACAATAATGGATAAACCAATCAACCAAGTAAATTACCCAATCCACCAGAAATAAAACATTAATCCACCATTCAATAATTTTATCCAATCAATGAATCAAACCACCAATCAATTAATCAATCACAAATCTATTAATAAATTCTCCATACAATGAATTAATCCGGAACTGAATAAATCTATCCACTAGTAAACAGATCAATATTACTAATAAATATATAAATATATTCATGAGGACCCTACATCGTCTATGTTCTTTTGGCCACAGCTGTCTTTGTCCATTCTAAATTCAATTTATCAATCAAACAAATCAATTAACAAATCAACCAGTAATCCACTGATCAATTTATCACCAAAAATGACTAAATCGATCAAATTAACAACATCTTTTTGTTTAGGATCCTTCATCTTGTATGTTCTTTGAGCCCTTGTTATGTTGTCCTGTGTTTAGAACTCAACCATTCTCCCTTCAGGATCTTTCCAGGGCTGCTATCTGTGATACGTGAGTATTATTATTATTATTTGTATCATTCAATCCTCTAAAGGCCTGTAGATGTAATTTCAAGCAACCCTCCATTTAAAAGGACCATGCCTGATTCACAACGGTTCCCTTTAAACCATTCATTCTTATAAGCGTTTAGTGTTAACGTTGAGAATCGAACATGTTCCATAGAGTCAATTGTAATAATGTGAACACTATACAGTCCCTAGAACCAAACTTTTTTGGGGAAAATAAGAAATTAAGCTTTTTACCCTATTTTTGACGCTTATTCCTACTTTTCCAAAAAAAAACATTAATATTTTCTGATTTTTATTATCTTGTTGGTAAAAGTGTATATGGCACAATCTTAATTTTTACTGTGGGCTTAAAAATGGATTACAAATATGTATTTATAGTTGGAATTCTTTTAGTCAAGCTAATAATCTCATGATAGAAATTAGTGCTTAGGATATGGATCCGTTGGATCCGCAAGATTTTAGCTTCCTGTATCTGTCCTGGGTCCGGAACCGGAACCTAACTTTTTTATGTTTTTGCTCTGAAAACCCAAATATGAACTGTTGAAAAATGAGACATTATAAAAATTTCATTATCTCTGAATAAATCATCAAGTTTTAGCATAAAAATATGCGAAAAGAAGAAGAAAAAAAATTGACAATTTTGCTTTGTTAAAAAAGCTAATGTTCAAGACCTGGATCCGAATCCATTTTTTTCCAGTGCGGATCCAGGATCCAGCACTGATAGAAATTGATTATTAAGGAGCTAAGTTTTTTTTCAATATTAGAACTCTGCTCAATGAGCAGGTACCAACTACTAAAAATATCAGGTTTAATGTATCAAGACCGTTATTTAACCCCTAGTTCGTCAAAGTTTTTATGACAGAAATTATTGTTTATGTGGAGCGGAATTTGTTGAGGGGTTTTATTATTAATTGGAGAGAAAAAAATTAAATTTTGGGGTAAAAATTAATCTTTAGGTGCTTGAATTTTGATTTCTTTGAAAGAAAAATATTAAACTAATTTTTGACAGATGCAAAAAACTTATCTAAAATAGAACTAAATGAGCCAGAAGCTGCACTAATTTTTTTCCATGAGGAGAATGTCTTCGTTCCCTTAATTTTCTAGTGAGGGGTATACCCCCCCCCCCCAATTTTCCAAGTGGGGATGTTACCTTTCACCCGGGTCATCCCCCCCCCCCATCCTTTAAGTTACCTTTGTTAGAATCAGTGTACAGTAGAACATATCCTAAATTTTAAACAATCCCTTGAATTATTTTCTGTTTAGACTCCCGTGTTACGGAGGTATTGACCAGCTTGAGCTGCCGAGATCTTTAAAGATCTCGTTAAAGCAGTACCACTACAAACACAAGATCAGAACTAGACGATTAGAGACTACTGAGTAGATGATTTTTGGTACTAACCCATGCGTATTTTCCAATGGAGGTTATATAGAATCCAATGGAAGTTCTATTTATTTCCAATGGAAGTTATATAGATCCAATGGAAACTGTATTGATTTGAAATGAACATTTTATTGATTTCCAATGGAAGTTACTTTCAATGGAAGTTATATAGATTCCAATGGAAGTTATATTAATTTCCAATGGAAGTTACATAGATTCAAATGGAAGTTATATAGATTCCAATGGAAGTTTATTAATTTCCAATGGAATTTTTATTGATTTCCAATGGAAGTTATATTGATTTCCAATGAAAGTTATATAGATTCCAATGGAAGTTATATTGATTTCCAATGGAAGTTATATAGATTCCAATGGAAGTTATATTGATTTCCAATGTCACCAAAGATATTTTCCCAATTGGCAACTTTTCATGGATGGCGAAAGTGGCAAGTTTCCTAGTGGCTATTTCTGATATTTACAATTTCCCAAGATTACTAAATGTTGTATGGTGTCCCGGTTATCCTAGTCACAGTGCAGCACACGGATCAGAACATTTTAACCCCTCTTCTGATCAAGTTAGAATTTATTTTTAAATTACTCAGACTTAGGTAAAATAATATAAAACCCATCTTATTATAATTTCTTCCCATGTCTCCGAAGTTCTGGGTTGAACTGTAGTATAGATGGAACAGTTATTTTGATGTAAACAAACTAAAGTGACTGTAAACAAGATTTCAAATGACCCTCCTGATTCAAAGTGGTGTGACAGTTCAAATAGTTTCCTCTCAAACTATTGTGTAAACAAACATGATGGAATTATCCCTCTTTTTCTATCAGATTTTTTTATTGTTATAATAGTTGATTTTTCTAGACGAGAAGCAACAAAACTTTTCTTATTGTTAATCATAGGGCTGAAGGGTTCCGTTGTGATTGTAAATTGTAAATGATTGGTTAAATTATATCTAGGGAAATGCTGATGGAAAAGTACTAAAAACCTACGTATGTTGTATGAACAGTGGAACCCATAAAACTCTTGAATAAGAAGACGACTGTGAGGCTCATATTATGATTCTAAATAGTCCAATGAACGTGTAAGAATGTAAATGTGCAGTTTCACAGACCCATATCACTCGATAACTTGAATTTCAAGCTAGTGTTACAGCCATTTGATATTGAATGTCATTGAATACACAGAACATTGATTAAATGTCATCTTTCTATTCCGCAGTTGTATGTGTTCCACTGAACAATGTAACCATAATGTGTTAAATTCCAGTGTTCACACTGTCTGTGAATGTTGTTTAGAAAATTATGTAAATACTAAATGTTGATTATATTCTATATATAGTATATATAGCAATATTGCATTTTTTAACTGGACTGAGTATTTTACTTTTTTGCAAATTTCTCTCCAGATTGTACAATTGTAAATAAATGTCGCAAATGTTGCTTTTCTGAAGTAAATTTACACTAATTTAAATTGAAAAAAATTAAAGTTCCATTGGAAAAAAAGTGAATATTTTAAAGTTTTTGCTAATCATTTTGTCTTGTTTAAGCGAACATTTATTCGTTTATTTTTATGTTGTTTTTTTATTTAAACTCTTGAATATCTTCGAAATGATAAAGTTTTTTTAAATTTTTAATTTTTTGAGAATTAGGAAATCCAAGATGCAAATTTATAATAACACCAGTTCCCAACCATCTGTAATATAAAATTGAAATTTTGTTTCCTTTAGAACTTGTATTTTTCAAATAATCTTGAATATGTTACATCCCATAAAGCTATTTATCCAAATATATATTATCCTGAACTTATTTTGGTTTAGTTGGCAAAGCTAAGATGAAAAGAATAATAGTCCTTTCAAAAGATGGAATGATACACTGACAGTCCTAAAGGACACTTCCCGTCCCTGTACTGTACTAATTTGATATAACGTTTCGATGTGGAAATAAATAATTGGGAAAATGTTAAAGTTCCGTGAAATTTCTGTGGGTAATGTAAGGTCCTGCAGAAAAGTTCAGCAAGAAGGTTTGCAAAAATATTTTGATGTCGTTAAATGGAAATTATCACTTTACCGAAAACTATGATTTTCTAAATCTTATATCTTTGCAACCCAATGTGGTAGAAATTTCAAACCGTCTATTCTGTTAGATAAAATAATCACCAGGTTGCAAAGATATAGGGATTATAAATTCTGAGTTCACGGCAAAGGTTGGTGAAGCAATTTTTTATTTCTAAGGATTTCTGTGATTGCAGGAACTAAGGGTGTCCCAGATTTTTCGAGTATTATGTGCGTAATTCAGCGTTAAATCTTGGGAGATAATCCAATATGATAAAGGACGCCCGATCTGCAGTATCAATTATATAAGACACAGGGTGTCTCACGAAACACGACAGTAGCAACACGACTGGAAGGTCGTCTTAGATCTTGGAAATTATTAATGACACTCAGTCGTCAACCATCTTCAACGCGTATGATCCTTAAAACAAAAACCAAAAATTATCCAAAAAAGTTCACTCTGATTTTTCTACAGTGATAACCAGAAAACTGTAGAATATGAAGACGACATAATGCAATACTGAATTATATTTGTTGTTACAAAGCAAAAAGCCTCACTTGTAAGTTATTAAATTAATAATTTAATGAAATGGGTCTGTTTACACTGCACAATTGATGTGCCACGTGTGAACTATTTAAAGCCATGTCTTGAGTCTAAAAGTCGACTTTGTATTCCAGAGTTTACTAGTTATCATTGCACCTCTTAGAGGTCCTTCAAGCACACTCCGGACATTACTTTGGAAATGCCAGGATTCAAGACGATTTTTAAATTGTTATGTATGTTTTTGATTTATTTTTTTCTGAAAATCATTTTTGGCTTAGACAAAGAAAAAAAATAATAAATAAGATTTTAAGCCATTTATTACATCTTTTTCTTACATCTTACAACACATAAATTTTAAAGCGCAAACTTTTAAACAATTTCGAGTTTTATTCTCCTTCATTAGCACCACAATTCCTGAACAAGCAAAATTAAACTTATTACACTACAGTGAATCCCAGATAAATGAATACATTGCAAGAGTTTTTTATAATGTCGTATTACATATTTAAGATCAAATGCCGCGGAAAAATGAGTTTAATATTAATAATAAATTGCATTCATATTTCAGGGCTATGTTAAACTCATTTTTCCGCAGCATTTGATCTTAAATATGTAGTACTCTTGCTATGTATTCATATGTCTGAGATTCACTGTACTAAACCTCAAGGTTTCTAATCGCTTTGATGGTATAACCTTTGATTTGTCAAACTTTACAACTATTTGATATTGCAGAAATCATATTAAGATAAATCTAAAGTCTACGACACAGATATAGAGAAAAAAATAGAGTTTAAGGAGAGTAATCAGTTTCTTTAATATAATAAATTTTAGATAGTTATAATCGCACTCAATTCTGAACAATACACTGAGTCTCATGGATATTCATGCAGAACATTTTTATCTTTTTTGTCTCTAAAATTGGGCTAGGAAAAATCAAACACTTAAAACATGTGTACTATTATTAATCATATTTTTACATATTCATTTGTATGTATAAATGTTATACTATAGCTAGCCACACAGTTTTTCTTCCAAAAATCTAAAAAAATTATCATTTTTTAATTCGAAAATTTTTCCCAAATGTTTTTAAAATTCAACGGGCAACGCCGGGCACTTCAGCTAGAATAACATATCTATGTGCACTTTTGGTTTATAATCTGGCACTTTTTCAAATGTCCTGCAATTTATTTGGTAAGTGCAAAACTTTTTGCAAGATGGGGCGGAATGGAGATAAAAAACATTTGTTAGATAGAGACCTATAAATTGGCAAGTATCCCACTAAAATCTGAAAGATTCCAGGCTTAAATAATCGCACTATTTTAATAATAGTTCACATGTTTTCAGTGCTTCATTTTTCTAGCTCAATTTTAGGCATAAAAGATAAACAAATGCTCGATTGCATAATATTCCAGAGACCGAATTTAAAGAATTAGAGCGGCGGTTTAATTTAAGCCGCGGCTCAAATATGGTTGGTTTCACTTAAAATTGTATTCAATATTTCAAGATTTAAGCCGGCGCTTATTGAAACCGGTTTTTGGCGGATTTAAGACGCGGCTCAAATTCATTAAATTCGGACACGGGACTGAGAGAATAAAACAGAAATGGACAATAAAAACAAACCTTGTTTCCTCAAACAGAATTCCGTGAATCTTCTTTTCGTGATAGTTTCTGTTCGATCGATCGTTGTACTTCTTTCCGCACTAAAAATTATCTTAAAGGGACTGTATGCAAAATTTCAAGTGACTCTCCATTGATAAAGTGGCATTGTCCGATCCCTTAAAAGCTTTATCTGATCAAGTATTGATTGCATATCCATGTTTTTGAAAGCTGATTATTTCAATACTATGTTTTCTTAACAAAAGTGAGTTGCACTTTTCTTACTATAGAAACAACGGAGAAATTATTAGAATTTGACACTTTTTAAGCTGAATAAACCTTGTTTAAGGTTCCAAGTGTACTGCTGGGAATCTGACAAGACACTCTTTAAATAGAGATTCAGTTGATATTACAAGACAGTTCCAGGGAAAGTAGCTGTACTGCTTAGATTTGGTAATAAGTTAAACCTCCCCTCCGAACATATAATGTATAGGCTAAACTTGGATAAAATCATTTTTATAATTTATTTTATTCAAATATTAATATTTTGTAAAATAAATCGTTGCTTAATTTGATTAGGAAATTCTTTTAAAAAAATACTATTTTGAAACATGTCAAATGAATTTCATTAAGACTAAAAAACTTTAGATTGTTTAGTAAAAATGTCTTATTTATATTGTTGTGTTCATAGAGAAAATTATCTGAAACTTTCTGCAAAATATGTAAACTTATTAAAAGGAATATTTATATAACATTCTAAACATAAAACAATGCTTCATTATGGATGATTAGAAATTTTTTTACTTATAGTATATAATGTATATTTTAGAAGTGCATTTATTGCTTCTAGTAGTAAATACATGATAAATAACGAGTGTATAAAAGGAAAGGAAGTTGAGTAGGTCTTCTCTTGTTCCAAAATCCGACACCAATCATTTTCAGATTTTATAATCCTCTTTAGGGGATTTCTTCCTCTACAATATCCTATTAATCCTACCTTGTATCTACAAGCATAGGGTCGGTCTTTGATGTGGACATTCGTTCTGTAGAAAACAATCAATCATTCAAATATTTTATTTCATTTATTGAACTGCTTTATTTTTAACCAATACACAAGATGTTTTTAAGAATACATGCCTTCATTTTTGAAATTATGATTTAAAATTACAAAGGCTGAAAACGTATTTAAAAAGAATTTAAAAACGCAAAAAGGCTTTTAAAAAAACTAAATTCTCAGTTAAATTAGCTGATTTCTAAATGCAAACCTATCTAAGTTCTGTCAAAAAATGTTATATTACCATGTTTTCTTTTAAAATGATAAAAAAAACGCTTTTTGGGCGCTTTTTATTTTCAAAATTACGAATTTGTTTTTAATCTTTGTGACAGAAGCAATCACAAGAACTGACGAGGGGGGTCAACCCAGACCGAAATATATTTTCAATAACTGTGGAACTAACATCTACGTTTTTTTTTTACTCTGCAGAGGTTTAGTCCATCACCGAATTTGGATTTTTTTGGGGCAAACCTTCTATTTTTTACGATCCATAAACCTTCCCTGGTGTCATATATCAATTGCCACAAAATTTGGACCTGATCGGTTCAGCCGTTTTGACCAGAATTAGATACTAACCAAACAAACAGGCAAGACAAATATATATCTAAATATATATTGATAGTAAAACAAAAAAGTCATAAAAGCATCTTTTGAGGTAATTTAAAAAAGATAAAAGGCGTAGTCGTGTTCTAATAAATCAAGTGTAGTGTTTACGTAATTTCAGCGGACCCTTATTTTTTGAGTAGCATGTCCAATTCTCAAAGGTACCCTTTAAACTTATTATTTTTCAATAATTGCTGAGGTGGCACGCCTAAAATTATTAAATATTTGCAAAATGTTTCATGTATGTTTCATGTGCGTTATAACTCATAACTATTGTTATACATTTTACAGAAGGGACAGAAAATAAACATTTTCATTCGAGTTTTTTAAACCGAGTTGTATATAGAATATTATGAATTTAAGGAGTTCTAGATTGGGTCAAGAGGTGAAAAGGGCACTGTTGTGAATTGTACGTCCCACTCTAATATTCAGAGTAAACTAAATTTAAAATGTTCTCTAATTCAGAATGAAATAATTAACGTTTGTTTTCCTGTGTACAGTCAGTTTACCGCGGTCTACAAAACGTTTTCCGCACAAATCACATTCAAACGAAAGTTTCTCAGTTTCGTGCGTAGTCCTGGAGAAAAAAAAATTAAAGATAAGGTAATTGTTTCAACTTAAATTAAAATTTTTTGTTTCAAACGTAAAACATTTCTTGGTTTTTCGAAAAGTTTTTGTAAAACGAGTGATAACTTTTCTATTTTTGTTTCTTAAAAAAAAACCCAATAAATTCCGGAGTACGTGAAATATTACCTGACATGAAGATTAAGATTTCGTTCATTAGAGAATATTTTGGAACACAGGGTACAGACTAATTTCTTCAAACTGTGCTAAAACAGTTAAGGAAAAATAAACCAACCGGCGCTGGGATTGGGAGGGGGGGGGGGGGGGATATAAAAATATAAATATATTTTTTTAGAATTGGGGGAAAATTTTCCCACAACCTTTACTTTTAGCGGTTTTTAAATATTTTCTCCTGAAACACTTAATTTTGTATGTTTTTGTTATATTTCATAAATAAAGTATTTTTTACTTTACTTTTTTACTTTTACTCCCCATCGATTAAATTTTTAAAAAAAGATTAAAATTTACCACGCTTTTTGTGTGCACTGTCAGGTTTCTGTTTCGAAGAAAATGTTTTCCACATTGATCACACGTAAACTTTTTGTCCTAAACAGATTTTAAAATATATATTACAGTGATCCTTAAATAAATACGAAAAAATATTATTAAAACAAAACAAGAAACGCTGATTGAATAATTTCAACAATATAACTTTTTGGCAGCATTAACGTGTTTTCCACTTACTTTCTTCAAAGCAAATTAAATTTAAATTTTAACTTAATAACGATAAAATGGTGTTGGTAATATCAATAATTAAAAATGATAATACCAGGGCGGGAAAAAATATTAATTATTATTATTATTAAAAAACACTTCTGGGGATGTTCTGGTCCCCAAGGAAGTCACACCCATCAGTACTTCCCCTCACGATACGTGTGCAACCACGCCTGGGGTCGTCTGTTTGTTAATCGCTTAGGGGATGTCTAATTTAAACCCTGGATGTAAGCGCACCGGGTGTAGGGATTTTCGGGAACCTGAGTAAGCCGAATCCCCAGGTTGACATCCACCAACCCACCCACCCCCTCTTGGGACACAGGCCCAGTGTTGAGGGTAGTCTATTTCTGTGTAAAATCGTTCATAGAAATTTCCAATAAAATTCATAAAGGAAAAATATTGGTCTGGCAACCAATCTGTTACGTTTGGTTTTAAATATTACTTTGTTCAATTATTACTATAATTGATAAATTAATATAATATAATATATGTTGGGTTTGAATCATCTATCTTTCTACTATAGTATGTATGTCACGAGCTCGGTTTAGAAGTTTCAGTCTCCCACAACCATCCTGTCCCAGTTATCGTCTCAGGATGTATTTGTTGGCCTTCCCCGAGTACTGCTGTATATAGTTGACTAGTCCAGCCTTCTTTCTCTCCTCGCTCGTTGCTGGGGATTCGAGTATCACGTGCGCTTCATTTGGCCTAACATCTGGACCATTTTCACTACATACTGGACACACCTTCCACTGGTTTCCATACTTATTCTTCATACGATTTCCTAGTTGGAGATTGCCAGACCTGGCCATGTTAATGATTTTACTCTGCCTAGAGTCATTTACATGAAAAACAGGAACACTTTCAACCTAAGTCAAATTCATTCATCCTTCTACAGGAATTCCTTCATCCTCCAGGAATTCATTCATTCTTCTACAGGAATTAATTAATCCTTCAACAGGCATTCATTCATCATTCTACAGGAATTCATTCATCCTTCTACAAGAATTCATGCATCCATTTACAGGAATTCCTTCATCCTAAAGGAATTAATTCATTCATCCTTCTAAAGGAATACATTCATCCTTCTACAGGAATTCATTCATCCTTTAACAGGAATATAGTTATCCTTCAACAGGAATAAGGTTATCCTTCAACAGGAAAATAGTTATCCTTCAACAGGAATATAGATATCCTTCAACAGGAATATATTTATCCTTCAACAGGAATATAGTTAGCCTTCAACAGGAATATAGTTCTCCTTCAACAGGAATATATTTATCCTTCAACAGGAATATATTTATCCTTCTATAGGACTATAGTTATCCTTTAACAGGAATATAGTTATCCTTCAACAGGAATATAGTTATCCTTCAAAAGGAATAAGGTTATCCTTCAACAGGACTAAAGTTATCCTTCAACAGGAATATAGTTATCCTTCAACAGGAATATAGTTATCCTTCAACAAGAATATAGTTATCCTTCAACAAGAATATAGTTATCCTTCAACAGGAATATAGTTATCCTTCAATAGGAATATAGTTATCCTTCTACGGGAATATAGTTATCCTCCAACAGAAATATAGTTATCCTTCAACAGGAATATAGTTATCCTTCAACAGGAATATAGTTATCCTTCAACAGGAATAAGGTTATCCTTTAACTTGAACAAAGTTATCCTTCAACAGGAATATAGTAATCCATCAACAGGAATATAGTTATTCAACAGGAATATAGTTATCCTTCAACAGGAATATAGTTATCCTTCTACAGGAATATATTTATCCTTCTATAGGAATATAGTTATCCTTCAACAGGAATATATTTATCCTTCAACAGGAATATAGTTATCCTTCAACAGGAATATGGTTATCCTTCAACAGGAATAAGGTTATCCTTCAAAAGGAATAAGGTTATCCTTCAACAGGAATAAGGTTATCCTTCAACAGGAATATAGCTATCCTTCAACAGGAATATAGTTATCCTTCAACAGGAATAAGGTTATACTTCAACAGGAATATAGTTATCCTTCAACAGGGATATAGTTATCCTTCAACAGGAGTAAGGTTATCCTTCAACAGGAATATAGTTATCCTTCAACAGGAATATAGTTATCCTTCAACAGGAATATAGTCATCCTTAACCAGGAAGTATAGCGTCGAAGGTTTTGTTTGTGCTCTCTGTAGATAACTTCAACACTGTTTTCTCCAGAATATCTGGGAGACTACAGGGACAGAATAAAATCTCATAGGCTTTAATGGTTCCCAGCTACGCTAGGTTCCATAAGCAGAATATAATCTCATAGGCTTTAATGGTCCCCAGCTACGCTAGGTTCCATAAGCAGAATAAAATCTCATAGGCTTTAATGGTTCCCAGCTACGCTAGGTTCCATAAGCAGAATATAATCTCATAGGCTTTAATGGTCCCCAGCTACGCTAGGTTCCATAAGCAGAATAAAATCTCATAGGCTTTAATGGTCCCCAGCTAAGCTAGGTTCCATAAGCAGAATATAATCTCATAGGCTTTACATGTCGTTAGAGATCATTAGAAAGTCAAACATTGGATTTGTTGCTGCTACTCCATTCTTTGGTGGTTACTATTGTTGGTTTGACATGCCTAAAGCCATATTTAAATATTTTCATGGAGGTTATTAAAGGTCATTGTAGGTCATTAGAAGTTCAAACACTAGATTTGTTGCTGCCACTGTATTCTCTAGTTCCTAGCTTTCATTTGAAATACATACTATGGTTAAAACATTTAATATTTGTTGTTACAATTTGGAAATATATGAAATATGAAAGGTTAATACTATCAGAGGCAAAAACTATTGTACTGTGGATATCGAGATCAATGCATTGCTTTCTCGATAATTTAATCTTTATTCGATATCCCGCATGGTAATCGTACCCTGAAGGGATAACTGAAATGAAGAGCTGAAGCAATGATCCTAAATTAAAAGTGCCCACAGAGGATATATTTTAGGGATGAAAAAACTTAAGTTTGATGCAATGCAATTTCTTTATTAACTGGTTAAAAACAGGAAATATTTTTTTTCTGATTTTAAAACAAAAATAATATTAAAAACTCAAAAATCTATTAATCATTATCTTAACGAAAACTAAAAATAAGAAATAAAAGCTTCAGAAGAAAAGATGATTTTTTGAAGGGAAGAAATAACCCCTAAATAATGTTCTCCCATATCATTTACAATTTGAATTATTTATGTCTTTTTCTAATAACTTACTTTGTGTAGTAGTTTCCGCAGTAATCACAAAAGAATTCCTTCTTAGTTTTAGTGAGTTCAGTTTTTAAACCATCTTTCTTTTTTCGCAAATATTTCCTTAAATAGAATAATTATTAATTAAAAAGAAAGATTTCGGCAGCAATTTTTCAGGGAGCTTTCTTTGTATAATTTGGGAGATAAGGCTGAGAAAAATTTATTTACTCAAATTATAGAATGTTCAGCTGTATTTCTCAGAACAAAGAATCAAAATAATTTTACTCCTTTATTCTTTTAGAATATCACTAGTTTTACTCCTTTATTCGCTTTAACAATTAAATTGACTTATAAGGCTAAATATTAAATACCTTTTTTGTTTCTTGTGTTCCTCTTGAACATGTGCATCTAGAACTTGTTGAGAAAGATATTGTTTTGAGCAGAAATCACAAGATAACAGAATACAATCATGGGACGACATTATGTGCATCTTTAGATCGTAGGCATAACAAAATGTTATGTCACACTGATCACAGGCAATTTGTTTTTCCTTGTGATCCCTTAACATAATTAATTATTAAATATTTTTATTTAATGTAAAATTTTAAGAAAAAGGAAATATCAATATACATTAGATATCAGAGAATACTTGGCTTTCTAATTTACGGTTTTCAATAAATAATAAAATAAGGTTCTTCAGATTTTTATGACTTTTTCACACAAAAAATGGACTATTCATCAATTTTGAAAATGAGCTATTTTTTCATATCTAGATAGGCTCAATTAACACAGAGAGTTAAAAAGACAATAAAAGTTTCAGGGGAATTTATATATATATATGAAATAAAGAAAAATCTATTTCTTTATTTGACCATTACATCACGTGCCACCAGAAAAAAAGACATGATTCTTTGGACATTATTTATTTTAAGTGCTAACATTTTTGCGGAATCCTCAATTTTAAACTTAGAATAATGCATTATATCATTTTTAAAATCCTAAATACTGTTCAAAAAGAAAACGTTGTAAAAAATTACATTATTTGAAATTTTGTCAATTTTTTTAGCAAAATTAGATGAAAAATTGTAGATTTTTTTGCTACACCCCAAGACAAACACCTTGACAACTTAAAATATTGTTATTTATGCTTGTGCTGGTTTCTGTATGGTTTATGTAATGTTTCTAAAATGTGCTTATTTAATCGTATATCTTCAGAAATGGCAATCCTAAAAGCATTTAAAAAAATACGTTTCATCGTGTTCTGAAAATTCAAAAATTGCCTTTAATTGAATGGGTGTAAGGACATTTGTTATTTTTTTTACCATAATTGTCAGAAAGTCCTTAGTTTTTGACTGTGAACAATGTTTTATATCATTTTGGAAATCCCGGATACTGGTTTAAATACATCCCCCCCCTAATTTCACTCAGCGGGGGTAATGGAGTTCCACCCCCCCCCTCTCAACCCGCATATTATTACACCATACAGAAAACAGAAAAAATGTAGTTTCAGCAGCCTTAAACAATTTTTATATGGCTGCCCTAGGGGGGGGGGGGGGGGTTAAAGGAGCAATATTAAAGATATCTACTTAGTTAAACTATCTTTGGCTAATTGCACTACTTTTCTTGTACAATCTTGGGCACATTTTCTTTTTATGTATTATAATATAATATTTTGATATTCTCAGCAGAACTAAATCTACCTGTGGCTGTGAAAGTAAAGTGAAATTGGATTTTTAAAGTCTAAATCACAAACACTGCACTCGGTCCCACTATTATACTGATTCATGTGCTTCTTCAAATCCTTGCGGTAAGTAAAAATCTCTTCACAATGATCACATCTGTACGCATTGTGCGTAGGATTATCTGCATAATGCTGTTTCATCTGGACAGAACTTGAAAAAGCTTCCGAGCAAAAAAAGCATTTGTTTTCTTCTTGTTGTTGCTCCAATTCTGATTCCACCTGAACATGTAAAATTGATACAAAATTTATTGCATGATGGGTTCAGAAAAATGGCAGTGTTTTGAATCCATTTCATTTTGATGCGGATCCGGATCCTGGATCAGCCCCAGAAAAAAATGGATTCGGATCCAGGCCATAATGAACATTTCTTCAATATTAACTTATTTTTTACATACAGAATGTCCCAATAAACATGGGAAGTAAATGACGATCTAAATATCGTCTTTTTAAATAATTCTCTGATTTAGTATAATGATACCTACTGAGAAAGTTGTAATCCGTAAGATTTTCGTCTGCTATGTTTACAATTTGTTTGTTTATGTTTTGAATGCATATTTACGGTTGTACAGTCTGTGCAGTGGATTTTACTACGTAAAACAACAAAATTACAGAATACAAAAAGAGTAAACTAGTCCGTCTTTACTGTCCATCTTGCAGATGATATAGCATTATAAACACATCTTTACAGCCATTTACCGTTTTTATAAAATAAACTCTAGCAGACATAATAATATTATGCCTTTTGAAATCAGGTATTACAAAGCTAATTCTTAACAAAGACGATCTCAAATTCGTCAATGAATTCCCAAGTTTATTGGAAAACCCTTATTAAAAAATGTTCAAACAATTTTTCCTATTTTGCTGAAACTTGGAAATTGTTGTTAATTTTTTATTATTCAACAATTTTAATTTGTGTTGAAACAGCAACATTTTTGGTTTTTGATGATATTTTGCCATTTTCTTTAAATAAAACATTTTTCCTGTGAGTTCAGATTTCACAATTTTCTTTGCTCTCTTGGGGGTAATTTAAGGGGAAAAATGAGATTTCCAAGTGCACATGGGTTAGTAAAAATATATTTCAACATTGCATTTTATTCAATTTTATTCAAGATCTTTTCTTGTCATATCTTTGAGTTTGATAATTTAATTTATTGAAAAACATATTTTGAGAAATAAAACCTAGAAGGATGAATATGTTAGATTCGAGTTATATTTGAAATAATTCGATGAACATCAAACCCAGCCATTGTATACACATTACACAAGCCCGTTACAATAAGTTAATTTCTCAACTTCTAGTAAAACAATTTGCTAAAACAAATAAACATCAGATTGCCTGGATGTCGTATTCCAAATCTATGGTTTTCTGAGTGAGAATTTAATTGGTTTCCACTGTATGATTGTTCTTACCAGGGTTATAATGCAAGGAAAGTTAATTGCAGTTGCGTATACACTGTGTACACTGTACATATTGAAACCATTTCTCTCTGGGCGGAATTTGTAAACAAGAATGGGTGAATCAGTGTTTGTTCAGTATCCGAGTAAGTTAAAAGCATTAAATTTTGAAAATTTTGATAATTCACATAAAAGTTTTCTATGACCAGAATATTTCATTGATGTTTTATGTGAAAGATGAATCCCATGTAAGGCTTTGACATCCGTCTAGTGCAGAACGAAAGATGCGTACACCTCTGAAATAAATTTCCTTGCATTATAACCTTGGTTCTTACTAGCGTTGAAGTAGGAAAAAGGAGAACATAGGTTTCCAGCCATTCTAGAAAGCTCTCTAGCTCCATCTAGGATGGAATCAATTAAATAAATCTGGCCAAAATCCTTGACTATTAAATCTTTGATAGTTGATAGTTTAAAAGCTTCTGTGAATAGGCTTCGAATTAATTATATGTTTATGGCATAATTATTTTTAATAGGGGAAAAACTTCTAGCTCTGGACTAAAGAGAGAGAACAAAAATAAATTTAATAAAAAAGTCCAATTCAAATGGGGGAAACAAATTTTCAATGTAAAAAATTAAAATTGAATTCCATAATTCCTGACTACAATTCCCAATTATTGATTTCAGTGTCTCCAATTTCTCCCAGGTAGCTAAACCTGCGAAGGTCTTGATAAATGTGTCCATCTTATATAAAACTAAAGCTAGTATCCTGAAAATATAGGTTGCCCCTCAAAAACCGAATGCAAAAGAAAGGGGATTGAATGGTGAAAATAAATTGCTAATAATAGCTCCCATCCCCCTAATTAAAATTAGTGTGTTCTAACGATCGCTCATAAATTCTTACGCTATACTAACAGTCATTCACTATTGTTAAATTTACATTATCTATAAAGCTCGATTCGATTTTCTTTTATATAGATCTTGATTAAACTTTTATATAAATCATGATTAAACTTTTACATAGATCTTGATAAAACTTTTATATAAATCATGATTAAACTTTTATATAAATCATGATTAAACTTTTATATAAATCAAATCCCAAGTTTGCTCAAATTTTCCTGCGTGAAGAACATTCCAAATTCCAGAGACCAGAGACTTGTGTTACGTACTTCATATGATGTATAACGTGGAATTGTTGCATTATACCGCCACCGTGGAACTTGAACTTTACGGGGTTTCGGGGCTTTCTTTGTTTTTCTTCTGCGTAAAGCTGGACGTCTGGACGTGGGAGCAGGAGTTGGTATTTTGGGAGCGGGAGTCGGTATTCTGGGAGCGGGAGCCGTTCTGCTGGTAGAATAAATTAGCTGAATTTTACTCTCCTTTGCCTGCCGCCCCTGAATAATGATAAGGAATAAACAATAACAATATAAGAGAGATAACACCCCCCCCCAACATCTTTCCTAAAGTTGCACCTGTATGAGTGGAATTAACGGGTTCTAAAAAACAAAAAATGATGTTGTATATATACAATATACATCATAAAATTCCAGTTTTTCTAAAACTATACCTGCAAGCTAGAGTATGAGTTCATAGAAATTATATTTTTAATTTTAATTCGGTTTGTGAGTTGTGAGCCTCTAAAATATCAGCCTCCAGACTGACCTCTGAAACTTCAAAGCTGTGAATTTTTTTATTTTAAAAATAACGGCTTTTAAAGAATACATATATCTATATCTATAAAAAGTAATAAATTTTTCTTTACATCAATATCAATATTTCTCTGTTAAAAATAGGAAACAAAATTTTGACCTCGGTTAAAAAAAAGGTACTTCTTTGATTTTCGTAATTTATTATGTATTTTTGTTGTTGCGAAGTAGCAAGCAAAAGAGCACCCTGTGTTGGAGTTAAAAATAAACAAACCTGTGGAATCTTTCAAGGTTTCGAGAAAAAAAGTGTTTTTCAATGATAAATACCTGTCACATGCTTCAGAAAACTGAGTTAGCTGAGCATTCATGAAAAAGTTAACTTTTAGCAGAAAAACTGTTCATTCTAATCAAGAGAATATTATATTTATTTCTTCAACCCAACCCGAAGAATGTCAGGTTTGGATATTCAACCCAACCCGAAGAATGTTTTATTTAGTAAATCCAATTAGGAAAATACCAGGTTTTAGTTGCTTAAACCATGAACCGAAGAATATCAGGTCTACTTAATTAATCCAGTTCAGAGTTTATCAGTGTCGGTTATTTAACTCCACCCGGAGATTATCAGGTTCGGCTATTCAACTTAATCCGGAGAATATCAGGTCCGGTTGTTTAACTGCAAAGCAAACCCGTATAATATTAGATTTGGTTGTTTAACCCAGCCCAGGACTAAAAGGTTTTCTTACTTAACCCACCTTGAGAATACCTCCAGAAATCTTACTATACTTCGTCCCTGATAGAGATCTAGTGGGTTCATGAGTTGAAATAACACTGTGGATTTCGTGAAATAAGAAACTATAGAAAATAAGAAATATATTTTCAATAAATGTGGAACTAACATCTATTTTTTTACTCTACAGAGGTTTGGTCCATCACCATCACTGAATTTTAAAACTTTTTATATTAAAGATTATTACATTAAAAAATAATTGTTATAATTGTAATTTTAATTTTTGTTTAACATTTTTGTATGAATTTGTGAATTTGAATCAGGTACATTCAGCAAAATCTATTTTTTGAATCAAAAAGCATGTTTTTTATCTTTAAAAACAGTATATTTTCAGTGACAACGTAATAAATTCCAGATATTGTTTTTTTTACAAGATGTTCTTATGCTTGCTACTTAGTAACAAACAAAGTACACAATGTAAACTATTCTGATAATTATAAATAACTACTTAATAAACATGGAAACAAAAAATTACGAAATTTAAACCGAGGTCAAAGTTTTTGTTTATACTTTTATCAGAGAAATATCGATATTTATACAAAGTAACGTATCTATTTCTAGATCTAACTATTCTTCAAAAACTGTAGTTGAAATTTGGACGATATCATTCAAAACAAAAACGTTACACAGCTTTGAAGTTTCTGATGTCAGTCTGGAAGACCCAAATTTAAAAAATAATATTTAACCTGATCTGAGTTTAGAATAAACTTCCATCTTGTGACTTGATTATTACATTCTCGGATACCAAACTTGTTCCGCACCTTCCACTCGGTTCTTAATAAAATATAAAAATTAAACATCTATACATTACAGGGAGGCAATAGGGATGATATAAATATAGAAGGCAATATTAGATTGCCAAGGATACACAAGACCAAGAGGAAAGTTAAGGCAGTGTAATATTTTCTCCTAATTATTGCATACCTATTGCCTCCCTCTCTTGTAAAGAGATAAATATGTAATCATATCATGTATTAGGGATGATAAATATATGAAGGCAAAATTAGATTGCCAAGGATACACAAGACCCAGAGGAAAGTTAAGGCATATAATATGTGTAAATATATAATCGTTTATTAGGGATGATAAATATATGAAGGGTTACATTGCCATGGCTACCCAAGACCTTGTTGGGTCCTAAAGCATCACGAGCGTAAAGTTGAAAAAAAATCTTAATGTATACTTTTCAATGTCGTAGAAATATATTCAAAAAATGGTAGAAAAGTCCTCTAAAAATTGTCAATTAGGTCAAAAACAAACAAAACCTGCCGCAAATTCAAATATATGAAGACTGCGTTTAGACACTGATAATTTAAACCAATATTTTTCTAATTTGATAAATTCTTAATTAGTTTTAATTTTAAATGAACTTAGATGTTTAGAGGAACATGTCCAGTTTACAACGGTCAACCACAACAATTTCTCGTCCGAGTCACTTTCTCCTCATTTTCTCGTCCGAGCCACCTCGAAATCCTCGTCCTTTTAATATTATTTTTTTTAAGTGTCTAATCCTCCAAGATTTGTTAAGAATCAAACCACGTTAGGGCATAAATAATATATCAAATTTTTTTTTTTTAATCAAGAAAAAAGTTTCAATCGAATTTAAGATTTCAAGTTAAATGTCTTCAAAAATGTTCACCTTTTTTACGCACATTTTCAGATATTCCTGGTGTAGAATGCCGCAAATAATTCCAAGTTTATAGAATTTCAATTTTTTTTTGTTAACTATAGTGAAAACCATAGAATTTTTCCGGGTGGTTCCATGGGGAAAATTATAGGCAGAGGTATGCCGAATATTTTGCTATTTATTTTATATCACGAAGGTTAGTCATAACGGAGGCAGAAGAGATTTAAGTTTTACCTAAATAAAGTTTGACATCATTCTCATGAGTTTGAAGATTCCAACATGATATAATCATTGCAATACTTTAGTCTATCCATTTATGGCCTAACGTGGTCAGATTTTTTAAAAATAGTTTTATCTTCAAGAATTGGAAACTGTTTAACACAAAATAATCGAAGGACGAGGATTCCGAGGTGACTCGGACGAGAAAATGAGGAGAATGTGGCTCGGAAGAGAAATTTTTGTGGCTGGCCTTCCACCCCTCCTTACATTGAAGACACAATTGATAATAACCAACTTTCAAAAAGAAAGTGATTGATATCTCATGAATTCTTGATCGGACATACCACTTTATCAATTCTGAATTTAAGAATTTAAGAATAAAAAATAACTTCACAAGGACTTCTGTTCAAGAAGCTATTGGCCTGCCTGTAAGTTTTCTTCTTTTGGAGTAGGGTTCGTTCAGCCTTTACTCGATACCTACATTTTCCCATGTGAATACAACATCCAAGCTTTGGTTTGGATTAGGGTTTTAACTAATTAAAGGAGATGTAATCGGAGTTTTACATGACCTTAAAAACGGTGCCCTTGAAACCTTGATCTATTTAATAATGTCTGCACCTTTTTAGACTGAAAAAGTGTTTAATTCCGATAATTGCCAAATTGTTTCTGAAACAATAAATGCATAAGACACTTTTGAAGAGAAACACAAATGGAATCAAACAGTTTTCAAAAAGAAATTTGTCAAACTTGGTTAGACAAATGTTTCAAGGGTACTGTTGTTAATCGGACATGCCAATTTAATGAAGGGTCCAATTAAAACAAGGTTACAGTCCCTTTAACGGAGAGAAATTCATTCGAATTTTATCGATTAGAAAATTATCTTTAAAGGGAATTAATACTTATAGGAATGGTATATTACAAATAGCAACATTAAGATCTATTTAATGGAAGGTTTAGTTCTTCGTCTCCCCTGCCTCCCCCTTAGGCCACAGCCTCCTTATATATTCGCCCCCTTTGCAGCGTTGATTGAAGACGATTTAAAATCTTCTTCAATCAAATTTAACATCACATGAAATTCCTGAGGAGACGTCGTCTTTTCCAAACTACCATAAACTTGCTTGTGTCCTTGTCTATCAGCAGTGTAGATCGCGGCGGTTTCCGGACAACTCTGGCCCGCTTGTAGTACGGTTCCTAAACATTGCAGACAAGCTACGGTGGTGACCAGCAAACAATAGAATAATATTAGCTTTTTTCTTTCTTTAGCTATGTAGTATGTAGGTTCCCAACGAATCATGCAATATTTAATTACTACCACGGAAATATCTATAAAAATGCAAGAACCATATTTAAAACTGAAAAGACGGAAAAATTTCAAATTTTCCATTTTGACATAATTGTGACATACAGGGTTACGCACAAAGAATGAGACTTCAGAGACGACTGTACAGAATCAAATTCCTTTATATTTCCTTATTTTTATTATTCACTGCAACCATAAAATTTTTCTTTCTTTGCTAAATCATTAAAAAAAGTCATTAAAAGATTGTATGCAAGACTTTGTTTAACCTTGGAATTGTCAAATTTAAAGAGTTTCAGGTCGTCTTTTGAGTTTCATCATTTGTGGGTAACCCTGTAAGTTTACTCATATTTTTTTACAAGAGATTTACAATTTTGTAAATTTTATATATTTATCACAAATAACAAATAAAATTATAGTTAATTTAGAAACACTAATCGGCCTTCAATATACTTCAAAGAAAATTGAAAAAGTTTCAAGGTGATCCTGTCAAAAATTAGATTTTAAAAACTAAACCTTTTTTTGTTAAATCATAACATTTTAGGCGACATTTTATAACCAGAAGAAAGATAGAAGACGACAATCATTCCACTGTTTTCTGATAATTACAGGAGATCAGAGACATGCAATGTCGCCCCCTTGATCCTTTTTATCCAATATTGGTTTTTATAAATCCAAAATAAGCTATTTCTAACCTTAACAATCTTCTTCTTAATCTTCAGTTTTCTTCTGGTAGTTTTAGTATTTCCTCCGGCAGCGGAGCTTATTTCTCCTTTTCCTCCGACAGTGGAGCTTATTTCTCCTTTTCCTCCGACAGTGGAGCTTATTTCTTCTTTTCCTCCAACAGCGGACCTTATTTCTCCTTTTCCTCCGACAGCGGAGGCCTCAGATGGCCAACTCGTTTTAACATTTTCTCTCCTATCTGTTACATCAAATCTGCTTTGAGCTCCTTCATCTCCACTTATCTTAATTCCTCCTCCATCGTCAAATCTTCCTGTCAAAAGTCGTCCAACTAATGTTCTTATAAATGCACTGGTCTCTCCAGGTCCTCCAGCCGACCCTTCTCTTTCCTTTCCTCTGTCTCCTCTAGACATTCCTTTATCTTCTTTATCCGATCTCTTTCCTTTGGTTCCTTTATTTGATATTTCTGTTCCCCCATTTTGATTTACTCTTCCCTTTGTTTGTCCTCGTCCGTTTGATCTTCCTTTTCCTGTTTCTCCTGTTTTTCTTCTTCCTTCTTCTGATACTTCATAGATTTTTCCTCTTCCAGTTCCTCCGTCTTCTCTATCTGATATTCCCCTTCCACTTGATCTTCCTCTTTCTGATCCTCTTCCTCTTCCCCTTCCTCCACCTGCTCCACTTGATTCTCCTCCATCTTTTCTATCCATTCTTCCTCTTCCTCTTCCCCTTTCTCTGCCTCCTCTACTTGATTCTCCTCCATCGTTTTCCCTTTTTCCTCTTCCCCTACTTGTTCCTCCTGTTATTCTTCCTCTTCCTCTGTAGAAGTAAATAGTATTAAATTCACTTCCTTTCTCTTTGCTTCCGTCTAATCCAGTTCCTTCCCGCAAACCACTTCCATCAGACATTGTTTAAAACTGAAATTATTGCAGTTGAAAGGGACTGTCAAAAAAGGGCATGTCCGATTTACGAAAGGTACCCTCGAAACCTTTTTCTAATCAATAATATGAAAGATAGTTGAAAGGTTTAAACTCTAATAATTTCCCCATGTTTTCCTGCAGTATAGTAATGTGCAAGTATCCATTTTTCAAAATATAATAAACAAGGATATTTGATTCATACTGGATCAGACATGCCACTCTGTAAATTAAAGGCCATTTGAAAATATGTTTACAATCCTTAATGGCAAAATCAATGCAATATTTATTAATAAAGTCTATTACAGTGCACAAATCTGAGATAACATTCACAGAAACCTTCCGGGAGGAAGTAATAAAAATCCAAATGCATTGGCGATTATTATTCAATTTACAAAAACGTACTTTGAACATTCTTAATAAACGCTACAGCTCTAGATATTTTTAAAAAATTATTAATTCTTATATCAAACGGTGGGTCCGTCCAAGAGAACGATTTTTGGACCCCCCCCTCCTATAAATTTTTTACATGACCTAGATTTTTACTATTTTCAAAAAAAAATATTTATTTTGTATTATTTCAGGGTTAGGACAGGTTAGGACAATTTCAGGGCCGAGCGCTGCTGCTAGGACAAGCTAAAGAGCCGAGCGCTGCAGCCAAGACCTACATTCAATTTTAACAATTTTCAACAAAGTTAGTATATGCTTAGGGTTAGGATGGGTTAAGACTCTTTCTGGGCTGAGCGCTGCGGCTAGGATAAACTAGGGGGCCGAAAACTGCAGTCACATGACCAACTTTATCGAGTGTCTTTTTTAAACCGACCTAAAAATCGATAAAAAATAAAGTGCGACTGATTTATTTGTCTTATCTATTTGAAGATAACAACTAAAGTTGAATCAGGGGGAGGAAACGTCATGTGTGTGTGTCTTTAAAAAAAGAGTGTGTGTAAAGTTTACCGAACCGAAGGTTTTACTGTAGGTACAGAGCCCGTTCTCTCCATAGAAAGTGGTTGTGTAGTTAACGTACTTTGGGGGACGATATGTTGGCCGCTAGATGTCTCATGCTAAATTCTTATCTGATAGATAGATATTTCTCCGTACATTTGACGACCAATATAGGAGACGTCAAGTTGTCGACCAATATAGTTTATGGGAGGAACGGCCTCAGTACATGCGAATCTCGCTATTTGTACAGTCTAGGAGAGTACATTTGTTTATTGTTAATAGTTTATTTAAAATAAGTTTAATATGCATGTAGTATATTATTTATATATTTAAGTCAACCTAATAAGCCAAATTTTCATGCAAAGAATATAATTTGATTAAAGTTTACAATAAACTAGTCTTTATTCAAGCTTAATTATAATTGACAACATTGTTCTGCAAATTCCTTGACTGTAGTCATGTTGTGTGTCTGTACCAAAAGAGTGTGTGTAAGGTTCACCGAACTTATCTGAAAAGCAGTGCGACTGGCTCTTTATTCCTATTCCCAGAGTTGAATGTTTCTTTGAGCCCTTAATGCCTTTGTACTGTATGAACCAGCCAGATTCTTCCCTGAGGCCATTCCCTTTCAACCGAACAATTGTCGATCAGATGACGAATGCGTCCTAATTATATATCTTTCAGATAATAAGCTTGCATGAGACAACTGGCAGCCAAGTAATAGTCCCCCAAAATACGTCATTTGAACGGACATTCTGTAAGATCCATGTACAAAATTGATAGGAGGGGGGGGGGGCCAAAAATCGTTCTCTTGGAAATTACCCATAAGTAATTTTAGCTTGAACTTAATGTTATAGTGAAAATTCCATGACTTTGATGTTTTGTTCACTGATTTTGAATTATCTGGACAAAATGTTTAAACTGAGACAAAGTTTCTGAAAAATTCAAGGAATACAATTTTTTGTTCATACTGAAACATATTATATAGTTACCTTTTAGATTATCATGTATGTCTGTTTATCGACATATGCAAAACAACAAACCAGTTCGATCAGAAAATCTTACCTTAGGACAAATATTTTTTTTTAAAGGTTTTATTTGGTTGGTCTGAGGTAGCAGCTTCATTAAACAAATGTTTTGAACTGTTCAGAATGATAACAATTTTCCCCCTTGAACCCCCAGTTTGGACATGCTATAAAAATGTTCAGTTTTAAAAAATTTGGAAAATAAACAAATGCGCGGGCGCCAATACCGCTGATTTTTCTTTAATTCAGTTGCGGAATCTTTCTAGTTCAGATTTAGATATCATTCTTTGTGTTGTTAAATATGTCGTCTTCTTTGTAATGGATATTATCATGTTTTATCAATAATGAAAACAATACACAGAGCAG